AGGGACCTGATTCAGCTTGGCCTTCATCCAATTGGGATGCATATTTTTCAGACTTGGAAGAAAGCTTTTCTGAAGTCAAGGAAGACACTTCCCAGAAACTGTGCCTAAGGATCAGCCCACAAAAAATATATACTACAGACACGTAGTACTACTGAAGTCAATGAGACTTACTTCTGAGTAAATACGCTTCAAGTTAAGCCGCACAGTGGAAATCCTATGCCAGCTTTCTAGGAAATAAGCCGCATTTAACAAAACAGGGTTCATTTCCAGGTAAGTATGCTTAGGATTGCATTCCATGCTCCTTTATTAGGAAGCCAGCCCCATTTCCTCCCAAGTCCACATGCTCAGAATTGGTTCACTTGGTAAAACAGAGGGTTGTGGATGGATCCAGTGCACCCTTCTCTGGAAGTGAGTTCCATCCAATGTTCCTGCACTGTGCTAGGCAGGCACACTGACCGTTTTTCTCCAGTGCCTCAGTATCTACTGCCATCTTTCTGACATTCAGGGTACTACAACACAACTAAATATTTGAATGTTTGGAACAGTTCCTATGTACCCTTCTGTTGCTCTGTCTGCTCCTCTAAAATACTAATTGCAACCTTCTTGTTCCTAATGTCTTGTGCATTTTCTTTCAAGGCATCCTGGACTTGAACTCTGCACTCCCCCGTAGCTTTAGTGATCAATGTAGCACCAGGTACAAGACTTACTATGTTGGGATTAGGACCAGAGACACTGTTGTGCCAGTACCACCTTCCTGCCTTGGTTTGATGCCCTGAGCCTATTCCAGGAGAAGAGCCACAGTGAACCCTTTTCAGCCTTTTAGAAGAGGCATTTTAGAATGGGGAGAGGAACTATGTGAACCCAGGAAACCACCAAATAATTGTCAGTTGGGAACTGGCCTTTGGCAGTCCCAGAACTGGGACTCCAGGTTGGCCACGTTTGCCCCACAGAAGGGTCTGGGGTTCAATGCCCCCATTATTCCGCATGTACATAACACCCCCTGCTGTGCCTGGCCATCTGTCTGGCACAGAAATTTACCTGTAGAATGCAGGTAAACTCGGAGGGGGGATTTTTACTTATTTGATGTATATCCCACTTTTTTTCTTATGAACTCAAAGTAGCTTGCATCATTCGCCTCCTGCTGCTCTCAATCCTATCGCCACAGCAACAGCCCTGTGAGGTAGGTTGGGCTGAGAGTCTGGGAGTGGCCCAAAGTCACCCAATTGTCTCCATGGCCAAGCGGGGACTCGAACCCAGATCACCAGAGTCCCAGTCCACACGCCTAACCACTACGCCATGCTGGGTGAGCATGTCATGCAAGCATGCCCACCATGCAGGGCGGCAGCAGGAACCACCTTGCCCTGTAGGTGCTGCTGCTGCTGGTGGTGCTGGTGGTGATGATGCGGCTTTACTTTGTATGTCACCCAGAGAACATTCCTTACTGGGGAGTGGATAAAGCAGCATAAATATGGGGGGGGGGATCCTATGAGGCAGACCAGGGGTCTCTGGTGTTTTGGGGCCTGCAGGCCCCATTTTGAAAAATGTCCTGGGCATTGACGCAGGTGGAGGGCCAATCACAAAAACACTGGGAGAACCCTCTCTCTCTCTCTCTCTCTCTCTCTCTCTCTCTCTCTCCCTCTCGGTCCACATCCTTCCTTCTTCCAGAGGGGCAGAAGGAGCAGTGGATGTTTTTTAAACCTCTCTATTTTCCAAAAATCCATTTTACAACAGAAAGGGCTCACTCACCTTGCTGCAGCTAGTGAGAAGACTGAGAAGGCTATGGAGCCAGGTTTCTACAGCCTCTCCCCATGCAGTGGCCCTCCCTTTTCCTCTCCTCCAGAAATTCCAGTTGTGGCCTTAGGGGACAAGGCTGCCACAGAACTTTCCGTAATGGCTAGGGGAAAGATCAACAGATGGATTTCCTCCTGCAATGTCAGAATTCTTGCCTCTGGTCTCAGAATAAGAGATCTGCACATCCTGTGCCCCCTTTGACACTGTCTGTGGCACAAAGGATTGTTCTCTAAATGAAATAAACCAAACACCTGGATTTTTAAAAAATATATTGCTAATAGGCCTCAGAGCCCTCTTAACATGTACTCCTCCAGTTTTATTTCCAGATGGATCCAGGATAATAATTAGAATTTTTATATCTGCTCCTGATTCAGCCTACAATCTAACAGAATCTCTCTTTAATAGTCAGTGCCTTTAATAATTAAGCAGCAAAAGCTAACAGGTCTTCATTAGGGAGCAGGATGAAAGAAAATTCTCTACCTTAACAGATGACAGAAAAGACATGGTGCCAAATATAACAAAGCACGTTCTCTGTGTGGAGTACCTCCTATCCCTCCCTTCATTTGAGTATTCTGTGCAAGATGAAACAAGACTGTTCATGCATTCTGAATGTGTCCATTCAGAGCTGCAGCATATTCCTTGTGGTTAGGATTGGGAGGAGGGGGTGTTCCGATTTTGGCAGGTGGCCTTCCTGGCAGCAGTAGCCATGCCTGTCAATATACATGCTTTTCTGCACATTTCTAATGCAAAGAAGACAGAAGGCTGTGCCAACAAAAGTGCTCATAACATGCACTATGCTTACAGGAGAATCTTACACAAGGGACTAGGACTGGATCTTAAACATTGCAGAGTTTTCTTGGGGGCCATTCTGGCAATCAAAAATTTGCTGGGTGCCTTTAGATGCATGTTTTCTATACCATTCACCACAGAACAGGAACAGATGCAAGGCCAAGGTTCTGGGTGTTGGCTGGATAAATACATTTTGAGAAATTCGACTGCCTGTTGAATTGAGGATGACACATTTCATTATTTTATGACCAGTCTCTGCAGAAATATAGTAAGGCATTCAAAGAAGGCATTAGAAAACTGAGAAGTGATCTGTGCAGGCACAGAAGCAGGTAGTGGTTTAGTTGTCTTTGAAAATAAAGCTGCAAAGGGTTTTCTGGTTTGGTGCGTTCTGTATTTCTGCTCCTGAAAGGTTCTGGGGAGCTCAGAATCGTTAGGATCATTGTCACTCAGCTAATTGCTTCCAGTGGCTTCATCATAACCACCATGGAATCCTTTGGAAACATATTAAGATGTCAAGAACCATGTGAGACAAACGCACATCAAAGCAAGTGTTGGCTCTGGATTAGGTGGGAGGGGAGCGGGCAATGTGTTGTCAGGTGACCACCCCACTGGCATCACTGAGTTTCCCAGAAATGCCACCTGTTACTCCATTCTGATTACCAGCAGGCAGCAGCCCGCCATTTTGATTACCCACAATGCCCCAACCTAGCTTTGTCCTGGGGCATTGTGGGTAGACAACATAAAATGGCAGCTGCACACAGCTGTCACCAGAGGTAACCCTAAAACAAAAGCAAGTCCAGCTCCAGAAGAGGGGCTAACTGGAATTTTGACAAATAACTGAGATGGTGAAAAGAGGTTGCATGAACTGCAGTTCTTAATCTCTGTGCCCACTTTGGACAATTTCTATTTGGAGTCAATGTTTCACTTTATCTTTTCAAAGAGTTATCATGTTCCACAGACAGTTGGGTAGGGTGTGGACGGTGAAATATGAACCAAAATGAAATTAAAATAATGATGGAAAATATTTTTATATCAACTACATTCTGTCTAAACGTGTTTACTTGGTAAACACCAAGGCTAGTCCTTCCATGTGTCATTTTCCAGAAAACAACTTTACTGTGCAATTCTAGATGACCTACATGTTGCTTTGTTTATAAGGTCTTACTCCCATGGAAGGAGGCATAGAACATGGAGGCATATTTCTATTTTTATTCTATTTTATTAATCTGTTGTAAACTGTCCAAGACATCTGTGATGGGACAGTATGGAATAGTTTTAAACAAACAAACAAACAAACAAACAAACAAACTGAAGCATTAAGGTTGCTTTTTGTCTTAAGGATGTTTTACTGGGAAAAACGTTATTAGCCCCTTAGATGGAAAAACACATGCTTTAAAAATGCTTTCTTTTTACTTTTAGTAATAGTATTTTACTTTAGCACAGTATGGTCTGAAGGCACATAAGCACCCACCATGTCAAAGCTAAACAGACTGGGGGTGGCCTGAGCTTGGAGGGGAGACCACCTGAGAACCAACTGCATGTGGCCACCTTGAGTTCCACAATGGGAGAAAGGTAGTATATAATACATAAATAAAAGTATCCATGAGAGAGACAGAGAGGAGTGCAGCCAGCTATACAATGTAGCTGGTGAAAAAAGATAAGAAGCAAATGATCAGGCTGAACTTTGACTTTAAAGTATCTCTATTCTGCCCATCACCAAAGTTTTCTGGGCAGTATACACTGGAAAAAAAAGGCTAAAATTCAAGATAATAACTGCTCAAGATAAACGGTTGCAATAGAGTGCAGTACTGCGTTTACATTAATTCTATGACTATGAGCTTACAACAGAAAGAATATTAATACTAAAGGATGCTCAAGCCTGCAAAGAGGCATTTGGCAGCTGTGCCAAACCCAAAGCTTGCCCCAGGTTTTAAGGCGTCTCAAGCTGGTCCTAAAAAAGTTGGGGAACCTTTCGAGAACCTCACCGAACCCTTCTGGGCCTCTTCGGATTCAACCTGGGGGCTCAGAAAGAACACTGCAGAATGCGAGCCCCGCCCCTTCTGGAGGCTACCGCGGTTTCACGCTTTCGTGGGAAACCGCAAGCGCCATGCAAAGGGCAGAGCGGATTCCTGAGCCACGGAAAGCGCACAGGACAGCTCCGTTAGGTCTGCGCCTACGCCGCTAGTCCTCGTGAAGGCTGCGCGGTATAACCCGCCCGCGATGTCCTCCACGGAAACAAGCGAGGCCTGGCTTCCACGAAGGAGGCTGGCGAGCCGCAGCCCCTCCAGCGCACGGCTGGCTCCGGACTACCTTAAGTCGGCTCCAGCCGGCGGGAAGAGGCGGAGCTCCGCAGCCGGGCCAGCTCGGGCGACTAGTCCGCGGCCGCCTGCGCGTGCGCACTTCGGCGGCGCCCGCCTGCCCCATTCGCTCCTGCCGCGCCGCCGGGAAGGTCGCCCTGCGCCATGTGGGGCCGGTACAGCGCCGCGGCCCGGCGGCTGGCGCTCCTGAGCCTCGGCCGGTGAGGAAGGGCGGCAGCCGCTGGCGGGGCGGGAGGGCAAGGCCGGGGCTGTTCGTGCTCTCGCTTCCACCGCAGGCTGGAAACACTCAGCACATGTTCAGAGATCCCCTTCTCCTTCTCCAAGCCTTCTTACTCTCTCCCTTAGCCTCACGTTGTTAGGAATCCCCCATCTTTTGTTCGTACGGGAGCAGAGCTTCTGTCTTCTGTGCGCGCGGGAAAGGAAGGGTATCTCTGAGCATACGTAGAATGGCTCCTACCGCGTACTGATCCGCTCTGAAGCTTGCGTTTGTGCTGGGAAGAGGGGCAAGGCGTTGGTAGGCCGAGGGGGCGTCTTCGAAACGGGCACGAGCAATGGCGCTTCTCCTCTTCAGCAGCTTCGCTCGCGCCTGTCTATTTTCAATCTGCCTTTTCTGCCAAAGTTATGAGAAAGAGAGAGAGAGAGAGAGAAGAAAAGAACGACGAGGGTTCCTTGGAGTGTAAGATTCGTGGCGGCTGCCTTGTGGCGTGTCGCTCAGCTTGCAGTATCAGTCGGAGCAGAGGGCTGCCTTTGTTTCTCCAGCTCCTCTCTCTGCCCCCTTAGTATCCCAGATGATGCAAAAGAGAAGGTGAGGGGAGTGTTTCCACTGTCTCCCCCCACCAAGGTTATTGATGGATGGCTTTAGGGAACATGAATATCACATCTAAGGATGAGAAGCACTCATGGGCCCTTCCAGCCCTTGAATTGACTGGGTTTGGACCACACGATTCCCCACACGCGGGTTGAGTGCATTCTGCTGGTGCAGTTTGTACTCTTGATTTTGCAAATAGCCCTTTGATCTGATGTGTGGTGTAAAAATATAATTAATAAATAAATAAATAAATAAATAAATGTTGCGCGACCTGAACTCAGCTGTGCTAAGAAGCCATGTGACCTACCAAGCAGAAACACCCCGTGAAGAACACCCATGGCTTGTTGCTGGATTGCAAAGTGTGGGTTGTTCACCATAGTCTCTTACCAAGAACAATTTGTACTCAGCCCTTGGAGCTGTCCGAAGCCAGACACTGAGGAAGCTCCTCGCTCCGTCTCACCACTGCAGTACTTAAGGTTTAAACCTCGGGCCTTCTTCATGCAAGGCACGTGTGGCACCGGTGGACCATGGCTCTTCCGCTTTGCCATGGCGATGGGTTGCTTTAATCATGATGACTGTGCATCTCTCTCTCTGTCTCTCTGTGGCAACACCTGCTTTTTCTGACTCTTGATTGTCATGCTTAATTGCTCTGTGGGAACCTCCATGTTCTGGGGCAGTGCATCTCAGCATACCAGAGGTCTGTGGCCTTTGCTGTCCCCTTAGAGAGTGCAACCTGACTCTTGAAGGAAAAGTGCCGGGTGTTCTCCCCAGGATGGAACAACTCTCTGAGACAGTTTGCTCGCCTGAAGATGGCAGTGCTCTCGTTAGGGGGAGAACCTGTCCAAGCTGAGCCGTGGGAACCTGTGGCTGAGCAGGGCTTTCTGCCCTCCCTACCCCTAGCCACAGCCTGCTGCGGGCCATTCGTCTGGTCCTCAGTTGACTCTTACCTGCACAGGGCTCGTTTGTGGAAAATTCTGGGAAAGATCAGAGCCTTTGTTTGTACATCATAGAAGTGGAGCTACAGAGACTTTTGCCTTTGATTCCTCTCCTCTTTGTTTTGTCAGTCATATTGTTTCTGTATTGTTGGAAAGGCAGCCTGCTTTAACAAGCCCTGTGCTTGCATAGCTGTAATAAGGGTGTTATTATTTCCCAGCTTCTGTCTGCTTCCTTTTCTCTGCTGTTTCTCTTGTGCCAAATTTTAGAGCAAGCTGCATGGGGCAGGGACCTCTTTGTTCTTTTTCTGTTGTTCTAAAACAAGACTTCTTTTTTGCTTATTTCTACCCCCCCCTTTTTTTTTTGAAGTATTCATAATTCCAGATCATTCAGTCCAAGATTGTGGAGGTGGAAGGGCAGTTCTGCCAATGAAAGAGTGCTGCAGTACAAGACTGGAGAGCATATTCATGGGTTCACAGTGAGTCAGGTACTAGAGCATCTTCATTACAGTCTCCAGTTCTGATTTCTGTCTTCTTTCCTGGCAACGCAGAATGTTCTGGTGCTGGCGCTAGGTCACATCTCAAGGGTAAAAGCTCCAGTGGCCCTTTCCACAGCAGCTGGTCTGTTAGGAGCCACTTCGTCTTGCCAGTTGCATTCCTTCAATAGCAACAGACAGGTTTTCCTTCCAGGAACTTAGTTGTCCTTTCCTGATTTTCTCATTTCGGGAAGCATTGATAAGTTTCCAACCTAACCATTCCCTGGAACACTATTTGAAAAGCCCTGCCTTAGACCTGCTGGGTGATACCAGTTTGACGGAGTTGGTCAGAAGGTTACTGCGGCTCAGCAGAATTTACTACAGGGCCTAGCTATGTTTCCAGGGGCTGAAGCTTCCAAGAAACCAGTCTGATGCCACTTTTCTTTACAGCTAGCTGTGAGAAAGTTTTTTCATGGTTGATTTTATCCCAGAATCTTCTGGAATCCTGCAGAAGGGTCTGAGCCAAAGATCCAAAAGTCCCTGTCTGGCTAGCCAGTGGTCTTCCAGCTTATGTGTGGGATTCCCTCTTTCTAAAATTAAGAAATGTCTCTTCCTAGGCTGAATTGTTAGGGTTAGAGCTGGAAGTGACACTATGCTACCATTTTCTTTTTGTATTTTTCTCTCTATTCACCATTGGAACACAGTCCCCAACAGCTACTCTGGATGTGACCCTCTTTCAATTGGGCTGAAAGAGGTCCACCACCTCTGGAATAGAGAGTGCAGGCTGTGAAAGATTGTGACACCCTTGAGGAGCAGGGTGTGTCGGTTGTTCATCCTGTTGTCATAGTTAAAGTGCTGGGTGGTGGGTGGACAGACTTGGTCGCCGATCCCGCTTGGCTCCAAAGGTCACTGGTCCAGGCTTAACTTCCATCACTCAAAACAAATAGCTAACATAGACATAATAAACCACTGTGGCCTAGGAATGTGTATTAACAAGAAGGTGTGTGTTTTCCCTACTCAGGTGACGGCGGTACCTGAGTTATTCTTAACTGCTGTTACCCTCAGCCATGATCAGACCGGAGCCAAATATTTGCATGTGGCACGAGAAGATTCCAATAATTTGTTCAGGTATGTGATGATAATGAAGATGGTGATGATGAAGAAGGTGAATATGATGACGGTAGTATCAGTAGGATGCTTTTAAGTATCTCATGTCTAAGTCTTTGGGGCAGCAATAGAAAATTTACTTTGAAAATCCCTTGTTGATTCTCATTAGTTCTTTTCCACCACACTTTTCTTGGAAAGCGCTGTAGCTTTTCATACCATCTCTCCTCCTCTGCCAAGAGCAGCCAGCTGATAAGCACTATAACATCCAGAATCCCTGACCATTGGCTCTGCTGGTTGGGGATGTTGGGACTTGTAATCCCAAGGATCCAGAAGGCACCAAGGTGCCCTGCCTCTGCCCTAAACTAATTGAGTGCCTGTGGGTTTCATGAGTTTTTGGCTTGTAACAGGGAGATTGGGATCTCAACGGGCATGTAGTCATGTTGCACCCTGGGTTTCCTTGGGCTGTCTCGTTCCTGTTGTTGTTTGATACCATTTTACCCTACTGGTCCTTCAAAGGAGCGTCAGGAAGTTCCTTCACATGGTCCTCTCCTCACCCATTTTATCTCTGCAACAAGCCTTTTTGTAGGCATGTGGACTGTAGTTGATAATGGCGAGTTACAGCAGAGTGCGTTAGCCCTTGAAGAACATATCACGTGATTGATTGAAGATGCAGTGCTATGCATGTTTAGATGGAAAAAAATCCTGCAACTCCAGGCACTCCCCAGCTGCCATGCCCGAAGTCTTTCTTCGTTTGCTACAGAACTAAAGCTCCAGCTCTTGCGAAGCATAGAAAATAAATAAGTAATCATAAATATTAACTACCCTATGTCAAGCTACGTGCCCATATAATCACAGAACCTTCAAAGTTGCGATTAAGATAATTTAAGCAGCATGTATAAGTTGCTGTGCTCAAGGCAAATGAAGTGTAGGTTTGGCAATTCCCTTGGGGTGGGGAGAACATCCACTTACGGGATTGTCATCCAGGGCTGGCCTCGGGGTAGAGAAGTCAGACATTTTCTGGGACCCATAACAGCATCAAAGCACACTGTTGTTTTCCTTCTTGTGTGCAAGGATCCTCAGAAGGTCCAAGGTTGGAATAAAATAATCCCAATGTGGCTAAAAAAGCACCATATATGTGCAGGAGAGAGTTACTTGCTGCTATTTGGGGGAATGTGCACACCTGGCTCTTCCAGATTCCTGGATCCTTTGGTCCTCCATCCTTCCTGGAGGATGCTTTGGCCTTGGGTCCCCCAAATCTTTGGTCCTCCACTGCTGCAAATGTTTTTCATCTGCAAGATGAAAGGTGTTAAACTCAAGCTTTTTCTCACTTGCTTCACAGCGTTCAGTTCCGTACTACCCCCATGGACAGTACAGGTGTGCCCCATATCCTTGAACACACTGTGCTTTGTGGGTCGCAGAAGTATCCCGTCAGAGATCCCTTCTTCAAAATGCTCAACAGATCACTCTCCACATTCATGAATGCCTTTACAGGTGAGCAAAGGAGGAAGCCACATCCTGACTTTTCTGCCTTGTGTAAATTGCAGTTTAGTTCTGCAGTGAAGCATATGATGGATCTCATTTCTTCTAATGGGGAACCCTGTGATGAGTGCCGGCACAAATGCCCCCAGGCAGGACCACTGAGGAACAGGAAGAGGTTATTAGCGTGCTTGGAAAAATCCCTGTGCTTGCAGAAGAACAGTGTTTTTTAAAAGGAGGTGATGGGCCCCACGACATCCTAGCAAGGTCTGAGGGTGTTCACTAGTTAAAGCTGGAAGAGAAACAAGACATGGCAGGGCAGGGCATGCCCAGTTTGAAGAGCATGGCTTGAATAGGCCATGCTCTTCATTAAGGCGGGAGAACACACTGCAAAATTCTGTTACAGGTTCTGCATGTATGTTAATTACTATTGAACAGTGAAACACACAGCTTTGTGCATTACACTGTTCAGTGTTTATCTTTTCAAGCAGAGAAGTTCTTTGCATGGTGGTGAGTTTGAGGATGGTATCTCTCCTAAACAAAATGCAGCCCTCTTGGCAGAGAGACTTTTTTGGATGTTGGCAGTACTCCCATCTCTCTGCCCCACTATCTCTTTGGGGCACGCTTCTTGCAGATGAAGGAAGTCCTCTTCAGAAATGAAGGACAGCTTTCAAAACTCTCGGTTTAGCATTTCGGTAGATGGGCTTTAATCTGCAAGTCTTTGGCTTAGATGTAAGGACAGTCGCTGCGCAGATGTAACAGAACACATCCTTAGTGTGCGGAAGATAGTAGGTTTAATAGTTGGCCTTTTCATTTAGAGGATTCCTAGTGGCAGAAATTGGGGTTGGTTTCATTTTGCTTAAGGTAGCAGCATGTGAGCAGCAGTGTATTCAAGGAACCTTGATAAAGAAGCACTATAAAGCAAAGACTTCGTTTGTTTAGTACTACAAGTCATCTTGTAGTAACGAATGAGAAGTGCAACAAAACGCTGCCATGTTCTGGGCTCTTCTTCAGTATCACAGCCAATCTGCCATGTCCCATCCCGCAGTACATTCTTCTCCCTGGTTTTCAAGTAGACCCTACCCACCCAGCGATCCGTCCGCATTCTGCAGCACGCCTGGTCCTCCTAGGTGGTTTGTGGCTTGTCCCATCGCTTTGGCTTCTTTTTTAAAATGCGAAAGCACAGCAGTTCTGCTTCCTCCTGCATGTGCCGGTGCTGTTTTAGCCACAGTGGCATTGGTACTGCCCAGAGAGACCTGCTTGGGACTCTTGGGTGTGGTTTTATAGATCAAATCAAATCAAATAAATGCATTCATGCTGTGTTTCCCCGAAAATGAGACCAGAGAATCCCATAGTGCTCTAGGCAATATCAGGAGACCATAAGATTAAGTCCAAAATGTGTTATAGAAACCATTAAGAATCTGTGCATTTCATTATTTTCTGTACAGCCAGTGACTACACCCTCTATCCATTTTCCACACAAAATCCCAAGGACTTTCAGAATCTTCTGTCTGTGTACCTGGATGCTGTGTTTTTTCCTTGTTTGCAACCGCTAGATTTCTGGTAAGGTCTCACATTTTGGCACTTTGCACAGACACAATAGCATGTCCTAAAGGAATATTGATCCATTTTTGTGTGTCTTTATCTCCTCCAGGCAGGAAGGTTGGAGGTTAGAACATGAGAATCCAACAGACCCTCAGACACCATTAGTCTTCAAGGGAGTTGTTTTTAATGAAATGAAGGGAGCCTTTGTAAGTCCTTTTTTAAATAATAGGTTTGCTTTTGATAGGGAACATTTCAGCTGTATGTTGAAATGCGCATTATAAATGGTGCTGGTTTCCAGGGTGTAAACTCCAAGCCGCAGGTGGGTGGGATAAAATCATTTAAGGGCAATCTTTGAAAAGTCTGGTTTGTGGCCCATCCTCTTTGTGGCGTACTTCTCTTCAAAGGGGTGAGCACTGGGGATTGGACCCGTGCATCAGTGTGAGCTACTGAGTTGGGGGAGGAGGACTTCCTTGCCCCCATTTCCCATGGCACCCTCTCCAGTCCTGTAAAGATGCAACCCAGAGAGTCAGGAGACCCTGCTGAGTGGGCTGAGCTTTGGAGTCCGTCTATGAGGGGATCCCGAAACACAAGGTGGAGTGGAATCCTACTCCACATGCATAGCTGATCCGACTTCAAGTGCAGTGTCAGCCTGGAGAGAAGTCTCAAGTAGACTTTTAATAGATAACTTTTGGATAAGAGCACAGAGCAGAGTTGACAGCTTGTGTCACTGTGGCCACAACCATCATGCCTCACCAGTGCTTATGCTGGCTAGGGCTGATGGGGGTTGTGGCCCTACAGGTCCTACTGGTATGGAGGGTGTGTGTACCAAATCTGCAGATGGCATGAAGCTGGGAGGGGTTGTGAGATCACAGAAAGCAGCATCAAGATTCCAAGAGAACCTGATGGGCTGGAACCAATAAAGTGGAAGTTCAACAGAATGAAATTCACCCTGCGTTAGGTACAAAAAATTGAGTGTGCCAAAGCCAGGAAAGGGAGATCTCTGGTTTGGTAGCAGCATGTGTGGAACGCTGATCACAGGTCCAAGGTGAGTCAGCAGTGGGATGCAGCTCCTAAAAAAGTGGATGCAGTCCTTGGCTGCAGTGCGGGGGTGCACAATTTTGAGGGCTCCTGGGTCCATTCCCCCCACCTGTTCTGCTGCATTGATTAAATGTTGCATGACAGAAAACACAGCAAAATCAGACATTCAGCAGCAAACCATTATGGGGACCTAGAAGAGACAATTTTAGCTTGTTTTCAAGTTAGCTGCTTTTGTTTTTCTAAGCATCTGTACCAGGTTTTTCTTCTTCTTTTTCCCAGTGTGGTGGAGGTGCAGGGTGGCAATGCCATACCAAAAGCCAGTCATGTCTGCATATTGTCCACCCCTGCATGGTATACCAGCTGTTTTGCGCACTCTGGCTCACCTGGATTAAGAGCGCTTTCCAGCTTGCATATGATATAGTCCTGCCTTCAAGGGATTCTTACATCCTCAAAGCAATCTGTCAATGTTAACTGCCATTTTCCTGTCTCGACAGCACGTGCTTTGCAGAAGTGTTTTGTTCTTACGAAAATATTTCTTTTAAGACAGACAATGAGAGAGTATTCTCTCAGCACCTTCAGAACAAGATTCTTCCCGATCATACTTATGCTGTTGTGTCCGGTGGCGACCCGTTGAAGATCCCTGATCTTTCCTGGGAGCAGCTGAAACAGTTCCATGCTACGCATTACCATCCCAGCAATGCAAGGTATCAGAAGGGCGAGAGAGGGGAAGCAAAGTCCTTGCTGTGGTAGTCCTGCATGTGTTCAGTGCTGCTAAAGCCATTTCCTTCTCCAAAGAACATCCTGGGACCTAGCAAATCAGTTAGTCTTCACTGGGTTATGTGTGTGTTTAATTTCCTGTGCAAATGCCAAAGTATTAAAAAGTGTTTTTTAAAAAGTGAGGAAAACCATTTACATGTTTGTGTTCTCTTATCTCAATTAAACTAATTCTTCGGGACATAACAGTGTCTTGGTTTGGATGACCATAGATTGTCTTAATAAGCTGAAATATGAACTAACATTTTCTCCATGCACTCAGTTCATTTCCTCAAGCCACAATTAAAACTCTAATGAACCATAGTGTCCTTGTTTAATCTGAAGCAGAAATGTATGGTGACCAGCTTTGAAGCAAGTCAGCATGTTGCACCATGCCATGGTTTGAGGTGGTTTACAATCGTGGCTTGTTCAGGAGCTGGTAACCATAATTTCCCAGCTTAAAGAAATGGGAAACTGATTAATTGGAGATTTCCTGGTCTTGCCACTCCTGTGGTTCTGTGTATGCAAAAGTCTTACATTTCAATGCAGCCAACGTCTTACAGTGTACTAAAGGAGAGGTAACTTTCCTTCAGGTGTGTTTTAGCTGTGATCTAGCCAGTTGCATCTGGTGGTCAACCTGTGCTTGCTGCTTTTAAGGATCCATTGCCCCACCCCTGTCTTTTGCACTCCCTGAAAAACCTGCTTCTAGAGGTGAGGGAGTCCTCTCGAGCAGGGGCATTGAACCTCTTTTAGGCCTCAGGCCAGACTTTCTTTCAGAGTAGCTCTCTGGGCCTGCTTTCCTGTCATAGATAAGCATATCCCTCCCACCCCAAACTAGCCTATTTTTGCCTACAGTTTTTACTGCTGGTAACTAAGCATTAGGCAAAAGGTTTGGCCTTGTAGAATGGAGAAAGTATGCAAAAGCTAGGAAACCTCTGAGTGGTTGTGGGGCAGGCATGGGGCCCCGAAAAGAGGACATGGTCCTCTGAAAAATTCTGGAGGGCTCTACTGGGGCTCAGGTAATCTAAATCTGACCTGAGACTGCATACCTGTGTTTCAAAGCTACATCTGATGAGCTGAAGGGGGCTGCAGACCAAAGGGAATGGTAGAACCTTCTGACATCTGCCCGCCCTTCTCCTCCATTCATGCAAGCTGGCCTTGCTGGAGTCAAGCTTTTATGTGGACAGTGTTTACTTAGAGGAGGAGGAGATGCTGATGATTAATGATGCCTCAAATTACAGGTTCTTTACTTATGGGAACCTTCCACTGGAGCAACACTTGAAGCAGATCGATGAGGAAGCCCTGAACAAATTCCAGAGAATTGAGCCAAATACTGCTGTCCCACCACAACAGCTCTGGGACAAGCCCGTGAGTGTTTGCTTGTTTGGTATTTGTGTGTGCCAGGATTTTGGCTTCGTGTTTAAGTGCTTAAGGTGTGTGTACAAGATAAAGGCCGTCTTGTCCCATGGGCCTGTTCCCTGTGTAACCCTCTGGCAAAGTTGGGCATTTAATGGCCAGAGCTGGCTTCCAGGGCTCTCCCTCTCATCGGAGAGGCTGAGACTGCTAAGCTTGGGTGTCATGGAAAAGCAGCACATTAGAAGGGTGGCAGTTTTTCTAGGGCCAGGGAGGGCCTGGAGCAAGCCCTGTTTGTGAGAGTTCTGGCATGGATGCCAGTATCACTTGCTGGGCCTTGGGTGCTCCACAGAGGAGGTCCTTAGAAGGAGGTGTCCACAGATCAGGCTGGCCTTTGGTGCTGCACAGAGCAGGCGATACCATTTGTCATTCCACCTCAGGCAGCAAAATACTTTGGGCTGCTCTTTCTGGCTTAGCAGGCTGAACACGACTCTTGGTTTCATTGCACCTGTCTTAGAAGGAGGTGTCCACAGATCAGAGGTGGGGAACCTGTCTTGTACACAGAAGGAGTCTTGGCACCTCAAGTTAATAAAGGACCAGGGAGCAGGTCCTTCCGATAGAGAGGAAGACCCCCTGGCTTTCTACGCACGGAGCAGGCCTTCTCGCTCCCACCCAGATGTCTTAGCTTGGTGGGAGATGGCCAAGCTCAATTCCTCTGTCTACCTCTTAGGGGACTTGGTTGGATGGTGAAGGCTAAAGTTAGTCCTCCTCACTGGGATGAATGGGGCTTAGGTTAGTCATAGATAACCTAGATGCCATTCATTTCAGTGGATCTGCATGGAGTACTACCCAGAGCTGGGAAAGCCCACCGTTAGAGAAGTTAGGACTGTCCCTCTAGTCAGTGGTAGTCCAAGCATGGCTAGTTGAATCAACAGCCATATTGAGAATGAGGAAGTGCAGTCTGTTCACCTATAGCTCGTTGCTCTGAAGACCCCTCTGCCAGTGATACTCGCAACTTGGGAACAGCCCAGCTTCTAAAATGCGGGGAAGAAAATGGCAACCCTCCTGCTGCATTCATTGGTTTCTCCTTCACAGAGGGAGCATCATGTGACGTGTGGTATGGATTCCTTTGCTGCAGACCCCAAGAAGCAGACGATGGTGAGCGTAAGCTACCTCCTGGCAGAGTAAGTGGGTCGGAAGATGAAATTTAAATTGCTTATACTTATCTCATGATTGCTATTTCCAGCTGTGGATGTATTTGGAAGCATCTCCTGGTACAAAGGACCTTGAGCAGTGTTCAGTTCTGTTGATGCCTTTCTGGTGGTGTGTGAGTTTGTGTGTGTGTGTTATACTGCCCTCTGCCAAGGAACCTGTGGAGCTCCATCAACAACAGTTTTGATGTTAAAAGAATTTGACTAGTTCAAGCCTTCCCAGTGAACTTCCTGGCTGGCTGGAGATGTGAAGCTGCTGCCTGGGGTCCCCTCTTTTTGCATGACATCCAGTCTTGTGAAGGGTGTGAAGCATTAAAATCATTCTGTCCCTACATTGTGGAGAAATTTTCTGTGCTCGATTCCCAGGAGACAAGGTGCAATTCTGCCAATTGCCAAGCTGAAATTAAAGGATGCTGTGCACTGGGTGAGATGTCCCACAGTGGTACCCTAAAATTTTCTTTTTCTGCCTTCAGTATTACAGATACTTTTGAAAACTTCACCTTGAACCTCTTGTCATCTTTGCTGGTTGGTGGTCCGAATTCTCCCTTCTATAAAGCTTTAATTGAGGCTGGTCTGGGTACAGATTTTTCACCTGATGTTGGGTAAGTGCAGCCTGTGCTTAACATACAATCAGAACCTAGTGGCTGCAGAAATGAGCAAGCTAGTCTTCAGGGGGGCAGGGCCAAAAGCAGGGTCAGACTGGGCAGCCACCAGAAGGCCTCAGAAGGCCTCTGCATCTTGCTGAAGCAACAGCTCTCCTTTGTGCAGCTGAGAACATTCCACACTGCTCCATCCAGAGTTCCAACTAATGGGGTAGTGCCAAAAAAATACCCAGTTTATTTTAGCTTAAAGCTCTTGTTTCCCTTACTAGAAGCATCTCAGTCTTCTTCAGAATGGAAAAATGCTCTTCAATATTTACCGAGACCAACTTTTTAAATTATTTATCCGCTGCATAGAGGGTTTTACAAGGACAGCATAAATCGATCTTCCATACCCTTTTAAGAGCTGAAAGACTGATGCTACAACATTGGAAATTCAAATCACCACCTAGAGCGCAGTGGATGGAGAACATAACACTACGTTCATATCTGAATGGATGGTTTTGAAACCCCATCTGTAAATGGAAGAACGTGACTATTTTGTCTGCCTTTCTGAACCTGATGCTTAATTGTTTATAGTAGCATCATAGAATAGTAGAGTTGGAAGGGGCTGGAAAAGCCATCAAGTCCAGCTCCCTGCTCAGTGCCATCCGTCAGGTAAAGCGTCCCGGACGGATGGCTGTCCAGCTGCCTCTTGAATGCCTCCAACGTGGGTGAGCCCTCAACCATCCTAGTTACTGGTTCCATTTCTGTACTGCTTTAACAGTCAGGATTTTTCCCCTGATATCTAGCTGGAACCTGGCTGCCTGTAGCTTGAGCCTGTTATTCCACGTCCTGCACTCTGGGATGACTGAGAAGCGATCCTGGCCCCTTTCTATGTGACAGCCTTTCAAGTACTTTAAGAGTCATATCTCCCCTTGGCCTTCCATTCTCAAGGTTAAACATGCCCACTCTCTCCTCACAAGGCTTTGTTTCCAGCCTCCTGGTCATCGTTGTCACCTTCCTCTGAACTTTTTCCAGTTTGCTTGCATCTTATTTCCCTCCCCCCAAATTTTTTTTGACAGGAAAATAACCATAAATACCATACTTCACAACAGTGATAATATAACATAACAAGAACACAATAATTAAGAAAAGGATAAATAAAAAATGATTGAGTGTCCCCACCACCCCGGAGACCAATATTACCACCGTTCACATACTGTAACAATTAATAATATATAATATGCTTCAATTATATCCATATCCCCTCCAAAAATTCATATAATCTTGATTGGGTTTACAGCCTTTGCCTTCTATCAGTATTGCTTTTACAAAATCTTCCCAAATTTCTTTATATTTATTTGCTTTCATTAACCCTTTTTATTTTTCTTTCTGTCATCAGTTTATCATTAATTACCATATTCCATATTTCATTATACAATTCATGACTTTGCAAAACCCAGTTCTGTTTCCAACTTTTAACTATCGCTAGCCTAACTGCCATTATCGTACTTACAATCAGTTCTTTCTTAGCTTCATTTATATCTTGTTTTTCTATCAACAGTAATAACACCATTCTCGGTGATGTGCCGGCATCTTCTTGATAGCTGTGTTTTTATATATTGACTTTATTTATTTATTTATTTATTAAAACATTTCTATGCCGCCCCTTGCCGAAGCCTCGGGGCGGCTCACAGCCCAAATAAAATACAATAAAATACAAAAATAACAATATAAAATTAACAATATAAAATAAATAACTATATAAAAGAAGTCACCCGTATAGTCATGGGTATCCATTTCATGCACACCTATTCAAACCGATCTGCTTTATTATTGTGTGAAAAGTGTCATTTTATGGATTAGCATTTGTTTGCTTATGTTGAAATTCACATTCACAGTGCCTCCCTCTTGTTGAACTGCAACACGTTGATACGATTTGGCGAAGAAATGCAGCTCTTTCTTCTCCACGTTCTTCCCAAGAGTAAACCTTGCATGCTATTAAGACTGTTTGCGTTCCTTTCGCCATGTAGGTTTAACAGCTCCTCACGCGAAGCCTATTTCAGTGTCGGCCTTCAAGGGATTTCTGAGGAAAATATTGACACTGTCAGGCAAATTATCGCTCGAACTATTGATGAAGTCATTGAGTAAGTAAAAGCTGTGTGGTTTTTGGCTCTTCTGTCCTCCCCATATCACTTCAATAGGTGTTTGTTTACATTTACACAACATTTAGGTTCTGTGGTATTCTGAAAAGTGATCCTATCTTTGCATTCAGAGAGCATGAGAAGCTTTTGTTGATCTTGAGGTCTTTAGATAAGTTATATATAATTATTTATTTTAAAGTTTTATATTCTGCCTTTTGATCAATTGCTCTCCAAGGAAGCATACAGTGAAAACCACCTTAGAGGAACCCACAAAGTGATTAAGGCAGCAGAAATTGGCTTCAATTGGCATCTATTTGTGGATCAGCTGTATGGTTATATCCCACTGTAAGATGGAGCAAGCAAAGCTGCTTTTTCCTGGTGCCTAAGAGGAAGTAAATTGGTCAGGGAGGACCCGCCAGGGTGCCGTGACAGAAAGGCCCTGTCATGGGTGGATGCTTCTCTAAATTCCCAGTGCAGAGGCAATGGCTCAGAGCTTGCACAGTAAAGAAACCTATTCATACCTATTCCACTTGTCTTGCTACATATTTATTGGTTGCTTGCTCTGTATAGTTCAGTACATGCAAGACTGTGTATGCAGAATCAAAAACTAGCCTTTCTGAGTTGTTTAAATGAAGCAGATTTGAATCTGCTTTCCTAAGCATATTTCTGCTTCTTATGAGCCCAGCCCTCACCCCCAATCCTTCTGCTTAGCTATCCTTCCTCTACCCATCCCTCAGTATTCATATTTGCAGTCTTAAGGGCAAGAAACATGATTTTTAAAAGGAGAAAACCTAGAATCCTGAATTATTTGCATCATACCAATGTGTCTGCTTGGCTAGCATGGACACAGAATGCACACAGGAAGAGAAGCTATCTCTTCTTCCTTGCTCATGCTGATATTATAAGGATGCAAGAAGAATCGCCAGAACAGAGGCTCATTGCTTTTAGAGTGCCAGAATCTAAGCTGCCATCTTGCAGCAGAGTTACCTGTTGTGTGTCTCTTGAGGAATGGATTTGAGGAAGAAAGAATTGAAGCACTGCTCCACAAAATCGAGATCCAGATGAAGCACCAGTCAACCAGCTTTGGACTTGCCTTAACTTCCGTAAGTGCTCTTTCTCCAGCGGATGGTAAGGACCTGCCTCCAAGCTTTGGGTCACATCCAGATTTAATCACACCTCGAGTGACTGGATGGAGTCCCATGGATTGCACCTAAACCACAGCTTAGTCCAGATTCAGCTGTTGGCATTGCTCAGATGGTACATGGCAGAGTCCCTTGCTAGTTGGTCTTAGCTGCAAAACTAAAACCTTGGTTAATAGTAATTCTATGTAATAGAACAAAACGGCGGGAGATGAGGACATGCATCCCCAGGAAGGTCCAGTGACCTTTCTCAGCTTTTCACACACGAGATAAATCTCTTTGGTTCTGCTGTTACTGGTAGAGCAGAGAAAGGCAACTGTGGCCTTCAGGATGTTTTGGTCTACAACTCCCCTTTGCCTTACTCAGCGTAGCCCGTGGCGAGGAATTGTGGGCATGTCAGCCCACATGTTGGCTGCTTGAGGTCTAAGATGTTGCTCCTCTCCAACCCTCCTGAGATGCGATCCACACCTGTGCCTCCTTCTCACGCAGGGGGTGGAGCTTTGCCTGCTGCACTGTGGGAATTTCTGGTGGCACACCCATCTTCTCCACTTGGTCCTCGGGTCAGATTGGGCACTACATAGGGGGGAAAAGTGAGTCAGAAGCGGCCTCCCAGGCCATCTAGTCCAACTCCTGACTCCAGCCAGCAATGCCCATTAATCCCCAACATGTGGTCGTCCTGCCTCTCCTTGAACACCCACACTGATGGGGCCTCCACCACCCCGCTTGGAATTCCGTTCCATATCCTAGGGGTCCTAACCATCAGGATGTACTTCCTGACATCCCAACTGACACTTGGTTCCTTGAGCTTTGCCCCATTGGAACGTGTCCTGCAGGGAAGAGCAGGCCATGGCCTCACTACAAGTGAAGCAGAGCAGCTGCCTCGGGCAGGATGGCTTGTTGCCCTGGTCCTGCATCTGTCGTATAGGGTGTGTCTGTCTGGATTCCCTTCCCACTGCCTGCCTTTCCTCTCTTTTTGCAGTATATTGCCTCTTGTTGGAATCATGAAGGAGACCCTGTAGACCTGTTAAAGATCGCTGAAAAGGTGTCTCGGTTCAGGCAGTGCCTCCAGGAAGATCCCCAATTCCTGCAGAAAAAAGTAAAGCAGTACTTTAAGGTAAGACTCAGTTAAAGCAGGCATGTGGGACCTTGTTCAGCCTGAGAGCTGCACAGGAGCTGCATTCCAGTGAGGGCAGAGCCAGAGGCAAAAGGGGCAGGGCAAACATATTAAAAAGACAAACATGGTTTAGCTTCCAGCTCTTACTGCCAGTAATGGAGCCTTAGGAGATGAAATTCAACCTTTTAGAATGGGGAAATAGTTCACAAACTGAAAAAAATCTGTGGTGGGGAAAAGCTGTTGGGGACGTGATATGGAGGGAAGAGTCAAGGAGACCAAGACCGTGTGAGGGAAAGCTGGGCTGTGAAATGGGTATTTTGTGAATGACTCTGTGGACTGTGGCAGCCGTTTTGTGACAGCGCCCTGACACTTTCCCAGCATTCCAAGCATGTTCATTAGGCTTGGTAAGCCTTTGCACATTTGGGGGTTCTTTTTATGCTTGCCCCCCTCTGCCTGGCCCCATTGTATGTGTAGTTGTGTTCTTGTAGCATTGTGATTTTGCTTCTGTAATGAGATCTGTAGAAGGCATTGACAGCAGTGCTGGAGCAGGCTTGGGAGGAACGAAGACAGAAATAAATGTCCCATTGATTGGCACCCTTCTGCTTTGGCATGGCTCTTGGCAACAGGATAACCCCCATAAACTGATGCTGTCGATGAGTCCGGATGCAGCTTTCTATGAGAAGCAAGCATCAATGGAAGCAGCAAAACTGAAAGAGAAGGTTGAGGCTCTTTCTGAAGAAGAGAAGAAACAGACCTATGAGAAAGGTTAGTCTCTTCTGCGCGCTCAGTCTTTAAAAACAGGTGCATAAAGGATTTGGTTCCCCCGTAGGCTGAGTCAGGGGCACCTCAAATCAGGTTTCGAAAGTGGAACTTGTCATTTCTCAGGGCCACTTTTGCATCATCTTTCCTCAACTGGCTGCCTTCCAGATGGCTGGACTAGAACTCCCAGTATCTCCCAGTCAACATGACTGACTCCAGTGGTTTTCCCTTTTCTCCCTTCTTTCAAGCATAACAAAACTATAAAAAGAAATCACAATAAACATGAGTACAAGCATGCAAAGCTTCCATCTGCTATTTGAAAATGTTTTTCCACCTGGCCTGCTAACACTGGACCCTGACCAGCAGGGAGAAGGAAGAGAGGGAGTCTCTCCTATTCCTGTAGCTGGAGGCCCTTTAGCTGAAGACTGACCTCCCAAACATCAGCAAGCAAGGCATGCACTCTTCCTCCGAGATGCGCCATGTCCACGGACATTTACAGCAGTGCTACTGTGCAGACTGACCCTTAATTTCTTCCCTCTGGAAGCCCGTTTGCATATAATGGCAAGTGCCAGTTTCTGCTTGTAGAATTTGGTGTTGCTTATTCCAAAACTAGGAACATTTTTGGAATGGAATTCTGTGCCTTGAATACATCACTCAGCTTTCTCTAACCCTGACTGGGAATGATGAGGGTCATAGTGCAACACATCCAGAAGGCACCAGCTTGTGGAAGGCTGATTTCTCTTTTCATCCAGCTGATTCCATAGCTGTGACCATTAGATTATTTTAAATACTGTTTTCAAGCAAGCTACTTTTCCCTCCTGTTAACCTGAAGCAGTAGTTTTCAGAGCCCCTTCTGGGTGCCCTGAGGTGCTCTGACAGCTTTATCAGGTTTCCTTAAAGATAAGCTTGGTCACAGCTGGCAGGCATCAGCTTGGATGATGGAACAAGATAATTGGCCGACCATCATCAATGCTTTTTTCCTTGGCTTTTCTAGTTATTAGAGTTATAGCCTGCCTTTCCTTGAAGGAGCCACACACATGCCTCTGTAATGGAGCACAGGCTAAGGAAGGGTTAAGCCTGGGCATGAGCTATGGGGATGCAAAAAGCCCTAAGTAACTGTAAATTACGTCCAAGGATGGAACCATTCACAACCCCCCAAGGCCAGAGATTTCAGGCCTAAAAGGTATATGAGTTTCACCTGGGTGTTGCCATGAGATGTCACCCAATGAGTCACCTGTTCGATCTCATGGGATAAAAGCAGGGAGCTGGGATGGATTGGGGTTTCTCTTTGAGGAGAGGTTCCCTATTACTGCCAGAAACTCTGCCAAAAAATGCTGTGCTATTCTAGGCGGAAGAAGGCTAAGTTGGGTATTGTATCCTGTGTCAGTGGTAGAAACTGCTAGCCTTGTTATTTTCAGTCTGAAGAGGCCAAACAGCCTGGGGGTCTTGCAGGGAGCCCAGTAGTGTGAGTCCAGTGAAATTCCTGTCTTCCAATTCGCTGTTCCTTTCCGTACCCTCCTTGTTGTGTGTTGTATGTATGTGGTAGTGTTTTAAGAGCCTCCACCCCTGTATTGTCTACCGTGCCTGTTAATAAATCTATTTTCCCCCAAGCTTGGGTTTCATGTGCTGAATCCGGTCTCTGGCCCTGGAATTTGGGGGGTCCAGGGAAGCAGGGGAGAAAAGTGAATCCTGCCAGCTGCTGGAAGTGGGGATCCAGGGGCCGCTGATTGTTACAGCATCTTCGCCCACTCCCCAAGTTTCTCACAACAATCCCAGGAGGTAGGTTAGCGTAAGAGTTTCTGGCTTCGCAGTGAATCTCATGGCCATGTGTGGACTTGAACCTGGATCGTTCCCAGTCTGACTCTACACTTTTGCCACTACTCCATGGTGGCTCCCCTTCTCCTCCAGTGAAAAAGCAAAAACCTGCTTGGGTCCTGGGTGAATTCTGTAGTTCACATAAGGGGGCAGTGATACCCAGTGGTCAGGGTTTGTCAGTGGTCCACAAATTGAGCCTGCTCTGGTTTGAACATGCCCCACTAACCAATGGAAAGCATAGGACTGCCTCTCTCGTCCTGGTGCTCTCCAGGTGCATGGCTGAAGCTGATGGAAGGTGTAGTCCAATACTTCTGCGGGGCACTCTGACTGGGGCGGGCCCTTGAAGCAATTCCATGGTTGACATGCAGAGTTTGCTCTACAAATAGGCGGTGTGAAAACTTCCACTGATTCTCAGGCAGGGGTGCTGATCCTTAGGCCGGTGGGCCAAATCTCTCGGCATGTGTTGTCAGAACTGCACACTATCGCTCTGCTGTTGTCCACTAGGTTTGGAGCTGCTGGACCTGCAAAGCAAGCCTCAGGACCTGTCCTGCCTCCCAGCTCTGAAAGTTTCGGACATTGAACCCACAATTACCTTTACTGAGATGGAGACGGCACTTCTAGGTTTGAGTCCCTGAAGTCTTGGAGCAAGGGAGGTGGGAAGAATGAAACCACAAGGCTCTGCTAAACGTGAATGTACTGCCATCTTCCTGGGCCTTGTGCTTGGCTTGGGAGGATCCCTGGCTGACTGGGGATGATAGTTGCAGACCTCCTCTTCTGGAACAAGGCCAGGTTTGGGAAGGCTGGCGTGGAACCTGCATAGCACCTAGCAGCTTGCTTAGTGGCTCTCTGTTAAAAAGTTTCTTCATCTGAAACTTGGACTCTCCCTCTCCCAGTGCGTTCCCTGCTCTTCTTATCTCTGAGAAGAGAAGGGAACCATGTTTATATAATAAGGGCACAGAAGTCCTGGAAAACTGCAGTTCCCTGGGCTCTTGGCAGGGGAGGGCTCCTGGTGGATTCAGTTTTAGGGCCTCATGAAGGCCCATGACAGCTGCTGGGAGGTAAATTTGGGGAAAGAGTGGCAGAGAGCTCAAAATGGATCTCAACTCTCGCAAACCCAGTTGAAAACCCCCCTTCCTTTCCCCTTCCCTTTACTTTAATAAATTTTCTCGGTTGGGCTTTTGGGCCAGGTTGTTTCACTTCCTTTGAGCATTCAAGGTTTGCTTCCCCCACATTGTCTAGACCATTTGGCTTACACTTTCCAGGGGAGCTGAGATTGCAACTTCTTTGTCATGAGTAAATGTGAGAGATCTGGGAAGGGCCTCCCACTCCACTGGTGAACTGGCTAATTCAACACACCTGGTAGGAATATGGAAGCCAATGCACTGATCCTGGCCTGCAGGGTGGTACTTCCATTGCATGTTTGTGGCGTGGCCACATTGTGTGGCCTGGTGGAGCCAGCATGCTAGTTTTCTTCCTAACAGCTGAGTCCTCAGCCTCTGTAGGTCAACATGATGATGGTTGACATCATCACTCGATGCTCCTGACTTTCTCTTATTGGTCCCCAGCTGAGGATGTCCCGGTCCAGCTCTGTGCTCAACCCACCAATGGCATGGTGTATTTCCGAGCTGTTTGCAGCCTCAACACCCTCCCGGAGGAGCTTAGGCCGTACGTTCCCCTATTCTGCAGCGTCATCACCAAGTAAGCAAGTTTCCTGTTTGCTGGTTATTACTCCAACAAATTCCAAAACCCGTTATCAGCCTAATGCCTTTATTAGGCCAAGCAAAAGATCACAAAACTCATGCAGGCTATTATGATCTCCAGAGTCCTTCCTCAGGCATGACATTCGAAAAAGCTGGTGTCCGATTGAAAGATCTGAAGAGCTTGAACATTTTGGAATCTTTTGGTGAGCCTAATAAAGGTATCACACCAGCTTTAGAATTTTACTTACAGTCAAGCGAGCTGCTTTTGTGTTTTCTTTTGTACAGACTGATAATGGGCCCTTCTTGTAAATCATTGTTTATTCTCAAATAAGCTGAGCTTGGGTGAGGGTTAGGTGAGAAATCTAACGGGAAGTGAAAATCCAGTGGTTTTATTGTTTGGCCCTCCGATCCTGTGCTGTCGCCAATTCAGTACGGTGGGAGTCAAGTGAGCTTGTGGATGTCAGTCTCTAGGATAGGTGGTGGTTTGCACATTAAAAAAAGGCCAAGGAAATTTGTGGAAAATGGGCAATTGATACAAACTGGCACTTGAGAAGCATGCGGTCCTCATATGATCAGCACAAATCATGCGACAACCTCATGCTTTTCATGTTTCACTTTGTGCAAATTTCCTTTTCTAGAAAATGAGCAAATTGTGGCTCATCTAAGAGTAGGAAGTGTGTGGAAACCACCCAGGACTATGGATCAGAAGCATTAGACAAGAAGTCCAGGCACAAGTAAGCCAGACCTTCCAGAGTCAAGCACATCCCTAGTCTGGGGAATCAGTGGGGATGGAGGTCATGGATGCTGTTCTTCTAAATGGAAACTCTGTCAGTCTCGTTCAAGTGTTTCGCAGCCGAAGTGGGTAAGACAGACCAACTCAAGCCATGCCACAGAAATTCAGTGCATTCCAGGCCAATGGTCCTAACACTCAGTGTGGGACTAGACTACCACACTGATGTTTAAAGTTGGGGGCTTGGAAGGACTTTATGAGGGCAGAAGATGCTCCCCTCGTTGCTTCCGAGATTCAGTGTTTCTGACCTCCAAACTGCTTGGCTGCTCGTAGGAGCAGCAAGGAGCATGTGAGAACCTCCGGCCCACATATGCTACCTAATGATTTCCAGGTGTTTTGAACTGCAGTTACCAGAATCCCCAACCACTGGCCATGTGGGCTGCAGCTCGTAGGGGTTGTAATCCCAAATATCCAGGAGGCAGTAGGGTGCCTGCTCCAGTTTGATTCGAAGTGGGAGACCAGCGTAGCCTTTTCTAATGCCATGATTGCATTCCCTCCCTAGGGCATGCCCATCTTTACAAACACAGCAGTGGGCTTTGTACATGGAGCTGCGATGCTCAGGCATTCCTTGTGGGCCTAGCACCCTCTGAGTTGGAGCTCCCAGAAGGAGAACTCTTACTCAAAAGAAAAAGGGACAGGAGCTACAGAGCTGGCTTGTGTATGCTCATGCGCCTGCATCATCCGACTGTGGAAATTTGTAGGCCAGCTTTCAAGGGGTGACTTTAAATACACCAGGGGCTGCTTCCATACCTTTGTGGATTTTCAGATCTGACACCTTCTCTGCGAATTGCAGGAGGCAAGCTGTGGGTTTGTGTGTATGTACACACACATATTTGCTTCTCTTGCTCTGTTCAGAGCTCCTGCATAGTGTCCCTTGCTGATTCTGCCTTCTGCCAGAAATCCATCACAAAAGAGAATGATTCCTCCTGCTGTCTCAGCTCTCCATAATTTGTACAGAATTTCTAGGGAACATGTCTTTGCATTGGCTGTGGAAGACATGGCTTTTGCTATACTGCCTGAATTTGGAGATCTCCAGCCTAAGATAACGAACTCTAAGTGAGGGGGGCAACCCACAGTAATTTCCATGGCAGAGTGAATCATGCTCAAGCATGCAGGAAGTTCTGCTAATTTCACCTTTTCTCTCCCTCTTGCAGGATGGGGTGCGGTGCTCTGAGTTACAGAGAACAAGCTCAAGAAATAGACCTGAAAACTGGGGGCCTTTCCGTCATCCCTCACATCACTGCGGATGACTCCCATCTGGATGTCTACGAACAAGTAAATCAGCTGCCAGTTAACTGGCTCTCATTTTCTTTTAATAACGGAGCTGTGTTAACAAGGGATTGTGAAAGGGTAAACCCACTGAAATGATTGGGACTTAAGTTAAATAAACGCTGGGTAAAACCCACTGGATGAACTGTCATTTTTTCACTCTTGGTTACAAACCTAGTTCAGAATTAGCCAATGTTGCTTGAATTGGACAGCTGCAGGCATATCCTTCCAATGCAACAGATAGGCCAATGCTTTTAAAACATCTTAAAATGGGCATATTGTGACATTTCTCACAGTGGGGTGATTAAAATGAGTTACTAATCAAGAAATCTCTGTCCCTGCTTTCAGTTCAGTCGGAGGCTTAAGCAAACATTTTTCTCTCTCGGTCTCAGTATTCAACATCTTTGATTTATAATATTGGGATAATAACTCTAATCCACTTTGCAGGGCTTTTGTAAGAATTACTGAGATAATGCATGGATATAGCACAGGTCTGAACATGACAAATACAGTATCTTCCCAAGTATTGTTAACTGTTCTTTGGCTTTCCATGAGATTGTATCCTCCGGATAGTTATGACTACAGCTCCCAGGATTTCTGACCATTGGCCCTATAGATTGGGACTGATGGGAGCTGAAATCCAAAGTATCCAGAGAGCTACAATTTGAGAGGGGCTTCTGCGGTGGGAGAATTACCATCAAGTTTGTCTCCACTACTCTTGAACTAGGAAGGAACAAGATGGGAGAACTCTCCCAAACTGATTTTAAGAAGAGGTTTGCCAAACCGGTCCCTACCTCTTAGTTGAACTCTTGTCCTCAGGTGGAGTAGCTAACATTAGCAATGTGTGTGAATTTCAGTTTTGCTCACAAGCATGCCCGATTTAAAGCTCTGCGCAGGGGTGTGAGATCATGTTTACTGAAACCGGTTTCCAATCACCAAGCACTCCATTTTGCTTCATCTCCTCTATTTATTGGTTTTTTTTCAATTTATATCCCCAGTTCTTAATGAACCGAGGCAGCTTATATCATTTTCCTCCTGCTCTCAATCTTATCCCCACAACAGCCTTTTGAGGTAGGTTGGATTGAGAGTCTGTGACTGACCCAAAGCCACCCAGTTGGCTCCATGGCCAAGCAGGGACTGGAATCCAGGTCTGGTGGACTAGACTAGACTAGATTCCAGTGCTCTTCACCACCACCTCACACTGGCTCTGTAACCCATTGGAGAACTGCAAAGAGCAGAGCTTTCTCAAGCATTTTGCTCAGTGCCTCCATGTCTTTTTCACTGAACAAGTCGTTTGAAGGACTTTGTCTTTTGAAGGACACTGAGATGGTCTGTGCGAAACCCCATTAAAACTGTGAAGAGCTGCCAAAGAGCAGAAGTGTGCTGGAGACAATCCCAGTCTAGGACATGGTGAAGAATTTATTTTTACAAAAGAATGCAATGATGGTATTGATGTAGCTTCTGTTTAAAACTTTGTAACAGGGATTAATGGTTTGGGGTGGCACTCACAAGATTTAAATAATTAGCAGTTATTTTCTTTTACCAGATGTCCCAAACGTGGTCACATATAAGTCAATTACATGGGTGTGTCATATTCTTTGTCCAGTGGTGTGATCTCTCTTCTTGTTCAATTTTTCTATTAGGGTGTGCTCTTCAGCTCTTTGTGTCTGGATAGAAATCTACCTGACATGATGCACCTCTGGAGTGAAATATTCAACAAGTACAGTATATTATTGTTCTTAGATGCTGTCTCTGTGACAGGGTTGACCCAAAGAATGGAAGTCCTCCAAAATGTTCTGTCCTTGGCTTATTTGATGGAATAGGCAGTAATTCTGGGAGACATATTTCTTAGTTTTAGCACAGATGCTCATTTTCCTGATAGCTGACTGCTTTTTTACACAGGCCTCTTAAGCTTGGGGACATTCAAACCAGAATACCCCCCTCCCCATGTGACTGCTTTTGGTTCCTCTCAGTTCATTTAGGAATCCCAGTTCATGTAGGACAGATAAAAGGAAGTGCTTCTCCACACAGCATATCATTAAACCGTGGAATTTGCTGCCGGGAGAAGTGGTGATGGCCACCAGCCTGGATGACTTTAAAATGGGATCGGCAGATTCATGAAGGAGGAGCCTGTCTGTGGCTACTGGCCTCGCTGACCCTGTGCTTGCTGCTTTACCAGAGGTGCCATGCATGCTGAGGAGCTTGGGCAGGAGGTCTTGCACCCGTCCTGCTGGAGGGATTCTGCAGGGAGCTGCTTTGCCACCATGTGTGCAGAGCGCTGGGCTAGATGGACCTTTGGCCTCACCCAGCATGGCTTTTTCTTATGTTTTTATTTATGTATTTATTTAGAGGACTTCTATGCCGCCCCATTCGCCGAAGCCTCGGGGCGGCTCACAATCATAAATAAATAACATAATATAAAACAATATAATGTTCTTTACTCCATCCTCCTTGTTCCTATAAACCGCCTTCCAACTTGGTCAGAGAACCTGAAAGTTCCTGTCCCACCTGACATTTTGGTGCCTCCTGCATTTGAAAGAGATATGCCAGGCCAACCTGTGGAAGTTGTAGAGACGGCCTCATCCTGTGCTACGGGGTTTGCTCCCCAAGGCCCCGTTACTCTGGTTTTTAAAAGCTGAACAGGAAGATAGAATCTTCTCTCCAGAGCCTCAAAAACTCTTGAACACAGTGTTTGATTTTTACTAATAGTTCAAGATTCTTCACAGGTTATGCTTTTTAGACTTGCTCCTAAAAGAAATGGCGTGTGGAATGAATAGCCTCATATCAGTGGAAAAATCAGTGGAGGCAGCTGGAAGAATGCATGGCATTCCAGCGCAGTTAGTCAGGAACCCTGTGGTGGTGTGACTGTGCTGGATTGGTGTGGAGTGACCAGTAGTGAAGCAGGATTGGTCTGCTTGGGGAAATTCCTTTTTTTCTGTTTTGTTTTTAATACAGTGGCCATATTAATGGGACAGAGACGTTGGGTCCCTTCTCTCCGTGCCCTTGACTTTCTGGGCCAATGTGCTGGTTGAGGGCATTCGAGGGGAGCTTGCTATCCAATTCCAGGGACCAAAGAGCAATTTGGGGGGGGGGGTTTGAACATCATCTCCCCCGAGATAGCCCAGGTCATTTAATTGCTGTTTTCCTGATCCAACGAGTGTCCCCCACCCATTCTCGAAAGGCTGAAATGCCACTTCTAAGGCTAAATTACTGGCAAGAAGAGCTTTTAAGTTAAATATCTGGCACTGAATCTGGCTCTTGGGCTTTGCCCTGGTGGGCCATTTAGATGGAGCTGATCAAGTTCTAAGCCTTCCCAGTGCTTCATTCCTATGGGGTGTTTGCCACAGCATGGCTGACCTTTCCTCCCTTCCCTTTGTGCCCTCTCCCTTTGCAGCCCCCATTTTGAAGAGGAGGAACATTTCAAAGTCTTGGTGAAGATGATGGCTCAAGAGCTCTCAAATGGAATTCCTGATTCCGGACACCTGTACGCCTCCATTAGAGCAAGCAGAACCCTGACCCTGGAGGGGGAGCTGCGAGAAATGTTCAATGGCATGGAACAGGTGAAGCAAAGGGCGTGGTAGCAGTGTCGGAAGCAGCCTTCTTCCAGTCACGCTTACTGGTCTAGCTAGCCCAGTGCTGGTTTGCTAGAGTAGCAGGCAGACAGAGGTCTTTCCCAGCACCTGCTGGCTGATCTTTTCCACCGGAGAGGCCACCAATGGAACCCACAGCCTTGCCCGTCCAAAGCAGGGCTGCTGCTGTATCCGTGGCTGCTTTTGTGCAAGGTGTAGAACTCCGTTGGAGCCCCTTCCAACATGAGTGCCCTGGCATGGGTTCCGCTGTCGGATAGATCCTTTAGGAAGCATCAGACACTCCAGCTCACTGGGGAATGGTGTGATAGCCCCGTGGGGCATCCCTCGTGCAGCAGCAGTGGGGATGTGTGAGCTATCCATTTGGTGCTCCGCTGCCCCGACTCCAGTCTGCCTTGTGGCAGCCCAGAGTCCAACCTCCGGGCAAAGACGCCCCAGGAGTTGAGCCCTTGAGCTGTTGCCAGCAGCAGCTGCAGTGAAAGGGAGGAAGGTTGGTTGCCAGGTAGGCACCTGGCAAACTCCAGGTGCTTCTTCCCCGTGCGTGCTGCTGCTGGCACCTGCATGCAGAAAAGAAGGTTGCTCGCCACTGGCACGCACGCTCACAACCCCCCTTTCCACATCTGGCAGCCATCCTGGCACGGCAGCTTGGCATTTGCACAGTGAGGCATCCGCAAGCGTTTCTGGGCTTCCGCTTGGCTCTGCTCTCTTTGCAGGACTGGGCTGAGCCTATGGATGCTGGAGGGATGGGTTCTGAAAGTGGCTACCCCAGCCCTAAGCATCAGTACTCCGGTCAGCGGAGGAGAGATGATCTTGGGAAGCTGACTCCAATACGCTAGCCAGCCAGCACCCTTGCCAGGAATTTATTTATTTATTTAAAATATTTATATGCCGTCCTGTCGCGAAAGCTTCAGGACGGCTTACATAAATGAAATAACATAAAATAGAACATGACTAAATTCCTGACCCACACTGGCTGCAGTTAAAAACATATAAGAGACAATATTAAAACTTATTAAAATATTGCAGAAATAAAAAGGTGTTAACCTCGCGCCGAAAAACAAATAACGACGGCACCAGGCAGACCTCTCTGGGGAGCACATTCCATAGGTGGGGCACCACGGCAGAGAAAGCCCTCCTCCAAGTATTTACCCTCCTAATATCCTTCATGGAGGGTTCCCGAAGAAGGGCCTCTCTCACAGATCTCAGGGGGCGGGAGGGCAAATATGGAAGAAGGCGTTCCTTTAGGTATCATTAAAAGAACAGGAGAAAAAAGGTTTGCCTGGCACCCAAAAGAAAAAAGCATTGGCGCCAGGGGAACCTCTCTGGGGAGCGCATTCCATAGGCGGGGTGCCACCGCAGAGAAGGCCCTCCCCCGGGTCCTTTGCCTCCTAATCTGGGCAGTGGGGCTGGTGGTTATTGTTACCACCATTATTCTTTCATGAATATTCAACCAGGGCACAGGTGGCTGCCATAGTCCTTCTCCTGCCCGTTTTATTCTCACAGCAGTCCTGCGAGGTAGGCTGGGCCGAGAGTGCCTGAGTGGCTCCAGCTCCCCTCAGAAGCATCCGGCCCCAGTGGGAACTAGAACCCGGATCTTCCAAGTCCCAGCCCAGTTCTCTCACCCTCACCCCGTGCTTAGAGCCGTTCCTGGTGTGGGTCTGTGAACAGCACCCCCTAGAAACGGGCTGGAAATGTTCTGCACACCCCTTAGTGCTGAGCAGGCTTCATGGCATGGGGAAGAAGCAGATCCATGACTGACCATCAGGGTCTGTGTGGCTGGGAATTGCGCTCCAGCATGGCTTTCTGGAGGATGCTGGGAGCTGCAGTCCCACACACCTGGGGTGCCAGTGTGGGGAATACTGTGGCGAGATTGTGGTTGGGTATGTGCAAATTGCTTTGTGCACTCCAGACTGTAGAGAGCATGTGGAAGTGTCAGCTCGTCTGTGCATGCCTGGGCAGAAGGCATCCTGCAGCTCCGAGCGTTCCCCAGCCAGCGTTCCTCATCCAACACTGCCACATCCATCCGTTTCCATAGTGCTATGGAAATAGCCGGGCCTTTCCCAGCAGCAGCAGCAGCAGCGACAGAAGAACCGCATCCTGGATCTTATCGTCGCCTGCAAGGGGCCCTGATCCACATTTCTTTGACCTTTCCTTTTCAATGACTTGCATTCAGGTGAAGTTGATGAAGCGAATTGCTGAAGCGTCCGACATCAGGCCCATGCTCCGCAAACTGCCGCGCGTCAAGAAGTACCTCTTAAACAGCGACAACATGCGGTGAGCTCCTGTTGGTGTTTCCATGGTGCGCAGCCGGAGCTGGTTTTCTGGGCCCTCTTGCCGGCTTCCAGTCTAACTGCTTTGGGACCAGTCGGGGGACAGAACCTCAGAGTTGGGGCCAAAACCGGCCCACATGGGGTCCCATTCTGGCCTTGCTGGCCATCCCCTTTCCCAGACCTCCTTGCTTCCAGCTAAGGATCGTCTGGCAAATTTATTTATGTATTTACTTATTTAAAATTCCTTATATGCCATCCAATTACTGTAAAATCTCAAGACAGTTTCATCTGCCTGGCTTTCATTTTATTATTATTTATTTATTTAGACAACTTATATGCCGCCCCATCGCATGAGCCTCATGGCGGCTTACAATCATTAAAATCCCGTATAAAATGCAAAAAATTCATCAAATAAATGAAATACATAAAATAAAATAGTGGAAACAGCCTGGTCAATTTAAAATCAACAAGTAAACCATTAACAGTTAAAATAGCGTTTAAATAAAAAGGTCTTGGCCTGGCGCCGAAAAACAAATAACGACGGCGCCAGGCGGACCTCTCTGGACCACCAGGCGGACCTCATCTCTTCCTCCTCCTCCCCCTCCCCGTTCTTACATGCTGAAATGCCTGTCTCAAGGCTTGGTTATGATGAGCGGTCATTGTGCTTGGTAATTTGGCTTTGGCCCAACCCCACCTACCGCTGAAATGTGGCCCTCCAGCAATACTCTGCCCACCAGTCAGTTGACGCAGGTAGAAGTTTGTAAAGCTACATGGATTTGCACTTACAAGTTCAATGTGTGGAGTTCCCAGGCAGCAAAGGGAGAGTTGTCAAAATCATTATCTATCTTGGGATGAGAGCATCTGAGCTAATTCTGAAACAGCCGTGATTGCTGACCTGTGAAATATTTTAAACAAAATTAAAATTAACTTGAAAGCATGGCGCTTCTCTCCTTAGTCAGCCCATCTGCCAGACAGTTGGCAATCTGCCCTACAGAACGAGAAGGAAAGCATTGGACTTTCTGCCTCATGAGAACATAGGAAACTTCCCTTTGTCCAGTCCACTCCATCCTTGGAGACTTCTCAGGAAATACGGTCTGAACAGTCGCTTAATATTTGGGGCCAGAATATCTGCTTGTGATTTGCAATTCTCTTCAGAGGCCTGGTTATGTCTCTCACCACCTAGAGACATGGGGTTTGTTGATACTCAAAGCAGGGCCTTTTCTGCAGTTGCACCCTAATTCTGTGACTCCCTCCCTAGAGAGCTCAGACGATCCAGCTCCCTTTATTTTGCACAGTGAGTGCTGTGACTTCTTCCTGTCTTGTGATAAAACTTCTGGTTGCTGTTGCTGTTGTTTTATTTGTTGTTCAAATGTGTTAGATTTTTGTTGCTGTGCTTCCCTGGAGTTTGCATATTGCCTGGAGTACTGAGCGGACAGGAAGGGCAAGTCATAAATATGTGCACTGAGCAACATTACAGTTTCTTCTCAGGCTGTTACCTAAAAGCTGCCATTTTTTATGCAGTCAAGTCGCATCAGAGATGTGTACAAATTCACTGCGGTTGATCGATGCCAAAATGAGTTAAGAGTTCCCTGTTACGAGCCTTCGCAAGCTGGATTTCACCGATGTTGCAAAGGCTGCAATTTGTATGCAGAACCTCTGTGGCTAAGCCAAATCTGTGGAGCAATTTCCTGCATTAATGTTTCTAAGGAACTGAAGCTAATCTGGGCACTAAAACCAGCCTCGCAAAGCCCAGCAGTGTGTAATTTCAAATAAAGCCTCTTGACTGAGCAGAAGGGGATTTCTGGAGACAGATTTTACAGTTGCATCCAAGATCTGCCCCCAGAAGAAGAAATGCTCCACCTGCAGAGGGGAGGGGATCTCCTCCTACTGGGTGCTTATCAGGAAGTCCCACCCTCACCCCATGCGCCACAGTTCACCCCATTCGGCAGCATCTCCTGACTCTGTGCAGCATTTCAGGGAGGTGAAGAGATGGCTACTGGAAAGAGCAGAGCAAAGAAATCCAGTTGCATCCATGCGGTTGATACAGTATCAGTCTGGATCCAGCCCTTAAATTGTTGCCCTAGCAGAGTGCAGGGAAAATAGCCTCCAGCTGCTTCTAAAGGTTACAGCCTTGGGAGTGCAGGTGGGGGGCTGCAGTGTGTGCCAACTGGAATTCCCCCTTTCATCCACTGGTCTCAGCACAGGGTGGCAGACTCTGGTTGAGGGCATGCATATGTATGGGGGGGGCAGGAAACTCAGCTGCCAGTAAATGGCTGGTAAAGCTCATTCCCCCCCTCCCCACACACACACACACACACACACACACACAGCCCATCTATAACAGGGTTATTTGCAATGGGGACAACCTGTAGGAACCTTCTGGGCATATTTTGCCAGGGGGACTTTTCTTCTCCCTATTAAAACCAGTTGACAGATAGCATTGTTGGCTTTATTAGGGAGATTAGAGAGAGAGAGAGAAGAGGACTCGAATGTGTGGAAGGAAGGAAGGAGGAGAGAGGGGAATGTGAACCAGAGAGAAGGGAGAAAGGAGCCAGACAGAGAAGTCGGAGTGAGTAGTGCACACACAAGTGCACAAACATAAGGGGTGTTGCACATTCTGTGTGCACAAACATGTACAAACTTACGGGGTGGGTGCCAGCATTCTTGCGATGGGCTCCCCACCTCCCTAAGCCAGTGGTGCCCAGAGCCCTTTTCCAAGATGCCAGATGTGCCCACAAGCCTGAAAAAGTCGGGCTCCGTGATGCAAAAGGACCATTTGTGCAAATGCCATTTTTGTGTGCAACTGATCTTGGTTTTTCTCCTAGGTGTTCCGTGAATGCCACACCTCAGCAGATGCCAAATGCTGCAAAAGCCATAGAAAAATTTGTTCTTGGGGTCGCCAAGAGCAAAAAGGAAAGAAAGCCTGTTCGTCCACATGTCATTGAGGTAACGAAGATACAATCAAAATATAATTTTGACTGCAAGTGATTCTCGGTTTTCCTGTGCTTTTGCAAATCCAAAGCATAGTTGGCCAAGGAGCCAGTAAGTCTGAGTCCATTTCACAAATGCAGATTTTGCATGCATTTAGGGAATTTCTCTCTCTCTTTTTGCCTAAGCAAAAGGTTTCTGTCTTCCATGTTTGTGGTGGTAGACCATTCAAAACAGGAGAGAAATTTCCCACTCTTTTGTGACATGGGATTTCATGTTAGGGAAATTTGACTAATGGGAAGACCAGATATGACTCCATAAGAAAAGCCACAGCTTTGAACTTGGCAGAACTGAATGGCGCTGTCCATTCATAGGGTCTCCCTAAGTCGGAGACGACTTGATGGCTTGAATTAAACACACACAATTCAAGAGGTTGCACCAGAGAAAGGGAGTGGACTATGTGACTTCCATCTCTTTTTTTATCTTTAAGAAGACAAACATTCATTTATTCCACCAAAAATCAACATAACCCCAGTCATCTGGTTCATAAGTGGCCAGTGTTTATGGCAAACAGGTACATTTTCCATGATCATGGTGCCCAACATATAGTTCAGCCAGCAACATCACTGAGGCCCTGATCCCCTTGATGGAACTTATCTTCAATTCTTGGAAGAAGCCAAGTTCACACCAGGGGCTAATGGGTGTGTAGCAGCAGCTCTCGGAGTCGCTTCTGCTCTCATGTCATACCTGTTTCATGCTCAAGAGAAAATACTGTCCCTCTAAGGGGTGAATGTCTGTGGTGGGTCAGTGGAAAGAATGCACAAAACGGTTCTCTATTCCAGTTTTGTTTTGACCTAGGCCTTGATTTCAGACTTCCATCTCTATGATTCAGTGTGCTTTTACGCACAAGGCATTCCTTATACCCTCGCAGTAGTTTCCTGATGTAATGCACAGCATTGTGGCATTTCTCCTGTGCTTTCCAAGCACTTCTCTGCTTCTTCAGAGAGAGGAAACTGAGCTGTTACCTTACTATTGCACTAAATCATTTTCAAACAACGGTTCCACGGTGATGCTATAACAGAGCACCACCTTGTGGTCAGGTAATGGAGCACTTCGGAAGGCTGAGAAAGAAAAACCATGGGAAGCAGCATACGGAAAGGAGCTAATCTGATTCCCACAGTGGAACCAGGAGCAGAAGGCCTGGGAAAGTGGTGGGTTAAAAGCTTCATGGACCAAGCCCAGTGACTGTCATTTTGGGGCAGAGCTTTAAAGCACCCCCGGGGAGAGTGTGGCCATATTTGCTCAGAGCAGTCGGGTGAGGAACAGGGGACTGAATTTTTCTCTCCCAAGCTGATGTCCGGACTGCAGAGGGGGAAATCCCTGAAGCATGTTTGTATTTCTTCCCAGCTTGAGCCAGTAGTAACTTCTTTGGGTGTCCAGAACAGGAAAGTGGTGGGTGGAGTCGAAGAGAGAGGGTCATCCTCCTCTCCCACGGCAGAACTTCTGACTTGGCCCCAGGAGAAGGAAGACCGGGGAAAGCACGTGTGACTTCAGTTTCAGCCGTTCCCCTTTCCTGCAAACGAGGGTGGGCAACTCGGAACCCTCCAGGTGCCACGGCCTACAAATCCCATTAGTCCTAACCAATATAGCCAGTGCCGAGTGATGAGGGTATTTGTAGGCCTAAACATCTGGAGGAGCAGAACATGCCCAACCCTGATCCTTGTTGGGATCGACAGCCCTGCGATATCCTTGGCAGTAATGCTGACTGCAGATCCCAGAACTTTTCTGGACCTGACCCCTGTCATAGGTGATAGCAGAGCATTGGGCCCTGGGAAGGTTCAGTGGCTGGATTGCTGGCAGTTCAACGAAGTCTTGCATTTCTAGAAGCCTTCAGATCCCAAACCTGGCAATGAGGCATTTTCTTCCTCCCTGATCAGAAGAAAGCTCATAACGGTGAGTCTGGATTATGTGGCTTGTGTAGCTTTTCTCCATTGCTCCAAAGCCCAGTGCCATGAACTGAGCCTTGTTGGTGTTGCTCATTTTAATAATTCCTGAGGAATATTGAGCCATGTCCCCATGATCCATGAAGCCCTACCTGCTTAGTGTCTCTGAGAGCCAATATTCCCATTTGTTTGGGTTGTGTTATATTGCATGCTGCATACATTTCCTCCAGAGAAACCTTTGAAGTGGTGTACAAGATTTTTAAAGGTCCAAGGAAATGTGCAAAATCTAACAGGCTTTGGGGTACATTTAGGAAGGAATGGACAGGAAAATAAGAACAGAGAAAGAAAGTTGATTGGGATAAACCAGTGGGGAACAGATGTGTCTCAGTGAAATGCTAGATGGTGAGGACAGATGTTGGATTCCAAAGCATCTGGAGGGGAAGGCTGTTTTAAGCTCTGAAAGTGCACACATGGGTGAGCGCACCTGATGCACAATGAGGACCAGTGTGGTGAAGCAGTTTGACACTTGCTTTGGATCTGGGAGAACGGGGTTCTAGTCCCCACTCATCCATGAAGCTCACTGGGTGACTTTGAGCCAGTCTCTCTCTCTCTCTGCCTAACCTCCCTCCCAGAGTTGTTTTGAGGATTAAAGGAAGAGGAGGCCAATCACATACGCTATCTAGGAAGAAAGGCAGAGTCTAGATGGAATGAATAAATATTAATAAACATAAGGTTAACAGCCTTCCTTTACTACCTCGTGGTCCATAAAAATGGCTAAAGCAGAATTGATTGCTAATTTGGACCGAAAGCGCTCCTTTGGGTGCTGCCACTGTTCTGATAAATCTGTGCCAGAAGGGATTTAATCTAAGATGTGGTGCCTTTCCCCCCATCCAGGATCCTGCATTCCAGCCTTGTCAGATGAAGACGCACTTTTTGCTTCCTTTCCCCGTCAATTACATTGGCGCGTGTGTCCGAACTGTTCCCTTCACTGCTCCAGAGCATGCAAGGTAGGACAGCAGAATCGATTTGCTGCTGTGGCGCTACTGAATCTGTTTGAAAATGCAGCACAAACAAAATCGGGCAGCCGGCAGGGAAAAATTCCTCGGTGCCAGTGGAAGCGCTGAGGATGGGATTCCGACGCGGTCCTGCTCTGTTCATGGCAGAGGGAGCCCTCTGGACCCTTGCATCTCACTCTGCTTTGTGGGAAGGACATTGACAAGTTAGGGTGCTTTCAGAGAAGAGCCACCAGGATGCTGAAGGGTCTGGGGACAAGTCTTAGGATGAGCAGTTAGCCAGGAGAAAAGATGATTAAGGAGTGAGGTGGTGGTTGCTTTCAAATACTGAAGAAGGAACATTGTTGTTTGCAATTATATCCCACCTTTTTTCTTCTTGGGAGAAATCCAAGGAAGCTTGCATGGCTCTATTTGATCCGTACAACAACCACCCTGTGAGGTAGGCTGGACTGAGACTCAGTGACCGGCCCGAAGTCACTTAGCCGCGTGGGGACTGAAACCCAGCGCTCCCAAACCCCACTATACTCTTGCCACTATACTGCAGCGGGTTCTTCTTGGCTAGAGCTATTTAAGCGTGAGCTGGACAATCTCTCAAGGATGCTGTGACTTTACCCTGCACTGCAGAGATTGGGTAGTTAAGGAGGTCGGAACAGCTAATCTTCAAGGCCCTTTCCAGCTGCTGGTTCTGTATAAATGATGTTGCCACCCTGAGAGCTTTGATTACAAGGCTACCAGGCTGGTTTTTTGCGGCGAAAGAGGGAGGGCGTGCAGGCCTGGACCCACAGACAGTGCGGCATACAGCCAGGAGTTCCCCTGCTGCCTGCCTCCATCTTGCTTTGCTGTGTGCACCACCTTGAGAGCATCTGGCAGGGCACGGGTGCTGCTGACCCAGAAGCGCCACACGAGGGAGCGATGCTTCCAAGCTGCCAGTGGCACCTAAGCCACCACTGAGCTCGACTGCTCCTCTGCCTGCCTTCGGGGGTGGAAGAGCGGCGCCACTTCTGACTGGGAAGGCAGTGGAAGGCCCGCTGGGATCCTCCCAGGGAGTGCAAGTTGGCATCTGTTTGAGGGACATCTAGAGACATAGAATGCTGACAGGTGGGAATTGTAATACGTTAAACTCCCAAGAGGAGTAAAATCTCCGCCTGCTTGTGTAAGAGACTCTTGTGCAATGGGAAAGACCAACTTGCACTGGAAGAGAACACTCAGAGAACCTGACTGCCCACATTTGCTGAAAATCAACCACAAGTCACAGATATTACCATTGTGAGCAGCTTTTCTGAAGCTGAAAATGTGTGGATTCATTGGATTTTCTACTGCAGGGCTAATGTTCCTTGTTGGGCATCAATCCCTCTTGTTTCAGCCTCCGCATTCTTGCCCGGTTAATGACAGCCAAATTCCTGCATACAGAAATCCGAGAGAAGGGAGGGGCGTATGGAGGAGGTGCTCAGCTTGCCCACAACGGCATATTCAGTTTCTACTCCTATAGGTAACTCTTGGGCTGACTGGGGTGGGACACAAGCTGTAACAGTTGTTCCAGCTGTGCTTGAAGAAGCTGGACCTTCTGCGTGCCAGCAGGTGCTCCACCATGGAGCCCCAGCTGCTTCCTACTATGGGATGTGCTGACTGAATGCATCTGTTCCCAAGGACAGTTGATGTCAAGGAATCCCTCCCAGGTTTCTGCTGAGGAGCCTCTGCAAGTTGCAGAGGGCTCTGGGGAATGGGTTTGTGTGCACCCTCGGCAGAACTGGAGATGTATCGGATCTTCTGGGCCCCTGCATGCCTGCTGCTGGACGCGTCTGGCGATCTTAGGCAAGCTGCCTGCATGACACAGGACCCAGGGCGTAGGTCATTCCCCAAGGCATCTGTTGCATAGATTCAGTGGATCTTCTCTGCTGCCAAGCACCGGCTCTACTTCAGCACCCATCTGCACTGTTGACATCACAGTAGGAGAGTAGCAGCCCTCTCATGTTAGAAACAAAGGCAGAGTCCCCTTGTTGTTGTTTGTCGCGAAGTCGCATCCGACCCATCGCGACCCCAAGGACAACATTCCTCCAGGCCTTCCTGTCCTCCACCATCCCCCGGAGTCCACTTAAGCTCACACCGACTGCTTCAGTGATTCCATCTAGCCACCTCATCCTCTGCCACCCCCTTCTCCTTTTGCCATCTATTGTTCCCAGCATTAGGGTTTTCTCCAGGGAGTCCTTCCTTCTCATTAAGTGGCCAAAATATTTGAGTTTCTTCTTCAGTATCTGGCCTTCTAAAGAGCAGTCAGGGTTGATCTCCTCTGGGACTGACCAGTTTGATCGCCTTGCAGTCCAAGGGACTCGCAGGAGTCTCCTGCAGCACCAGAATTCAAAGGCCTCAATCCTTTGGCACTCAGCCTTCCTTATGGTCCAGCTTTCACAGCCATACATTGCAACTGGGAAAACCATAGCCTTGACTACACACACTTTTGTTGGCAGGGTGATGTCTCTGCTTTTTAGTAGAGTCCCCTAATGCTATTTAAAAGATCCACCCATTTAATGGGAGAGGAGATTTTGTAGGCCAGAAGCTACTTGGTCAAATGTGTCATTGAGGCTGTTTTGCTTCAGCAATGGCCCCTGCTTTCTAGTGGTTGGGTTTCCTGAGATTTCCTTCTGTGCAGTGGGAGGAGCAGGCAAATTTATAAAGAGTATAACCCCCAAACACAGACAAATCCTTTTGTGGTGGCTTAACTCTGTAAAACTGGGCAGTATAAATGTGTCCTCTGCTTTGAATTTTAGGGATCCAAATTCGGTGAGTACTCTGGCTGCTTTTGAAAGAGCTGCCGAGTGGGCCAGGGCAGGCAAGTTCACTCAGCAAGACATTGACGAAGCCAAGCTGGCTGTGTTTTCCGCCGTGGATGCCCCCACTGCACCATCTGACAAAGGTATGTCCCCTTCACTGACGTGAGCACAGAACATGCTCCCAGGAAGGACCCAGATCACTTCCCACAATGCTGTGGTTTTATTTCTTGGTTTAAGCCATGCAGATCTTCAGGAGATGCAGCTCCTCCAGTATTTAGTTGTGTTTAAGGAAGCTAAAAGTGCGGTATGGAGAACAGCACTAGGTGAAAGTGCAGCATGTCCTTAAAATTCACAGTTATGTGTGGGGGAGACATGATCCTTGCACAAGTGGAGTGCTGAGAGAAATAAACTGAGTGACAAATAAGCCGGGAGCTTTCGGATTACACTTATTAAACCAGTGGAGGGCAACAAACAGACCCAAACTGCATCCTTCCACCCGTGGCCTTCCTTGCACTTCCCACTGCCAAACTGCTTGCAGTGGCAGTCCCTGCTCACGCTCCCTGCACCCGTTTCAGAAGGAAACAAGGTGCTTGGGGAACACACACGTTCTTCCCAGGTGCTTCCTGTGTGCCTTGTTTCCTTCCAGATGTTGTCTCCACTGTTTTGCTGAAGTCCCAGGTATGTTTCAGGAAAGGTAGGATGGCCCATCAGGTTGCTCACCCCTGCATTTATGCGTAGCACTGAAGCCGCAATGACTGAAAGCCATTCAGGAGTCAGCATAATCTGTGTATACAGTGGATCAGTTTAATTAGAAAGGGAAGAAGTGGGGCGGGGGGGCTTCTGCCGCTCTAGAGCTCACCTGGACTGATCACACCTTGCAGGGATGGGCAACTTTCTGTATGGAATCTCAGAAGAGATGAAACAGAGGCACCGGGAGCGTCTTTTTATGGTCTCCAAGGATAACCTGATGGATGCAGCGAACAAGTGAGTCTGTGGCTGGCTGAGAAATGCAGCAATGATTCCAGAAACCAGAGGTGGGGAAAGGGAGGAGGTTGCCATGTGGCCCATTGAAATTGGCCGTATCCGATTTTAGTTTGGCCCAGTGAATCCAGTGGCTTTGACATTGGATTGACAGCAGGTTTAGACTCTGAATTACATCAGACTTCAGTTTATTATGGCCAGCTAGCACTCCAGTTATTTCAGTGGGCCTTCTCTGAGGATAAGCAAGTCTGGATCCAACCCGTATTTCCCACTGGCTTGTTGAGAAGCCCTCCTGCATGTCCCCAGAAAGGGGCAGCCTGGATAAGGGACTGGCAACCTGCTTGCACAAAGAGATACTTTGTTTGGAACAGAGGTGGGGAACCTCAGCCTCAAAAATCTTCCCCAGTGAAGCTGCTTGCAGGCCGAACTGTTCTTTTCCCCACTCTCTGCCATGCGCTCCCTGGGACGGACCCCACACTCCGTCATTCCACGGGAGAACACGCCCGAGGCATCAGCAGTCCTGCGGGTCTGTTGGGTGTCTTGGCACAGCCATCGGTGGTGCGAGGGGTGCGGCGTCTGCCCAGCAGGAAGGGAGTCTGAAAGCATTGCTGCCTTTGTGAGTGGCGGATGCCTTCCAGTCTCCCCTTCTGTCCATTCTGCCTTTCCTCAGCTCTGTTCCTTCCTCTCTGGTGTCTACGGTAACATCACGTACCAGACAAGAGTCGTAGTAGCAATCCGTGCCATGCCAAGCGACCTGCAGGGGATGCATTTTGAACAATCCCGGCCAACCATTCTGCAGAATGTATGATAGCTGTGCAAGTGATGCTGGAAGTGAAAACAAAACGTCGGCTCCAGACTTGGTTCTGCCTAAAAATCAGCAGGACTGAAATTGCTAATGACTAAGAACTAACTGGAGTCCCATTGATTTCAGGGGCATTTGGCCAAGGGTGGTCCTAGCCCGCAGGTTCCCCCACCTACCCAGAAGGGATCGCTCGCTGTTGCTTTTCCACTGGGCACTCTTTTGTCCTTGAGTCTTTCCACGGTCCCTCACTAGGGGTGGGAGGAATGGAACTTTATCAGTGCATCTGCCCTAGACCTGACTGGAATCCCCAGTCATCTCCAGGGCTTGTATGCAGCAGAATGGGCTGCCCTGTAAGGCTGCTTTGAACGTGCCTCCTCCCAGTCCAGAGGCATTCTCCTTGCACAGCCTTTTCCTTCTGCAAAGGGGAAGGGAATTTTCCCGAGTGTGAATTGCTTTAAATTTACCATCCCCAAAATTGCAGTGTCTTGGAATAGGAGGAAGGCACCCTTCTCTCCGCTGGAGCGCAGGGGATGTTGTTCTGACCTTACTTTCGCCCTTTGGGTTTTGAGAATAGGAAAGTCTTGATGTTTCCCTAAGCTGGTGGCGGGGAGCCCCCAGTCTGCCAGCTCTCCTGCCAAGCCATGCTCTTTTTTGCCCCAGCACTTCTTTGCCACCTCTCACTTCCCCGATTCCCACCATTTTATGTGCTTGTCCACCTTCCTCAAGTGCTCAGAGCCCCTGCCTCGTATTCCCTGCTCGCCTTTCTGTACTCTGCTGTTTGGTACTAGCAATTTGTCATTTGTTGGCTGTGCTTGGCCCTTTTGGGAATGTGGAGCAGAAGTGCAGTCGGGGGCTTCAGATGGACCAAACTTGGCATTTGTCCATCAGCTGCATGCCCACATGTGTCAGTTAGGGATGGGCAGCGGACCCCATGAGTGGTGGCCGCAGGTCTCCAGCAGGGTCTGCCGCAGAGTCCTTGGCACATTTGCCATCAGCCTTTCCCTGTACAGGGGTAGAAGGGCACGTGACAGCCCTGTGCATTAAGATTCTTTTTTCCCTAGCTGGCAGAGTGCCCCCCACCCCAGAATCCCAAATGACGCACCAAGCAAGACGCTCCTCCTGATGAATGGACTTCACTAACAGCCGGTGGTTTCTGCCTTTCAGGTACCTCATTGCTGGGAAGAGCACGAGAGGACTGGCTATTCTTGGGCCGGATAACCCAGAAACTGCCAAGGACCCTTCATGGGTTATACGATAAGGCTTACACGAAATCAGACGCACCAGCTCATGTGACACATACCAAAATGACTTTGAAACCTCCACCTGTCTCTGAAAGTGCTAGTGGGACAAGAAGCCGTTTGCAGCGTGGAAGCTGTGGTAGTATTTTTATTGTAGAGAGACTTCACACTCTCTCTCTCTCATTAATGGAGCCCCGAGTCTGCCAGGCCACCCCCCCCCCACCACCACCACGCACCCACACACTAAAGCCCCAGATATTGGCCGATCCGTTGGGACTAGGTCCTACTGGAGCCGTAGTTTGGGCTGACTAATGGGCCACAATATTAGCCAGACTATGCATAAATACCCCAAGTATCCAAATAATATTTTGTAGGAGGGCAGATTTGAGCTTTCACGTGGTTTACTTTAAATCATGCCCACTGAATAAAAAACCCTATTTTTTAAGTAGCTGTGTGATTGACATCATGCTTTCTTTACTCAAATACTTTGTATTGCAACTTTGTGCCATTAAATGGTTCCAACTCTGATGAGCAGCTTGTCATCAGACTTCCGTTTTGCATAAGGTGATGCGCTAAAGGCACAAGGGAAGTGAAACATCGGTCTGCCTGTACCGTACATTTTGTTTGGGTGAGCGCACGTTCGATTGATGCAGCTGGGCATTAAATGCAAGCACGGCTGTGTGTGGCATTTGAACACCTGGTTGCTCTTACCATCTGATCGTACGTGCTGCTCCCGGAGGTACCTTCAAGCAAGATGCAGGGTGACCATTTTGAATAGTCTGTCTGCCTGTGGGCACCGCGTAGCGTCTCTAGTTATCCTTCCTTTGTAGGCATTCTACAGAAGGGGAGAGCGCGCCGTCTCCGGACACACGGCGTGGCCCTTCAGCTGCTTGGATTCCAGAGCATGGCTTGCTGCTCAGCAGCAGCTGAATGATGGGTGGGTGGGGATATTGCAGCGAATCATGGGAGCCCTGCACTGCTTTATCCCCTCTCCTTGGAAAGCTCCTTCAGCATTCAGGGGAAAGGTGGGGGCACTGGAGAAGTGCTGCTGCTGACAAGTTGCAGCACATACGGGGTCTCCCTGCCCTGTTGGGCTCCCAGGTTTATGCAAGCATCACCTGCACTGCCTTTCAGACAGGCGCTTTGCCATTCCGCGAGGGGGCGGTGGCGTGCCAAGACGTGCAAGCACAGGATTACGCAGAACGGAGGACTCCAGACCTTCCTTTCAATACAGCATTTTATTCCAGCTGGGGTCTATATGTTTCCTTTTAGCGTGACACAAAACTAAGCCTCTGAAATATGCTTTTGAGTGTAAACACTGTCTGGTAAAAAGTGCAAGAGATGAATAATGTCAGCAGAGTGCATAGAACCGGTTTCGGACAGGCTGTTGGTAAGGAACACGTTGGTAACGGGGCTTGCTTTGCCAAGGTAGGTGCTGGGGTGTTGAGTGGCACATTAAGAGCCCTACAACAATACGAGGCAGAGAACTTCTGTGATGGCTGTTGGGGGTTCTCCCCTCCCCCACATAAAGTGCTGGTACAATAACTTAGATTTTACAAAAGAAGCTGTAATAAGGATTCTAAAGCACTGTTGACAGAGAACGGGCAGCTATCACAAACTTGAATGGTGTGACGTCTTGGGATCGCCAGCTCAGGATTCTTCTGGATTTGGTCTATGCACGTGCTCCAGCTGGCCTGAATCCGAGACATCGTAGCTGGTCTTGTATTTGGCCAGAATTTTCATCAGGGGGCGCAGCTTCAGCCACCACTGTTCCTTGGGAATTCGGTGCCTGTTGGTCAAGAAAAAAGGAGGCGTCACAATTGGTATGTCGGCTTGATCCGCAGCATGGAAGCGGTGGAGGCTGGTCCTCGAAAGAAGCAGTAAGTCCATTTGCACTGTCCAGCTGGGCTAGAGCACCCAGGCAGGTGCTGCTCCTACAAGTTGCCCACGTAAATGGGCGATTCTAACAATGTATTATCAATTGACTTGCATTTAGCATGCAGCCTGCCTACTTCCGTACGCAGTACAATGACGGCGCTCACAGCCCCTTTCTGCGTAAACAAAAAGAGCAAATTACCTGCAGCTCAGGTAAGTCACTGGATCCAGTCAGACCAGTGGCTGAAGCTCTGGGAAAGTGCCCTCCCAGGCCCTGCTGCACAAAAGCAAGCCAGGTAAGATAAACTCGCAAAGCAGATGCTTTTCTACTCGGATATATCAGCGAATTACAGGCTCCGCACCCCGTCTGCTCTGGGCTTAGAATTCAGCAGCCATTTCTGCTGAAAACTTTGGACCCAAGAATGTCCGCTAGATACACATGGACTCCTAGTAGGCCCTTAATTTTAATTTTACTTTTGGATCCTGCAGGCAGGATAATCATTTGTGAAAACTTCCTCTGCACAGGACAGATCACATACGCCTCCAAACACCTTCACGGGAATTGCATCTGAAGCCAAATGGCTGCAGGGCAAAGAGTATATTGTGATGCTACCTCATCAGCGTGCAATTCTGAATTTTGCTTTCCTATCCCAATGATACTCTGGTGACCTCACAATTCCTTTTAACACCTGTGTACGTACTCAAAGTCCGTATCGTCCTTCAGCTTGGCCACAGGCTGGAACAGGAGGTTCCTCCGGCGCATTCCCAGGAGACAGACAGAATCCTCAGTGTTGGCAAATACCCGTCCTTTCAAAAGAAAACACATTTCCTGGTTTTGCTATACAAAAAGCCGTCTAACTTAGCTATATGCATCAACGGGAATACCAAAGGGAAAAAGAAAATGAAACGTTAAAGCATTCCCTGTGGGAATTAATGGGGTTTGGTTACTGAAATGATGTTGTTATCATGTGCATGAGTGATGAACTCTTCTCTAAAAAGTGAGAACCAGCGGTGGTGATAGCTCCTCTAGGTGGTCACCCTGGACCCTACACTGCCCCCAGTCAAAACTACCCCCTTCATGGGGAAGGTTCCCCAAAGCGTCATGGCAAGATGCTTAGAGGACGCTGTCTATCTGGACTTGTTGCAGCCTGGCTTCAGGCCTGCCTTGGGGACAGAAATGGTCCCGATTGCCCTGAAGGGTGCTACTTGCTGGGAGGACGGGGAGCACTGCTCATTGCTGTTCCTGTCTCAGTGACTTTGCATGCCTTTGACCCTCGGGCAGCCTTCATGATAGTGCTATTGGAGGCACGTAGCGCTGGGGAAGTGCGACAGCCCCCCAGCATTTTCGCCATGCCTGCTGCAGGGTCCTGCTTGATCCCTGATCGTAATTAACACCTGCATGGAACCACTGGGAGTGGTCCTTTGGGGATGTCCAGGAAGGTGCTTTGAGGATGCTGGTGACACCAAGCTCCATTTCTCTGTAATGTCTGAAGCTCGGCAGACCTTGGACCAGTATCTGTACACTGTGGTGGGCTGAATGAAGGGGAATAAGTGGAGAAGAAGGTGCCTCTGTGCAGGAGCAGCTCCCATGTGGGTGGGCCAGTTGCCAGATCTGGATGGGCTCCATCCCATCCCCTCCAGTCCAAGGGAGTAGACATGGAGTGGCTCGTGGGTTCAGTGCTATCACGGCATCCCAGGTGTGCCTTTTAGCAGCTCTGTTGGTTAAAAGAGCTGGACAGCAGTAGCTTGACCACTGTGGCCCAGGCACTGCTGGCCTCAGAACTGGGCTGCTGCAAGGTGCCTCCTGTGGAGCTGCCCTTGATGTTGGTGCAGAAGCTGCAGCTGGTGCAGAAAATCACAGCCGGGTTGGAAAGGGGAGCAAGGTGTTGCCAGCACGCCTCACCTGCCCCAACCAAAGCGCCCTTACACTGCAAGATCCAAGCTCTGGGCCAGAACATGGAGGGGGTCGCCTGATCCCCAGCTGACCTGCTTGGGTGCTACACTCATCAGGAGGCAGTGCCTCATGGTGCCCAGGTTTTGGGGAGGGAAGTGGTCCATGACAGCTCGGAATGAGGCCTTTATTATCTCAATTCCCACTCTCTGGAGCTCCCTCCCACTACCGATTGGACAGGTGCCAGGAACGTCTTGCTCTAACAGTACAAAGGCTGCTTTTTGCACATTACTTAGACATGTCTTTAATGTAATTCATAAATATGATTAAACAAACAGATGCGTGATCTATTTGGGTCAGTATGAACTGTGTATCAAAGCCAATAAAATTCCAAAAGAATAAAGCACATTACCTTCATCTGTGATCCATGCAGCCACCAAGGAAAAAAATGAGAAAGGAAGAATACTTGTAACTACAACACTGTGTATTCCTATAGCTTATAAATTACAGTCAGGAACTTACAGGTGTAGGGAGAAGGGGCAGAGGGAAGCCTGGAGGAGGTGGAATTCTAATATATATTTAAGCACCACCAAAGCAGTTATTCTGCAAATGCAAGAGGCAGAATGTTTGGACTAGCAGGTCCAAATCATTGCAAGCTTGCAGCTTAATTCTGTGCATGTTTCCCAGCAATAAACCCCGCAAGAAAACCTTAGGCCTGCTTCCCAAGTCTGCTTACGATGGGAGACTGTTGCTTTGAGACAGTCAGAGATCAGCAAGCTGAAAGTCTCCTGGGTAAGCAAGGACACAGTCCAGTGCATGGGAAGGGGGGAAAAGCCCTACACACCCCATAACACATAGGATTGTGTCTTAATGAGTTTTGACTGAGCTGTGTTGGAACCACTTCAGTGTTTTTGATCTGCAGTTCAGATCAACAGCAAGGAAACGGACAAATGCTTTAAACTTTGCATATGTAAATATGGAACTGCGGAAGAAACATTTTGCAGTCATCTGCCTCAAATTCTTGACAGTATAAATTTGTATACTGTGCTGGTCCTAAGCATATACATTTGGAAGTCCCACTGACTGCAGGATCTGCGCTAAGCAAGGTCACCAGCAGAAGGCATAAATGGCGAAGAAATATTACAAGAACTAACAGCAGCTACTAAATAATGCAAAGACATTTTAATTTTAGGAAATGTCCATCCCTGTCTTTCTGTTCCTGAAATAAGCATGCGGAGCCGCTTGCAAAGAACACTGGCATCTGAGAACAGCCTTCAAACTATTCAGAACTATTCATACCTTCCCAAAGTATGGAAAGCAGCAAGCACAATTAGTTATCTGCCTTCTCCCATCACAGTCCCGAAGGCACTTCAGAAGGAAGCCTGCTTTCCGACCCACAGCGAGGCAACACCGCACCCTTCGAATGGAAGGCCCTGCTCAAATGAGGTGCCGTTCTTGCATCAAGTGCAGCCAACCTGATTTCTAGCCAGAAAGCATCTGGCACAGGGCCCTCTCCTGACCTCTCAAAATTTCAGGCAGGCAGTAAAGGCGCTTTCTCAAATACCCTGGACCCGGATCACCACCTTGATTATAGCCCGCAAATGAATGGACAACCTGTGCAGCGCTTCTCACATTAATGTAATACAGTCCCAGTGTCAAGCACCATGCAGCAAATTGCAGGGTCCCAAGATCTTGCTTCAGTTTCCAAAATGAAATCTAATGGCTCCCTAACCCCACGGATAAAAGTGCTCTGAAGCCGTAATTCTGCGGCAGCTGGGACTTTGAAGTTAGAAGCACCTGGAAGGTGACAAGCTTGGGAGAGACCTGGCTTAGACCAAGCTTTCTTTCATAGATGCGATGACTGATGAGACACGTACATTTGGCTTGACCCAGGTGAGCTACCAATTCAGTTTGCTCTATTTACCCATCTTCACAAACATGCCAATATTCTGTAGACTGATGCACTATGCTAGTTAATGCTGTGAGAAATGCAGTTAATGTTTCCTCACCTCTTCGATAGCATTCTTTCAGTTTCTTGGAGAGCCATAGAACAGCCTTTGCTGAAATTTTTGTCCCAAAGTTTCTATCAAATGGAGAAGGAGCACCACCCTGTGAAATTCAAGTGGAAGTTTCAGATTTTTTGGGGAGGGGGGAAATGAATCTGTTGTTGTAAATTGCAGAATGTGCACAGGATTTGGATTTTCTGCTTTACATTTAGGCACAAGTGACACCACAGTCATGTGCAAACAGTGATGTGCAGCTGGTGATCCAGGAAGTGAAGATGCATCACTTCCTAAATGAACATCACAACAAACAAATGGCTCTTCTCCACAGGTCTTGCACCCTAAACAGACCATCTGCATTCATCTGAACATATTCATAACTCGACTCACGAATGCTTTGGTTCACGGCCAAATCAGGTCGCGAACAAAAATTTCATAAAAATTTTAACTCAGGTCGCGAACTCCGCATTGGGTGGCGACCATGACCGCAGCCGTCTCCCCCCCCCCCCCCCGAGTGTCTTTCCTGCCTGTCTTTCCTGCAGGAGCGCAACCACGATCTCGGCCATCTCCCCGCACCCCAGCACAATCGCACCCGTCTCCCCACCCAGTGCGCCCGTGTTCGCGCCCATCTCTTCCCCCCCAGCACACCCACAATCACGCCCCCCCAGCGATCCGGGATGACGGGCACGTGCAGGGATGACAGGCTCAATCGCAGTCGTGCTGGGGGCAGGGAGATGGCCGTGCTCGTGCTAGAAGTTGGCAGAGGGGGAGATGGCCGCGAACTTGGTTGTTCTTCGTCACTTTGCTTCAAATTTTTCTGATTAAAAAAATTGCTACAGAACGGATTAACCTTGTTTACATTGAACCTTATGGGGAAATTTAACTTGGCTCACGACCATTTTGGGTCACAACCAGAGTCCTGGAACAGATTAAGTTTGTGAGCCAAGGTACCACTGTATTCCCAATGGGGAATTATTAGTCTCTTTTCCAGAAATCTCAGGTCAAGGATATAGGTAACCCTAGATCATGTATTGCCAGTTCTGCGCAATCTCCACTGGTTACCAGTTGCAGTCCAGGTCTGCTTCAAGGTGCTTGAATTATCATGTAAGGACCTCAACAGTTTAGAACCTGATTATCTGAAGGAACATCTCCGCCCATAGGTACCTACCTGTGCCTTAAGGTCATCTTCAGAGGTCCTTCTCCAGGAAACACCTGGCTACTCAGAGGAGGGTCTTTTTGGCAGTGGCACCTCATTCACGGAATTTGCTGGGGCAGTCAATGTATATGTTCCAATGCCAGGCAAAAACTTTTCTATTCACTCAACATTGTAATGTTTAAGCCATATGTTATTAATAACTACAGTCAAGTCTTTGGTTTACTTTTCTGCTCTGGTTCTTTTTATTTGTTTGTATTTAATGAATACAGGATCCCATTTATTAATGTTTAGCTTTACTTATTGTTTAATTGAAATGTTTTATTGATTGCCACTTTGTTTTAATATATTGTACTACGTTTGGGAATTTATTGCATGCAATCATTCAGACAGCCAACATGGCTGAGTGAACAGTATACAATTTAATAAATAAACAAACAAACAAGCCCCAGCATTTGAATGGAAATTTAAATCAGAGGTACTGACAGACAGAACAAAACTTTATCTTGATGGCATTTGACTGTTAATGCTAACACCTGCATGTCTAATTAATAGCTGCCCCTGAATTAGCATCGTTGCTTGTTATGTGCCATCAAGCTGCCTCTGCCTTATGGTGATCCTATGGAGAAATGCCCTTCGAAACATTCTGTCTTTAGTAGCCCCGCTTTGCTCAGCTCTTGCTAACTCAGGGGTCTGGCTTTCCTTATGGAATATGTCCTCTCATATTTGCTCATCTTCTGCCTACAACCTTCCCTAGAATGACCGTCGTCTTCAGTCCTGGAGTTCTGCCTTCTTAGCAAGGTAAGAAGGCATCATGCTTCCAACACATCTATTTTCCTGCCAGCTTTCTAGTCCAGCTATCACACCCATACACAGTGACTGAGAATACAATAGTGTGGACTCTCTTGGCCTTGTCACTCTCCAAGCTCCTCTTCATGTTACGGGATGCTCCCAAGAGGAGGAAATTCGTATTAGGGCTCTTTGAAACTGTATCTAAGGCTCACTTGGGGGCAGCAGGCAGGTAGCAGCTCCCTGGCCCCAGGGAGCAGATGTAGCAACTGAGCTTCTGCACTCAACAACCCTCACTGCATTACAAGAACTGCTTGGAGCCTCTTGCTTCAACCTGAGCACCTTCCCGGCCCTTTTTACCTGTTGCATGTGACCCAGCACATTCTTTCTGCAGTCGAAGACCCCTCTCCCTTCTTCAGAATACAGCTGGTAAATGAAGTCGGTTGTGTAATTCTCATTACTGTTTTCATTCCTGCACGGCACGAAAACAAACAGGCTTTATGGGTTCACTCATCTGGCAGCCCGACACCACGCTGCTCGTCCATCATGGAGGTCAGGCAGCACACAGAGGGGAGCCCTGGCGCATCGCTAGCCAGGCACTGACCGAATCTAGCCATTAACTCAGCTCGGGCTTGGCAGCAACGGCCAAATGCCCACAGATGCCAGTGCCTGTGCTGGATCGGGCCCATCGAGCTACCCATTCACCCCCGCTCAGTTTTCACCCACCATTTTAATATTTCCAGAAACATGCATAACCCTGAAAGTTGCAAAATTATGCATGGCAGGCTCTTCCGCTCTGCCCGTCCCCGGGAACAAGCCCAGCTGCAGTGGGGTGGGGACCCACTGGCAGCAGTGTCCCAGGGCAGCCTTGGATCCAGTCCAAGATTGTTCTGCTTTTACAGTCTTTTTGGCTGTGGGCCCATTGGCAATGTGGGAGCCAGAACCCCAAGATGACTGGCTTGGGAAGGCCAAGCGGTTTGTCCCTAAGACTGGACTGCCGGGCCGAGGCGAGGTCTGAGCCATGATGCACTAAGAAATTCTTCCGAATCCACCACACCAGCATCAACTTATTTCACAGCTGTCTCAGCTGGTGGCAAAAAAAGTTACATATACCGGTGTAGAAGGTGACTCCCATATAAGATGAGGTCAATCTTTTGGGCTGTTTTTCTGGTGTTTGTTGTATGTCAGGCCTACAAGACAACCCCCAATTTTTGCCCTACTACTTTTGGTTTCAAGGGTCCTCTTATATACCAATATATATGGCAACAACATGTGGAATAAGCACCCAGAAAGTACATGTCAGAAAAATACCATATGTATCTATGCATAAGGTGACTCATACCTAAAGTGAGGCCAAGATTTTGGGCTGTGTAGAACATGACCCCCAGTTTTTTGGTTTCAAGAGTTGTCTTAAAGGCTGGCCCTAATCTTCCTCCCCAAAAAGCTACTGGCCATTCCTCCCACTGCCCCAGGAGGCACAGCTTCTCCTGCACGGCCACCTGGACTGAGGACCTACCTCAGCACCAACCCCCGCTGAATGCTCGTTTTCATCTTTTCTGTCAGATGCTCCACGTTGGCCTAGGGGAAAAACAGCACGGTTCAAAATGGATCTAACCGTGTAAAAGTTGCCAACATCCCAAGCTTGTCTTTGAGTATGTCGTGGACGACCTTGGAAGGGGCAACCTTGAAAGGTGTCCTGTAAAGAAAGAAGAGCTCTGAACACCTGATCAGTGCTGTAAGAGAGCTACTGGGAATATTGTTTGGGAAGACTAAAGATTGGGAAGGTCACCTTAGGCTCCACGAGCTTGTCCCAGGTTTTCTGAGTATTTGGGGAGGAGCCTAACGAATGAGCCCACCTGCTCCCATTTGCTGCTCGACCCATGGGGGAAAAGACAAAAATGCCCCTGAAAATGACCAAAGTATGCAAGTGCGAGGAAGAAAGGGCAGGAGGAGAAGAGAGAAGGAGGGTTGGGTGAAGCCTTTATCTACCGATTACGCCAAGGATTCCCGTGATCAGTAGCAAAGCTTGCAGCAAAGAGCATTCGAGGGCCTTCATCTATCCGGTCTCCAGCAAATGTTTGCCATGGCCAGATCTAAGGCCCTTCAAGGGTTTGGAGAGCAGGAAATACTACAAAAACCCTTTGCTTTTAAACCTGAAGCTTTCTTGTTAGGCATCATACCGGAAGACATTAACAGACAGGAAATGTATTTGATGCTACACCTAATCACCGCGGTGAGGATCGCATTTGCTCAATATTGGAAAAGTGAGGAGCTACCCACCAATGAATTGATTTTAAGAAAGATTTTGGACTGTGCAGAAATGGATAGACTGACTTTATCATTGAAGGAGAAAGAGGATACTGACTTCTATCAAACTTGGAACTTTTTCTATAATTGGCTGGAGAAATGGGACTTGGAGTAAATTTAGAGATGTTTTCAAGTTATTATAAACTGATGTGAATTTGACTATAGAATGGTAAAAAATATGTAGTAGGGTGTTGACCCAGTAAATCCGATGTATGTGATGTCTGATGTTTTTAGTATTAGCTTAAACTTTAATAAAACTTAAAAAAAAACGGGTTTGGAGAGCCAACTACAGACTCAACACACGTCATACAAGAGCAGTTTCTTTAACTTCTGTACACTTGTCACAAAAGAGGAAGAGGAAGGTGGGTGGCAGCTGTGAGACGCTCCATAGGTCGTATTATCCAGCCCAGGTACAGGACAGTTTAAAGGCATTCAGCTGAATGAAAGCCATTTATTGATATGGTTCACACCTGGAGGCTGAATTTGATTGTGGATTATTTAGTCCACAAGTAGCTGTGTGTGTGCTGGGAGCAGGCAGCCAGCATTTGGCCATTTGGGGGTTCTGCTGTCTCATCCAAACCTGGTCATTGTGAAGTATCTGAAGACTGAACAACCATCGCTTGATTCTCATTGCAAATCATGGTTCAAGCAAGGGTCGTTTAACCTTTAAACAACCAAGATAAGTGGGTTCAGAGGACAAGGCACAAAACCTGATTGACCTGTGCAACCTAGATATTGGCCACCACACCCTGTGGCTCAACCCATGATAAGTCAGCCACATCACACAAATCAGGCCACCCATTCATTCTTTAGAGTGTCACCTGATGATTTGCACATGTGAATCAAACAAAGAGGATCAAACAAAACACACAGAACTTTCCTGCTGTCTCACGGCACCTCAAGACAATGGAGAGAATTCAAACATTTAGACATAAGTCATCAAGCAATGACAAATCAGTTGATGTGCATATGGAAATGAATCAGCTCCAGGCACTGCATGCACACCACAGTAATTAAGATATAGATTATAGATATATAGATATGCCTACCTGGAGCTCCCGTATATCGAACTTCTCCTCAAAGATGTATGCTGCATCAGCCCCCGCAGCGAGGGCCCCCATATTTGCCAGGTAGCCACAGTAGCCACCCATGGTCTCGATAATGAACACCCGGCGCTTTGTCCCGCTTGCAGACAGCTTGATTCGGTCGCAAGTCTAGAAAAGGATGGTCTGTTAGCACCTTGTTTGAAAGGTATCACCTGGGTTACAGCTTCTCTGTTGCTCACACTGACAACTACCATAAAACAGGAAAACTAAAAGGCTTTTTAAAAATAATCTTCTCTTGGCCTTCCTGGTATAATGTTTCACACCACAGGCATAATATGAGCTGTATAACCCTTGGCATTGACGTAAGTATGAAAAAAGATTGTAAGTCTGGCGTTTTGCTTCAACAGAAATCCAAAGCTGCTCCTGATTCCTGGTTTAGCCAACCGCACAATATGAAGTAACACCAACCCAAGCTCCAAAATAATATAAATACCAAGTAATTTGATGACTGTTCAATTCAAGCTTCTGGAAGCCAACTCAAACAAGAACCTCTTGGCTTCTGGACAGTGTTCAGGGACAAACCTAACACTTTAAGAGAATTTAACTTTATGGCAGCACTGAATCTTGCTGTGTCATGGAGACTTCTAAAAACCCTTAAGGTTGCTAATTGATCATGATCACACTTTAGGGCTGAGATCTGAAGAAGGGACATTGACCGAAGGTCTGTTCATCTGGAGCAGCTCTCCAGCAGCTGTACAGCCCCAGTGACTTGTGGTGGGGTGGGGAATGTGCCCCAGGAGGGGCACACTTTTTCCTCATGTAATGAAAACGGAAGACACCTCACTAAAGGAGCAGGTTATACCTCTCAGGTAGAGAAGCTCTTAAACAGCTGAGTTTAACAGGACACCTTAGTTACGAGTAACCAAAGTCCCGCTGATTATAACAGGCATGCTCTAAGGCCCTGGTGATGGGAGCAATTGAAGGCAAAAGGAGAAGGGGATGGCAGAGGTTGAGGCGGCTGGATGTCACTGGGGAGGTGGGTGTGGGGTTGGGTGGGCTCTGGGAGATGACGGAGGACAGGAGAGCCTGGAGGAATGTTGTCCACGGGCTCACAAAGGGCTAGGTGCGACTTTGCAACTAAACAAGAAAACATGACCAAAACTGGATCAGTTCCTCTGCAACCAGTGCAATCATCTGTCAAGAGGAATCTGCTGTGGGCAACTCTGGGTCATTTTCGGATTGTTTCAGCAAAGTGATCCTTCCTGAGGGTTGACGACGAAAATTGTGATTCAGTCTCAGGATCCAAAATCAGTGGCAGGAAGCAAACGGCTTCCGAGAACGTGCACGGCCTCCGAACCAGACGTGCGCTCGCTCGCTCGCTCGCTCAAGGGCTTGCTATCTTACCTCTACAATGGCATTCAGGGAAGTGTCAGCACCAATACTGAAGTCGGTGCCCGGCACATTGTTGCTAATGGTAGCAGGCACAATGCAGATAGGGATGCAAAATTCCTCGAAGCGGTCCCGTGCTTCAGCTAACTGCAAGCAGCTCTCAAACCCCTGAGCGGTGGGACAAGCAACGGTAAGCAACAGACCCTCACGCCCTCTGCAAGGCATTCTGCCGGTGGCTCCTTGTGTGTGGCGACGGACGTTTGGCATCCCCGGGGGTGCAAATGGCCCAAAGTGGGTGATGAGCTTTCTCACGTAAATCCAGAATGGCTCACTGGATTTGCATTGGTGCAGAGGAAAATCGACAGGAGTTAGCAGAAAGGTGGAACAAGCAGAACGTGCAGACGGCAAAGGAGCCTGAGTGTTTAGAGGGAAATAAAGGCCAACAACTCCCAGTGGCCTTGGCAGGGCATGCTGGGAGCTGTAGGCCTTTTTCTGCCTAGACTTGCATAGGATCACACCCTTAAGTAGTTAGTAGAGGAGATGAGAGACTGAATTAAGAGTTATCCTACATTCAGAAGGATTGAAGAGGATACACTCATTTATACCCCACTTTTTGTTTTCTTAAGTGGATTAGGAATCTGTCCATAAGTGGAAGAACATGCTATTAGCACAGCACCATCTGCGGTCATCCATGAAGCCCAGCCCTTCCCACAGTCCAAAGCAGCAGGCAAGAAGGTGGGTCTGCCAGAACACAGTAGGCCTTGGAGCAGCCTGAGCTAAGCGTGCCAAAGCCAAGCATGCCGTGAGAGGGCTCTTCTCCTGCCTCCTGTGGTTGGAGAAGGAAATGCGGCCAAAGCACAGGCCCCTTGCGAGCAGGTCTGCAGCGACCAGTCAACAGGGATGCTATGCAAGGTGCATTTCACACCACTCTTAGGAAGAGCACCTTCAAGGTTACCTACAATATACCTGCAGTACGCGCTGCGATTGCTAACAGGGCTTGCAACACGTTTGGATTTGGCCACCAACTCGTAAGAGAAAAACTGAACTCTGTGCTTAGGCAGCAGGGTTTTATCATGGGTTCCTTAAGAGTCCGTGAGTGCCATTTTCTTTCCTTCAGCCTACTTGAAATTATTGTTCTCGACTATAGTAACACAGTCACTTTTACTGTCCACCCTCGTGTGCTTCAGAGGGTGTCTCCCCGCTTCACACTGGATGGACTGAGCTGTTTTGGAGTAGGCCGGCTGCACCAGGGCGACTAGTCCTGGCTGTGTAGTGCTGCATCACACTGGGAAGTGTCACGACTGGTACACAGCACCAGGTTGGCCGCATCAGTTTGCCAAGGATCAAGAAAAAAATGGCCCGGTGGCCCGAATCCTTAAAAAATAAAGCTATGCAGAACGGGGCTGCAGCATCCCAGACTGGACCATCATGGAAGGCATAGATAGGTTCTTAGGTGTTAAAATACCTGCTTGCCTTAAAAGAAAACCCTCTGCTCCCATGAAAAGAGAGCGACATGTAAAATAAACAAACAGAAATAGTGAAAGACAAAGGGTGCGCTTAGCCATCCCCACTTCTTTCCAGATTAAAGGATAGGGCATGCCTGTACTCGCCATCCCAAACAGAGTCCAGCATTTATACTTGACTCTTCATAAGGATGCACTCCTTAACAAGGACAAACACTGACAAATCAACAACCCGGTGATCCGTTTTTGGAGAGGAAGCTGATGTTAGTCATTTAAATTTCAAAATGTAACAATCCTTTCTGTTGCTGCCCTACAAGGATAATGGGTGTAAGACACAGAGGTGTAAGTTGACAGGGTGAAAACAGCCCTAACATAACCCATAGCTTGTTGTTGGGTTGTCTGAGGGTTGCTTCTGGCATCTGGGCAAGTAAAGGGCAGCCAGCATGCCATGTGACTTAAGCCACCGTGGTCTGGCTTAAGTCACCGTTACTTTATGAACCAGGTCACTGGGAGACTGGCCTAAGGTAGGACTGGGATAAAACCCTGCTGAGTCCAGCCCTCTAACATGCATGGATGCCCTCTCATGCTTGGCCTCTTCTTAGAAACTGAGCCAAGCCAGTCCACGAATGCTTGCAGATGGAAGGCTGAGCAACTGGCAAGCTTCTTCCATGGCATGTGAAGCAGCACAAGCCAAGGCTGCAGCAGGTTTGCACGGCTTTTTCATGGGACTCCATTCCTGGGGAGTGCTGTGTGAGCAACTTTCTCCTGCGTCACGTGCATCAGCCTTTGCTTGTGCTGCTGTGTGTGAGGCACAAGAAGAGAGACACTGCTTGTGCACTGCATGGGGTGCGATTCCTGGGGAGCATCCCATAACATTGGCTGTCCTCTCCAGAATTTGGACTCTCAGCCATGTCAAGGTGGAGCAGATTGTGGGAAGCTGAGTCCAGGGAATTCGATGGATTTCCCCTCTCAATACAGATTCTGAACAGATTCCTATCCCAAGGCCTGACAATCAGCTTCATGAGAATTTATAGCTTTGCTAACTAACTTTACGTTATCAGCTTCATTGCCAGATTTACTAACAAAGAGATGGGAAGAGGGGCAAAAAGTCTGTACAGTCTACATACATATGAAGCATTCCTAAGAAATTAGTCAAAAGGAAGTTTGAAAGGAAAAGTCAAACTCATAATATTATCAGAAGTGTGGTTAGATGATATACTACAGAGAAGGAGCAGGATTCAGGACCTGCACTCTGCCAAAGGGAAAACCCAGCTTGTGTAGGATCCCCCTGCTGAATTTTGTGGGATCTCCCAGACACAGTGGCTCATCCCATTTGGTAGGGCCTCCTGATGCTCTGTGTGACAAAGAGGGGGAGAGCTCGGGTGGGTTAATCCAGCCTAAATCTGGCTCCAACCCAAGGAAGGTGTGAAGCACTCCAAGAGGATGCTGCCAGGTTAATGAACACTGTCAAAGAAGCTAAGGAAAACAATAAGAATAATAGATTCATTTCAAAGCTGAAGTCTTTTGCCAAAAAGGGAAATAAAGAAGAGTACAAAGTCCTTTTCAGGAAAAATAAATAGTAGTTCACAATATGGCAAATAAGGTGATGGAAGATGAGGGTTCTAGGGTTGGCCATTAAAAGGTCCCTTGATCTAGATGGCACAAACCCAAGGGTTCTTAAAGGACACAAATGCTGATCTAACTTAAATCAGGTTCCCTTGTAAGAAGAATCAGAAAGTAGCCAAAATAGCTCTCCATTTTAAAAAAGAAATTGGGCGGGCTGGTGGATGGTTTCCAGACATCATAATACCCCAGTTAAATTGGTGTAAAGTGTTATTAAGGATAGAATACAGAACACAGAACAGGGGTATCCCATGAGGCACTGGGCACCATTGTACCCATAAGGTCAGGCTGAAGGGCCCATATGCTCTTTTCTCCCTCTGCAAAGGAACAAACCATTCACTTGTATGGGGGAAAACAGAAAAATGCTGGACAGGAGACAGGCCTGCCCGCCCACTCCCAAGGGTCTTCACAAGTGCTGACCACCCCCGCTCTAGGTGTTTTTTTCATGCCCTGTACAAATGGATAGAGAAATTGGTCTATTCACTTGCATGGGGATGGGGAGAGAGAGAGAAAGGAAGGACCAGAAAGAACGAGCAAGACAGAGAAAGAGATGGGGGAGGAGGAGGAGGAGGAAGATGGATGGATGGATGGAAGGAAGGACGGACGGACGGACGGACGGACTGAAAAGAGCCAGGCAGAGAAGCCAGAGTGAAGGGCACAGAGATAAGGTAGACATGCAAACACAGATGGGGGTTCTCCCAGTATGGCTCACCACACCACCACAGCAGCCAATTTCCATGATGCTCAGGGCACTTTTTCAAAATGGCTAATGTACCCACAGGCCACTAAAGGATGGAACCTTCTCATTAAAAAGTCAATTATTGCTGAAGAAAAATCAGTACGGCTTCTGGAAGGGGAAGTATAGCTCCAGAAACTTTTGAGAGCTATCTGACTGCCAAAAAACACACAGATAACTTTGATCAAGTGGCTATTCTATATCTGGATTTCTAAAAGCTTTTGATTAAAGTCCCTCCTGGGCTCTCCTGGACTTCAAAGTGCTCCTGAAACTTCTCATAGAATTAGGAAACTGGACAACCAGATGACAACTAAACTGGAAATGAAAAGTGATGCACGCCGAGATAAAAATTCTTAACTTACATATACACTGATGGGGTCAGAATTGGTAGTTACTAACCAGTAGAAAACTTTTAGTCATAGTGACGCAATCAACAAAAACATGAACTCAGTCCACAATAGCAAAGAAAAATGCAAAGTCTATTGAGAGAGTATTTGGAAAGGGACCAAAATAATATTGCAGTGCTTCTATATAAATCTACAGTGTAGTCACATTGGAATACTCTGACCAGTTTTTACCACCACATCTCAGAAATGATTGTGCAGAGCTGGAAAAGGGGCAGAAATGGGTAACCAGAATGATCAAGGGGTTCATGTTTATCCAAGAAGAAAGACAAATGGAGCAACTTTTTCACATGTTTAGACAGAGAAAGCCCTAGCCAGGGCCTACTGGACATTATAGCTCTCTTTTCTCTCCAAGCATGTTGAAGATTGTACCCTAAAGTGCTCAGGGACTTTTAGCCCAGACAATATAACTGTGGGTGAGGTGAGCATCAGTGTGGTTTATACAGTTCCAAATGGCTTCTAGAAATGCAGAGACCTTGTCCTTCTCTCTCATAGTGCTAGAATCCAGGGTCATTAAATGACTGGTAGTAGAATGGGAATAGATTCAAGGCAAAACATAAGCACCTTTTCACACAGCACATATTTAATTTATGGATAGACCACTCACAAGAAATGATGGGCACTGGCTTAGCTGCCCATCTAAGGAAGAGGAGGAGAATATGTTTCTGAAAGATGATTTCCTTAGAAGCGTGGCTGGCTCACGTTTAGCACAGGATGCACGATCAGATGAAGAAAACCCCTCAGGTTGGGGGCAGAGGCATAAGACACCCACATTTTAGAATCCCTCAAAACTTATGAAACGAAGTTTTTCCCATCCCGTACAGATTAGCTTGACACAGCCACATAAGCACCCACTGAATGTTTCATGATCACTCTGCACGAATGAGTATCAGCTACAAATGCCACGGATATTTGCTCAAAACAAGAAAAAAAAAAACAGATAGTTTAAGGTTAACATTAAATATGGACAGAATAAAACAAGGTTGAAATGTTGACGCTGAATATCCTTTTGGACACAATATATGCATCAGTGCTTCGAGAACCTCCTGGCCAAGCAACATCATCCATACTGCAGAGCACTTAAGCATTCTTAGGAAATGCAAGCCCGTTTGCATGTGCTTCGAGCATCCGTCCAAGCGTGCTCCCTATACTTCCCTGTGGCTGCACTTGGTGGCAGAAGGTCAGTGGTGGTGAGCCGCCTGTCTGTCAGAAATACCCACCGTTATTGAAACACTGTTGGGAAAGTATCTGGTCAGCACGAACCATACAAAACCACTCACAGGGCTCATCTCGTATTGAGACCAGCATGATTTTAAGATGGAGCAACTACTCTATGAAAAGCAGTCTAAGAAGGACCACCTATCTACAATCTAGCCAGCAACTGCATTCTAAGTATAAGGCAAAGGAAGAAAAACAAGCTACAACTTCTTTAGGTTTGCAAGTCTACATGTTCTAATGACATCCATTGAAAAAGACAGGAAAACCCATGAAGCAGAGAAAGGATAGCAAGAGACATACATTGCTCACCTTAGTATGTCTATAAAAATTGAGGTGGGTAAATTTTTGTACCAGAAATGGAAAATCAGTGGCATGTGCAGATAATTTATGATATATGAGAAGAAGGCTTAAAATGGCTATAAAAAGTTCAATGCATGTCCAGCCAAGATCAACATCAGCAGGAAAAAACAGACATCCATTTGAACTGCCTGTTGTATTTTGGCATCTGCTAAAGCAAGCTTTTTCCCATTAAACTTTTATGCCTCAGCCAAGCTTTTAGATGTTACAGGATTTTTAAAGAGAGGTGTATATGTCATCCCATCTTCTTTAATAGAGAAATCTTAGGCTGCAATTTATGACTAGAGGCTTATGCGAGCCCAGTAGAATATTTTATTTTGGTTTGGTTATGGTTTGGTGGATGGGAGTTGGACTTTCACAACAAACAGAAAATTTTCATGACAAATCAGTGCATGTTTTTGAGAAACCAGTGGTTTAAAAAGCAATTTGCTGCATGGAACTGAGTCAACGTGCTGCTTGAGGAACATTTGCACACATTCCCCTTGGGCATGGAAAATTAGCTGTACATGTTTTTTTCTAATTCATATTTTAACAGTCACTATAAGAGTCTAGAAAATTCACCTTGCCTAAATGGTGAATGTATTCCATGGGATTTGTATTCCATTCATGAATACTTTGGCTATTGCCTTCTGCATTTAATGGTCTTGTCTATTTTCTCCTAAGTTTTGTGGTTTAGACTGGTTAATCTGATCCAAACAGATGCATTTTTGTAGACCCATCTCTCCACCCAAGCTTTTCCTGAATGATTGTGCTACCCTGATATTCTGCTGCTCTTTTAGATTAAAATATTTGACACGCTTTTACTAATGATTTTTTCCTATTTGTAATTATGTATTTTAATGTGTGTCTGTAGCTACTTAGAGATAGTGCTTGCTATGGTAAGTGCTATAAAATTGATAGGAATTTCTTATCAATTTGAATGTGATAAGAATTTATTAATTTGATAAGAATTTGTTTGTAAGTGGCCCTGAAGACCGCAATTTTAGAAAGATGGAATACATGCTTTCTGAAAGGCATTAATAAAATAAAATGGAGCTTTCATGTTTTCCAAAACATATTGTCTGATCAAGACATTTCAGAACTCATTTCTTCTTCGATCGTGTTTCCTGGTGTTCTGGTCCAAGAAAGTCCCCACCTCCAGTGCGTTCATCAGCGACTAGGACAGCTATGTTAGTAAGCTTGCAGGCAAGAGGAGAGAGACTTACATCAGTGATAGTGTTCAGAGCAGTGTCTGCACCAATGCTGAAATCAGAACCTGGTACATTGTTGGATACGGTTGCAGGAACCATAACCATGGGAATACAGAACTCATCATATTTCTCCCGGGCAGCAGAGAGCTCCAAAAGTCCCAGGTAGGCCTGAAGGGCACACATGGTAATGTATGCAAAATTAGAGGGGACAAAAAAAAAAAGATTGTAATTACAGTAACACGGATATTAATTTGGCAGAGGGATTTGTTTACTATCACACACACTAGATTCAGATGTTATGATTTTTCTCCCCCAGAGATTCAAAAGTGTTTTGAAAGAGGGATCTCACACATGGTGTGTGCCCATTCTTTGTTGTCCCTGGTAAACAGGCTTTTGGGTCATTTCAAAACCTGCTGGACTAAAGACAACAGTGGCACAGAGGTGTGTGTTGCATTGGAGCAAGGCCTCTCTCAAACCACATTTTCAGCACTCTTGAAAACCGCAGTCAGTCTCCAGCCACAAGGAGACACGAGCGAACACCACACATAAAATTGAACAGTGGATAAGACAGAAACAGTGACAAGCAAAATAACTCTAAGAGCAAACAGTTAAGGTAACATTCCTGCCAGCTCTGTGTAACACTGTAGTGTAGCACTCCAATGGCACAAAGAAAACAAATCTCACACCTGCACGTTACTTTTTCTGTTCAAGCATAGATTACATCAAACATGTGATTAGCTTCATTAAAGAACTGGTTTAGATACCTAAGCAGAAGCTGTTTAAGCAGTGGTTTCTTGCTGTGGAAGGATAATAAAAGAATGTTTTTTTAAAAGCTATCCAGCACATCATTCTAGGGGTAAAAAGAAATATTGGGCTGCCACAGAACACAGAAGGGTAGTGTAGTGTTTCACTTCTGGGTCCATGACATGGATTATAACTTAGCGTCTGCATATCATGTCAAACTTTCCCTCTCTCTACTCAATGTATTAATGATTGCTGTTGGGGATATGGAAATGACCATGCCTAGTGCTGGATCAGCCTCCTCTCCTACTCACAGGCCAAGAAAAGCCAACAACAGTCTTCTTAGAGTGAGTCCAATGATAAACCTTCTACCTGGTTCACTGTCAATGAATGCCATCAATTTCACTAGGCAGAATCCAATAGGGCACTGAGCCCCTACTCATTCCATTCCTCAAGCAAGACATTGATTAAGCATTTCTGGGACCAACCAAAACCAATCAGAAGCACTTGTTTCTGGAAGGAGGCAAGTCAACAGAGCTTCTCTGAGCTCTCCCTGCCCAGAAACCAGTGTTTCAGTTCCTTTTGGGGACTTCCTGTAGGAAACATTAAATCTCTGTTGGGCAAGTGATGGGTCCTGCTTGCAGAGTGGAATCAGAGGGAGAGAGGGAGGGGCCTCCTGTGCAGCAGCCATATTGGATTCTGCCCACTGGGACATTCGGCAACATGAAGTCTTGAAGCAGAAGGGCTGAACTTTGATTCCACAATCTCAGAGGTCTTCACATCTGAACCATCACATTAGTGCTTGATAGCACACACAACTGTAGTTGTCAGAGCTTGCGTATTAATAAGAACTCTCAGAGGAAAGAAAACAAAGTGATATACCTCGAATCCACCAATAACTAGGAGGGCATTGATGTTATGAGCTCGCATCTGTTCTGCAATCTTCTCCAAATATTTTCCAGGGAGGGTACTAAAATACAGATGGGTTGTTTTTTAAGACAAAAAAATCAGCAGTGAAAAAAGATTTAATGTGTGAATCCACTAACAGCACCATTCAACATCATGAGTTTTACAAAACTGCAAGGGTTACATGCAATTGCTAAGCTAGGAGATTGTTACTTTAAACATCATAAAATAAAACAATTATTTTCTTTGTTATGCCATTCTTTTTATCTTTCAGGTTTTCCTTTATTTTCCTTCACCAAAATGGGTAATTTTCAGAACAACTTTGGATAATATTATAGACATTCAGGGTAGTAAGTAACCATAATTTCTATGGGTCTATGCTCATTTATGAAATTTCAGAGAAATAAGTATTTATTGTCACAGACACCTGTATGCCCCAATCCTAAATTCTGTAGACAGTTCTGTAGACACATCGGTCTGCAAAGGTGTGTGTGTCACCCAATTTATTTCAGTTCTGGGCTCTAGATATGTATTTGGCCACGATCATGCAGGAGGTAACCAAGTAATCTCCCTATTCTATGTATAATTCACATTACAAATCTTACTAGAATACAGTGATATGGGACATAATAGCAACTATCAGGCCTAACTGTTCAGAAACAGATTCACAATAGTAATTTCTTTCCATTCGTAATATACATTATCATATAAAATTACTGATAAATATAGAAGTTCTCACTATTATTTCTTCAGTCTACTAGAAGATGAAGAATGCAATCTTTTAACATTACCGTTTTGTGCCCAGGATTGATCCTCCTTGGCCAGTCCAACCTCCAACATCTCCCCAGCTGATTTCTTTGATCTATAATTTAAAACCAAATTGAGAGGCTGATTGAGCGATTTTCAAATTACCATGCCATAGTTCAGAACAAATGCTAACCTCTTCAAACATCGAACTGTGCACAGCGACCAGAAAAGCATCCTCATGGCATTCAATTTCACCTTGGTTTGATTCTCAGTTTCTCACTGTTCACATCTCATTTACACAGATCACATCCTTTAGAACTGTGAATTCAAGAGTTTTTCCATCCCCTCCTTGAATCTCCGGCAGCTGAATGTGCAAACCCATAACTACATGGCACATTTAATAAAATGTGGTGGAAAAACTGAAATGGGATTATGAAACAGCTTTGATTATGAAGCAGAGCTAGGCAGCTTCCAATGAAACAGGCTGGTGGTGTTGGTGAGAGGGAGAAGATTCAAGACTTCTGTCCAAAACAACTGAACCACTTTAATTTGGGGACAGAACATGTGAAGGAACAGAAGTGTCCTCCACTTTTGCATTTAGTTCTGGTTTTTTGGGTTATCATGAGACTATATCCAGAGTATGGTCTGAAGGCACATAAGGCACCCACCCCATTGAAGCTAAGCAGGTCTGGGGGTGGCTTGAGCTTGGAGGGGAGACCACAAGGGAACCACATGTAGCCACCTTGAATTCCACAATGAGAGAAAGGTGGGATATAAATATAATAAAATAAAGCCTTTTCAGTTTCTTCTCTATAAAAACATTTAATATGTTCATAACCATGTCACACTAAAAGCATCAGAAGAGAACACACTTTTTAATTTTGTTTCCTCAGTGGGAAAAAACCCCCCAGGAACCAAATGTGACAACTGTGATAAATGTGCTTTTTGTCTGTCTTTATTAGCCTCTGTTCTTATCTCCAGATAGTTCATACTGCCATTGCTATTCCAGGCCAGGCAAACTGCCAACCAGGGTCCCTGCCAAGGTCACTTAAAAGCTGCCCTCGGAACAAATACATGGAATCTGAAATTGAAGGGTCCACATGTGGGGTCCATGGAGCAAATGCTTTTAATATACATTGTATGGATCTTTATTTATTTATTTATTTATTTATTTATTAAAACATTTTTTACAGCATGTTTCTAGAAGTACTATGGGAAAATTAGCTGTGGTCCAAATAAAGATGGACCAGATTTCAGTCCTTTGTGGATGGGGGAATAATATAATATGTTTACAATAACCTTGCAGATAAATTATCCATTTTATTATGTATGACACTAGACAATCTTGCATCTAATAACAGAGCCTCTGGAAGGAAGGAAGGAAGGAAGGAAGGAAGGAAGGAAGGAAGGAAGGAAACCTCCATCCATCATAAGGAGTCTTTTGTTTGTTACTCTGTTGTGCTGTAGGTAGCAAGGGTTTAGTTTTTAGGGATCTGCTTAATTCCCCTAACCAAGAGATTTAGCCAAATTTCTTTCAGAGTTTGACATTCTGCCCAATGAGTCTCTCTCCCCCTTACACATATACCCACATGTGTACACTTTCATATTCCCCTTTAATAATATTTCACTAGCAACTCTGGCTCGGGTCTTTTAAAACTCTACTTTTGTATGCAATTGTATTTTAAAAGAGGGATACCTTAAATCTGCTTCTGCGTCTTAGAAGGTCCTGGTCAGAAGGCACATTCAATAATAATCACAACAACAACCAAACCATGGTACTATCGTAAAAGGCAATCTTTGGAATATACTAACCTGCCCCTTAGAAAACCCTTCAAAGCCATCGGTGACGGCAAACATTTTGTGTCCTTCAGTTATTCCAATTCTCACAGCAGATCGAACTGCTGCATTCATTCCAGCTGCTGGAGCACCTACGTTTAAAACAGCTACATTGAAGTTACTCTGCAAGAAAAAAAGAGACAATATTCTCAGGAATATACTGTACACAACTGATTGCGATAAAGCAATCTGAGAGAGAGAAAAGAGAGAAAGAGCAAATTGTGGACTCCAGGTTTTAAAGCAATGCTAAGTGTAAGCAAATCGTTCTTTCTTTAACATATTTACTCCCAAATTTTGTGAGACCTAGTGTGAACAAGATGGAGATTTTATACTAATGACCTATATTTCATATGCCGCTGAACATTAAAAGAATTAAGCATGCCCGTCCTGTACATGCTTAGGTAGAAAAAGCTCCTGCAACTTCCAGTATTCCTCGGCCACGTCCATTCTTTCATTTTTTTCAGTGCCCCTGCAGTCACACCTCTCTGAATACTATCCTAATTATACTGTCACAGACAGTATGTTGCAAAAAAGAACGGACAAAGAAAAGAAATCTAACGCAGTAGATATGAATGTGTAGTTGATTTTGTCCAACTGCAACCTATATGGATAAACAAATGCAAATGCACTAAAAGAAAGCATGGCATGTACCTTACCTTCTGAAGGTGATCGCATCAAATGCCATAAATACTCTATGAACCAATGTGGGATGTAACCAAAAGACCACCTGCTGATCAAAGATTGCAAGTCCACCATTCAAGGCCCCAGGGAGCCACCAGCCTTGTACCATCAGCAGTGCTTCCAAACGCCATGCATTGTGCTGGTGCCATACGGACGCTGATGTACAACAAGGCAAAGCATGCATTGCTGATTGCAACCACTTTTCCCAGAAAGGAGTTGCATTAATAAAACCCAAATAATCATTTGCATGCAAAGCGATCGTTGTGCAAGGCAACCAGTGTATAGGATACTGCCTGCCACCTAGGGCTATGTATTAAGTAATGAATTATTTCTATCATCTAAAAGCAGGAGGACCTTATTAGTTTTGCATCTGAGGATCACTCTCTTCAGAATTACAAATTAACAAGCATGCCAACGTCCTTTATTTAACTTTACTGATTTATTTAAAACATCTATATGCTGCCCAGTTGTGCTGCAGCACTTCTGGGCAGCTCACAATTATGAGGCTCACATCATGTTTCCCATCAGCCTTCCAGTGAAATATAAGAATATTTTACCCCCTCTTAAGAACTTTTGATGCACCATCGGGCATGACGTGGATGATCAACTTCAAACAGCCTAATGGTTTATCACAAAGACCTGCATGCTGAGCAAACACTATGGATTCAAAGGCTTTGGATTTCATGTTAATGTTTTGTTCCCCCATCTGCTCCTCTCAAGCATGGCATTGCAGACATTTGAGACAATGGTCCCTAAGAGAAACTATATTTGTGGAATTTTCTGGAACATGGTGCTGACCCCTTATGTACATAATACTCAGAATCAAAACTTTAAATCCCTATTTTAAGCAAGAAAGAAAATATTAACTATGCTCAAACAGCCATGAACCATTTTTCTAATCCAAGTTTCTTGACTTTCCAAAATGATAGCTATCTGCTTAAAGAAGTAGTTAGGACGTAGCTGGTCAACGGAACAATACTCCTTTCATGCTTTCAGATAAATTGCCATGAAACAGCAATCAGAGAAGCAAATAACAGCAAGGGCAGGGAAGAATAGGAGAAAAAGAGGAGCACAGCATGTACTGGTGCTGTGCCCATTCTGGGGGTGGGCAAATTAGGGTACAAATCTTCTTCCAGCCGAGTAACCAATTGACACTCTGGCTCTTACTTCCATTAAAAAATATTTTAATACCCTAGATCCTGGACTGCATGTAACAGAAAGAGAGACTAGATGTCTGCCTTGTTCCCCAGCATTATTTTATAGCTATGGAACTGTAACAGAAAGAAATCAGGAGAATCTGAGAAGCTCCGACACAGTGGGTCATAATGCCCTCTGGGTGTGACTTGGTAGAGAGAGTTACATTGAACAAATGGTTAGTTAGATGTAGGTTTGTCTCCTTAAAGACATATTCTCCCATCTTGTTGGAGCAAAAAGCCCCAACAACACAGATAGAAGAGAATAAATTGAAAAGACCAAGGAGATTAGTGTGCAGTCCTATCTGTTTTGTTAAGTTTAGGAAATATTTTAGTTGAATGAAATCAACTAAAATACATAAATATATTGCAGCCAGAGAGGGTCAATAATTTATTTATGTTGATATTTGTATTCTATTTATGTAAGCCGTCCTGAGGCTTTTGCAATAGGACAGCATATAAATATCCTAAATAAATAAACAATCATTTTCTTCTGCCCACTCACATTCTTAACAGTCTGCAATAACTTGATACCCTTGGTGTTTTCTAAGGGATTCTGAGTCACTAACTAAAATCAAGCCTGTGGCAAAGCTGAAGAATAAGGCCTGAGCACATTTGTTGTCCAGCTTAAAATAAAAAGTGCACAGCCGATAAATACTCAAATAGCAATTCTTGTTGCCATGCAAAAATAATAATATAGCCTCCAAACCTAGCAACCAAGGGCTTGCTAAGATTAATTGCTTTGTGCTTATTTATGTATTTATTTTTACATACACTACATGAGATACCATCCTGTTAAAAAGAACAGAGAGATTTAAAAGTAAGATGGTGGCTGGAGACATTTCCTTCTTATCTTGTCATTATAAACAACCAGCAGGTGCGTTCTTTTTGATATGCATAATACTGAACACAATTCAGCTACATGGAATAGTCAGGCTAACACAGTTAGGGGTGTACGGACATTGTAAAATTTATTCCATTTTGTTTTGCAGCTTGTCAAGTGGCGTTGCTCATATCAGCCACTCACTGACTGAACTGGATTTTTAAAATAATCCTTCATAAGGCCTTGTGGAAAGAGTCTTCCAGTAATAAATACCGTGTTTCTCCAAAAATAAGACACTGTCTTTTTGCTCAAAAAAAAACACATTTGGTCTTATTTTCGGGTAGGTCTTATTTTTTTTATGTACAAAATGTACATTTAATGTACACCCTTCTGCTCTGCACGCTTCTGCTCTGCACGCTTCTGCTCTGCACCTTTCTGCTCTGCACGCCTCTGCTCTGCACGCTTCTGCTCTGCACCCCTCTGCTCTGCACCCCTCTGCTCTGCACGCTTCTGCTCTGCACCCCTCTGCTCTACACCCCTCTGCTCTGCACTCCAATTGCTGCCAAAAGCTGTATACACCGATCCTCTCCAGCACCTGCTACCGGTACCATCACAGGCAGCGGAGGAAGCAGAGTGGCATGAGCCGATGCTTCCTCTATAGTGCCGGCTCCTGTGACAGGCGGATATCACTCCGCCCTTCCAGGAGCCAGGACTATAGAGGAAGTATCGGCTTAAGCCGCTCTGCATCCTCCCGCTGCGCCCTCTGCACTCCGCTGGCACTCTGCAAGTAAGCAAAAAAAAGACCTATTACCAGTAATTTTTGGTAATAGGTCTTACTTTCAGGGTAGGGCTTATATTATAGGACCTACCCCGAAATAAGACTAGGCCTTATTTTTGGGGTAGGTCCTATTTTCAGGGAAACACAGTAGCAAGAGATGGGCTTTTGTGGAATATTTCCAAAATTCACACCATTGCCTCTCATGCCTCGACAGATCATTCAGGCCCATGGCCAGTTATACCAAGCTTAATTCCAGGTATTTCCGTGAGGACAGTTTTTGCAAAAATTCTAAATAATCTGTTTCCATAAGATTTTGCTCAACAAAAGCATCCAGCAACAAAGAATGAAGCCATCAAGGAACGAGCCAAATGACTTAACAGGAAGTACCTTGGGAAGTTCAGCAGCTGACTTTTTGGTAGACAATAGCTTGTATGTATTCAAGTTGTTCTCAAAACTCCTGTAGAAGAAGACAACATTTTCGGTGTGTTGCTATTTTCAACAATAAAGCAATTTCACATTTTATTAGCGAAAATGTCCATAAGGGATTTTTGACTTAAAAGACACGGAGAACATCCAGGAACCAAGCATCTTTTACTTTTGCTACTCTTGCTAGAAAATTAACACTTTCGGATAAGCCTTCCATTCAGGCAGTGAATGTTGTTGCTATTGTGCCTCTTGTTCTGCTGTGGACAGGACTGGAAGTTTTCAGTGTACTGCTATCTTCAACAACAAAGCAATTTCTTTTAATGTAGTAACACAACATGTTCTGTTAAACATCAATGGAACATCTGAAGGGTAACATACTTTTGCTGTACTCTCCCAAACTTAACTGTAAAACAAGGAAATTTAACACCCCATCGATACCTCTGGCAGACTCCTGTGAAACTTGGCCCACAATTCTATGAACTAAGGAAAAGAGGAAAGATGTCTGGGCGTATTTCATGTACACTGTTTACTATCACTATCTTGTGTATATTTGGGAAGGGCAATGGCCTCTGATAAACTGCCTTCCAGAGGGCCTTCAAGAAACACTTTCATTGCTCAGTGGGTGCTCCCACAGTCGATAGCCACATACAGCTCGTACGTGCTCTGCGATTGTGAGGTCTCCACCTCAAGGCAAGGCCAGCCATTTTAATTAAAAGGCATTTCAGAGTCAGGAGAGATCATGCTCAGGGCACATTCTTCTTTCTCTGCTGCTGGGCTGACCCAAGAGCCACTGCATAGGTTTAGAGCTGTTTTGTTAATGCCGAGGTATTTTATTTCACATACATGCCACATATAGGAAAAGTAATCTACTTGTTCACACTTCTTAGCCATGAAAAATAACATGATTAGGCAGAGTTCACTGGATGCAACAGGGCAATCTCAGCCAGTGGGAAAATGAAGAGTAGCGTCGCACCTTCCACGGAGTTGCACAGCCTCACTGAACCTTCTTTCGTCCATGCATTTCTGCACATCTTGGGTCTTTCGAAATGGAAAAAAAGAAGAGAATAGATAATCACACATTAGAAAATGATACCTTCTACCAGCACAGGTCCTAAAGCAGGGAAGGAATTCAAGACAGATGGCAAGAGCTGCAACTTTGCTCGTGCAATTAGATCATGTGAACCCAAGTTATTTCACTGGGGTTTACAGTGTAATCCTATTCCATGTGCACTCAGAAGCAAGCCCAGTTGACCCCCTTGAGGCTTATTTATGAGTAAGCATGTCCAGGGTGGCATCATTCAGCCCCCAAGCCCTGTTCAGGATAACGTCGGTCGGTTGGTTATGACATTGCTGACTTCATTTCTATAACTTACATAGTTAATAGGATTCACTGTTTTAATTTATCTCTTGTAACTTTAGTGAGCTGCCTTGATCCATGGCTTGGGAAAGGCAGGAAAGACTTTAACAAGAAAAGAAATAAATAGGCTTATTGCTTAGGTTTGTGGACTCAAAGCATGGATTCAAAGACTGCACCATACAGAATGGTTCAGTGTAGCGATGCTGCAGAGGCTTCGGGAAGCCAGAATTGTCTCATTTAAGTGGCGTGTACATCACCAGGCGTGAATAGTGTCTCTCCTCAAACAAGCAACTAGAAAGGCAGCAAGGGCGCTGCCACGAGAATCAGCAGGCAGCAACCATATTGCAGGTATTTGCATGCCAAAAGAAACCCACCACTGGCTCTTCAGAGCCACATGGCATCTGCTAAGCCCGATCACGGCCACTGGGGGATCACTGGAGTTCATTGTACTGAGTGCGGAGAAACGCTCTCCTCCTGTCTTGCCAAGGCACAAGAGCCCATTGATTACAGCGGGCAAGCAAGATAGTGCTGGAGCATTCGTACAATGGCTTCTTTTCAGCAACTCACCATCTGCACACACTCCATTAAAGGCAGGCGGACGGATTGGTTTCCAGACAGTGAGACCACGCAGGCGGGAGTCTCAGGTGTAGCTTCTAAGAGGGCCAGGACTGCCTCCACGCCCATGCGGCTTGCCTGGAGATGCAAGAGAGATGCGCGAGCTTTTAAGCACACCAAATAATTCTAGAGCGGATATCTTGACTTTGATGTGTGCCAACAAGCAACTGCATAATGCTCTTTTTGAATACCAGTTCCATAACATTAGAAGGAAGAAGAGAAAAAAACCCCAATCCCACCACTACAAATGTCCACAGCTTTAAAATCCTCTGTGGGGCCTACAAAAAATCAAATAAATCATATACTTCGCATGGGTGATCCTCTGGTTGATCAAGAGTCTGTTTATTTACCTATAGGCCTCCACTTCTAGCTTGAGCATCCAAAAATGCCCTTTGTAAGATCTACGTGCTAAACACAAGGTGGGGCAGGAGAACTGCAGCTGTTGATTCTGCTTGGTGTCGCTCTGGCTTTTGACTCCGCCCACCAGGGGATCTGCTGGCGTGGCTGTGGGCCGGGCGCTGGAGAGACTGCATTGCAGTGGTTCTAGTCTGAGTTGTGTGGGTGATTTCAGAAAGTTAGATCGGGTGATTATTCCTCAACCCCGTGAAAACTGAGCTATGGGGTTCCACGGGTCTCATTTGGTTCTCAGTGTTATATCTATATGGAGAGATGCTGGGAGCAGTCAGCAATGGCTTTGGAGCCAAGTGTCACCAGCAGGCTGCTTCCTTATGGCATCTGAATCAGAGAAGGCTGTGCTAGCCCTGGATCAGGGCCTAGATCCAGGGATGGCTGAGATGAGAGCCAATACTTCTAAGCCGAATCCTGGCAAGACAGCATCCCTGAGCATGAGGGGTTCCTGAGTCCGGGAGAAGGCTCATGGTGTGTTCTGGCTGGGATTGCACTCCCTGTGAAAGAGCAGGCTTGTAGTCTGGAGATACTCCTAGGTCCATCATTGGGGCTGGAGTCCCAAGTGATGGGGGCAGCACAGAATGCCTCGGTCTCTTCTGGACAGGTATGACTTGGCCACGGTGGCACAGATGCTTGTAAGATGGGTCACTGCCATGTTCTGCATGTGGAACTGCCCTTAAGGCTGCTCCAGAAGCTGGAGTTCCTACAGGGTTTAACAGCTCAGCTGTCGGCAGAAGTGGCCCCCTTTCAGCATGCCACTGGTTTGTTGAGGGAACTGCACAGGCTGCCTATTTGCTACTGGGCCAGGCGCAAGGTTTTGGTAGGAGTGAATAAAGACCTAAATAGCTTGGGACGAAACTTGAGATAGCACCAGTTCCCCTTTACCAACCTCCTGGGTCACAGAGGTCATCAGAAAGCATGACCCTAGTGGTTCCACACGGATCTATGGACCAACTGAAGAGAAGAGACGTCAGAGTGTTGGCCCTCTTTCTATGGAACTCCCTGCCTCTGGAGTTCAGGAAGGCAGAAACACTGAGGGGGTTTTTCGGGGGGGGGGCACTTTCTGAAAACATCTTTATTTCGGGAGCCTTCCTTGGTTCACCAGACACAGTGTATTGATTCTTTCTTAACATACTGTTGTATCCTTTGATCTGTTTCTATCTTTTTATAGTTCACTGCTCCAGAATCTATTCAGGCACAGAACAGTATAGAAATGTTGCTAAATAGAAAGATAACTGGCAGGAAATAGCTGTGCTGGAAAATATATCCAGCCAGGAGTAGGGAGCTGGGCTAGATCTTCACACACACACCCCTAATCCCACAACCAGCCCTCCTGTCAAACCTATTGCCAAAGCAGTTCTCACCCAACCTTTCTTTCCTACAGCAGTGCCAAGGAACATACAGCCCACAGTTCAGCGGACCGAAAATGATGGCCAATTATGCAATGTTACATCATACAATATTGAACAACCTGTCATTCTTCTGGTATTCTGAAGCTGGTTGGTCGATACTCACCAAAATCCTATCAAAAGCTGAGGGGGTCCCTCCTCTTTGAACATGTCCAAGGATAGTTACACGGGTGTCATACCCTAAACGCTGGACCACGAGCTGCAAGAAAGGCAAAGTGTGAAGTTAGAAAGAATACACCGGATTATGAGATATAGCAACTGTATGAACATCCATGAATTATTTTGTGTAAGCAATGACCTGAAATTCTAGCTTAACTCTACAGCTCTTTAGGAATGCCTACAAATGTTTGTGACGCATTAAAATTCCTTTGTCGGCAAAATTAATTTCTTGGCTTCTCACACAGAAGCAGGAGAAAGACAGATGTTTTTAAGAAATAAAGGTGGCAAAGTTCAAAATCCAGTCCGACCAGAGGCAACAGCGGAATAATAGGAATGTGTGCGTAAATCAAACTCCCACTTCGGGACTTTATCTCCTACCAGTATGGCCAGTGATCGTGCATACTGGAAGCTGTAGCCTAAAAAATCTGAAGGGCGTCTCAGGTTGCAGAAAGCTCATCTGCCCCATTGCCAATAATGGCTCTACTATCCCACCTTCGCCTCTGATAAACTTCCGATTGTCTTCAGCCTGACAGATGCTTCCCTTCCAGTTTTGTGGTGGAAGTTACTTAACTGCACTGCAGAGAAATTACTTCTAAATGAAGGAAAGGGTGCTTCTGGCACGTCTGAGGGGAAAATATGTACCGCTGCATGTAAAGGCAGAACAGCAATGCCGAGGAGGAGGGAAGTGGTGACGCCATTCCACTCCTTACCACAATTGAGCCCCATGCCAAGTCCTGATCTCACACCTTCCTGTCTGCCCTCTTTGCGGGTAGCGGAAGATTCCTGGAGAACCTGGCTTGCTTGACGGCAGCCCTTCCGGCCAAGAACAAGACTTTCAACTGGCAGTGGTGAACCTGCACCTCAGGCACTGACTGGTAGCTAGGCGGCCCCAGAGGGACTCTTGAACCATAACTCCTTCCCACATCTGTGCAGCCCATTGGGAAAAGGTCTCAAGTCTTCTGCTGAGCTGTTCTTCTCCCCCTCTTCAGCACATATAAAAGCAACAACCCAGCTGAGGAGACCCTGAAATTACTGGAATGCAGGATCTCTCTTATCTCTGGATAGTAAAGTTATTTTAACAGGCATGAATGTGGTGACAGGCAAAATTAGTGATAAAAGCTAGGAGCTGTACAGTTATGGGGGAGCACGCATTTCACCCACTCCTTGCAAGCATAAGGAACAATTTGGCAACTCAAGCTGAGTCATTGTCTGGCCGAAACCCACAATTCAGTATAACAGTTTGTTCCAACAAGCCTAGCTGACAGATCATGCTAAAACTGCCAAGTTTGTAGCATAGCACATAAAATCCAAACTGAGCTTATACAATGATGTTAATTAGATTTTAATAAATAGGCCATAGAGAAAGAATCAGATTGTGCAAGATACATCCCAGGCAGCAAAATGAGAAGAGTATTTTCCATAGAGTTTCTAGGGGTTTCAGTTAATAGTGCTTTCTCTGGAATGGGATGAAGAGACACCAAGTTGACTCAGGCTGCAGACAAAAACTGAGGGCCAAACTATTCTGGGAACGTCATCCACAGGTTGAAGTGCCTGATCCTGCCTAATCTTGGAAGCTAAGCAGGGTCAGGCCTGGTTGAAATTTGGATGGGTGACTTACTGCTGTGACCCACCCACAGAGCTTCAGCTACGGGCAGTATAAAATGTAATTAACAATAACAACAACATGATACAAGTTTTTCAAAGGGACAGTGCCAAGTTGTGAGTCAAACTGGTTGCTCCATTTCAAATTTGATAATAGATTATGTCTGTCCAGCATCACTCAGAGCTCAAATCTAATGTTCACTGAAGAAGGGAAGATCAGTTTAAGTTTTCTCAGACATCCTAGGTGTGTGTTTCAAGACCTAAGTGGCAGAAATATGGAAGCAATTTAGTTCCTTGCTTCTGGGCTTGCTTTAAAAGGAGATTTGGTGACGGAGCCTCTCAGAGCTGAAGAACCGACTGCAGCTCCTGCAGTGTGACCATTCAGCAGTCATGTGCGAGATTAAGCCCCTGGTTTCCCTAAGAACCAGCAAGCCTATGCTGCTGATCCACAGTGCCTGTCTGAAAACTGAATTTCAGCAATTGCTCCCTGCATCCACATACTCTCTAATATGAATGCATATCATCAGCCCTTGCCTTACATTTAATGTTCTGAGAATCCCGCAGAAGAAAAATCCAAGAACCCTACTTTCCTTAACAGTAAGCATACTTTCTCCTGGCCTTCCTCAGTTCCTTCTTCCTCCATTCCCCTTTCTTTCAGTCCATCTGCGCCTCCCTCTTTGTCATCCCTTCTTCTGAACTTCCTCCCTCAACTACCACCCTCCTTGCTCCTATCCACCACTGCCGCATCAGTCCAGCTAATGGAGCCAGCTGCAAGCCATTCTGTAGTAATAATAATACATTTAAAGCACGATTCCAAACCTTCATGAATTTTGACAGAATATCCTATCCTACTAGTACTTATTTATGGATAGCATCAGTACTCATCACATATGAGAAAATGACTTGAAAGAGACTTTTTGGAGAGTTGGATCTTCTCTTTAGCTTTTCGTTTGTGTGGGGTGCTCTGAGCTGCATGCAGGTGTTTGGGACTTATTTTAAAGGAGGCATTTACTTACCTGTCCACATTTCTAGGACTTTTTTAAAGGGCGCCTTGTTCAGACAGTGTTTCGTTGCATATATCCTCAGTACAAGGTATGATTGGCAGCTTGATACTCACATCCTTAACTTGTTCTGAAGTTATCGGCTTGTTATGGGAATCAATGGCACCTTCTGCTACAATTATGATATTCAACCTTTTCTTTCGTGCCCGGTTCTAGGATAAGAAAAGGGCAAGATGCACCATTAAAGCTATGACAGTATCTGCAACTGGAGCGAACAGCTGGAAAGCAAACTGGCTTTGCTGGAAGCTTTTCAAACAGCTTGCAACTTTGCAAATGTGCTCTGAATATTCTGGTATGGACATAAGTTACCCCAGATCAGATGCCATTTTTCTGGCCATGTGGAAGAGGTCACAATGACTCCCACACTGGGCTAGTATGGAACCATTTTGTGAAGCATGAAAGGAACAGAAGAGATGATAAAGCCATGCTTTCAAGCTTTTCTGCCCACTCAACATTAGCTCTTGCACTGAAGAACATCTGTATGCCACAAAACCTCAGCACAGGGTTCTGAGGACTTGCAAATGGGGCTTTATCTTTACGTTGCTTGCACTGAGAATGCCAAACACTTTGCTAAAGCTGGCTCTTGCTAGGGAAGAGGACTTGGTTAGGGCTGAGCTTCGTGCTCTCCAGTGATCATTTCCGGTGTGAAAATGGGACTCCAGCAGCTTAAAACATTTTGTGCCAGCTCATTGCTATTGGCAGCCCCATTCAGCTGTAGACCTGGAACCATTTTGTGTTTGCTTATCTAACAGAAGTAGCAGCATCTACCAGCCAATCCGATTCCATCTGGTTACCCCTTTTCCAACACTTTCCAATGTGGGAGAAAACAATTCACAAAGGCAGGGAGAACGGAAGTTCACTAGAACATTTTGGGCAACTATTCCACAGGGACAGAAGCTTTCACAGAATATTTCACATGTTGGCATGACCCCAGTGTGGTCCTGACCCTGCGGAAATGCGGTCTGTCAGGGCTTGGAACACTTTCCCACCATGTTTGAGCTTTTCATCAAGGAAGCTCAAGGGTTCCTAGGTCAAAGGATTACCTCAGAAAGCTTAGAGCACATATGATCTTCCCAACCTTCCTCTGGTGGATATTCAGGAATAAAGACATAATCTGCTCCACAGGCTAAAGCACTAGCAAGAGCTAGGTACCTAGGAGAGAGTGGCAAAAACCAAATGAGCACCGGAACTAAAGTTTCTGCGACTTTACTAAATACGGTGTTTCTAGACATACATACCCACAGTGTCTTCCCATCACTTCCAGAACAAAAGTCCTCTGATGGCTATGAAAACCAAAGGAAAGATCAGCATCACCACAAGAGAAACAAGATATTAATGAAATCTGCATGGGGTACAGAGGAAAGGGAAAACTTAGTTTGGCACTGCAGGGGTAGTATTTAGCATTTTGCCTTCTTCCTTCCCCGCACCGCCACTTCATGATAAACTAGCTGCTTTCAGTTTTACAGCCAATCCTATTCTGACATTATGTCAGAATCAGCAAATCAGATTTTGTGCTTCCTCCAGAGCAAGAACTGCAAACACTGCACCACACTAAATTGGACCCAGCTCTGTTGTTTAAGTGGGGCTAGAAGCTATTCCTCAAACTATGTGATGGCTACTTGGTGATGGCTACTGACTGTCCAGTTGCAGGAAGCTGGATGCAAATCTCATTCCATGGTTTCCCCTCCGATTCATCTGCCCAGCTAAGTATCAGCCAACAAAAACAAGTTCAGCCCAACTTAAAAGGCACCTGATCTATATATGGACATTTCCTCCTCCCCGACACCTGCACGTCATTCCCATACCATGGCATGTGTCCAGTGACAAATGCCAGAGAAGGTGAGGACAGGACTAAGCTGCTGCTCCTGGGAATCCAGAAATGCCTCCTGAAGCTTTATTTCCATCTAGCTGCCCTGTGCCAAAGGCTACAAATCTCCAAAGAGACTATTTAAATCCCATTCCCCAAGAGCATTTCGGCAGACTGAAGTTAATGCATCTTGCTGTTGCGCCAACTATAGCTAAGGATTACATCCAAGCTGGACCTAACAGCAGAATGTCATAATGCCCAACACATTCCTCCCTGTCATCCACAATGACTCATAGTATCATGGTTAATTTAATGTGGGTTTCTACCTCCAAGAAAAGCACACTGAGCAAGTAAGGGCTCATCAGCTGTACCCATGCCTTCCATGAGGATAAGAACATGTACTAACCCTTGCCACACGGGCTTCTTTTAAGTGTGCAATCCTATGCATGTTTAGACAGAAAGAAGTTTTACAACTCCCAGCCCTGTGTCACATCTCCCCCTCCTCTTCCTGTAAGTGAAACTAAATATGTGACATGAAGTCACTAAGTTATGTACCACTCTTTTAATCTGCATTCTCGGCTGACCCCAGAGGCAAAGGGGGAGCACGAGCCCACACCGATGGTGCTGAGCCACGGAGGGTGTCTTTGGCAGGAACTCTCATGTTTCACGTATCGTCTAAATCTGCTCTGTGACCTAATATATAATATAGGCAGTTCCGTTGCATGTAGTGACCCCTCTTGGAATTTATCAGAAGGTTATGAACCCAACACCAGAACACTTTTGTGCTGCGAAACAGAAAGGGATAGGGTAATGAATCTCCATGTGCCTTCTTCAAATCCCACCATGCATCCTCTGAAGCCAAGGTACCTTTGAGCAGTGGTCATGATGGCGTCCACCACTTCAATGATTCTGTGCAAAGCTGAGTCGGTGCCAACGGTCATATCTGTCCCACAGAAGTCATTATCAATGGAGCCAACCATCCCCACAATGTTGAGGTAAGAATACTTCCTCACGGCCTCTTCTTCAATCTCACCTGCCCAGAAAGCAAAAGGAAAGTCTGATAAACACCCTCCATGATCCTCCGTCAAAAGCTAAAGCCATGCCATTTTGCACGTATAAAATGCAAAATGGAAGTTGTGGCCATGAGAAATGAGTTAACAGCTTCAGTGAAGAAAGGATAATATTATTCAACACTGCATGGAGTTTCTGCCTGCATTCATTTGGGAAAGGGTAGCAGATGGGCTGAAGGGCCCAGAGGTGCCATCCCAGTGCTCTACTTTGCTTTCAGAGTGACTCTTCAGATACAAGGCCCACAGTTAAGCAGTTGAGGGCCTGTGCTTTGCTTCAGAAAGTTCCAGGTAAGTTGGGCCAGGTAAGAACACTGGGCAGCTGCCCTCAAAGGAGACAGCTTGTTGTTCGGATGCCTGCCTGCGGCCAGCAGCTCTGAGCCCTCTGCAAGGAGATCAGTGACAAACTGAACAGCTAGCTGATACTGGCTGCCCACGTTGAATAATTCCTTCTCTGCAGATACCTGCAATATTAGAAACAATGTCAGGGTTCGTAAAGCACACTGCGTTACGTACTTTCCCAATCACTGATTTCCTAGAGCAATGAGTCCTGGTGTTCTGAACAACAAATATATCATTTGTTCTGGCAAGTGCGTATGCAATAAATCGGCTACCTTGAAGCTGAATACTTTAGAGCCATCAAGAAAGAGCTCAAAAAAGACGAGTTATTTCTCATGCACCACTGGGTCCCAGAAAGCAGCTTTGTTAATAGCCACAGAAACTGAGGCTTTTGCTGCAAGAGCGCCTAATGCATTGTTTTCTCCCTTGAACAGTTACGTGAGAAAGCACAACCAATCTTGGTAATCTCATAGACTGATAATCTTCCAAGAAATGAAATTAACGGAAGGAAGAAACTCTAATTTGGCACCAAAAACCAGTGATTCCAGGTACACTAGCCAGCTTCAGCTATTGGGTGGTACAGAAATAGAATAAATAAATACAATTAGATTGAGTTGAAATGTGCACAGCTCCCCAGTGTAATGCCACGTCGTAGCCTTTGCATTTTGGGGTACTTTGACACTGAATAGAATGCAATGGTAGTGAGGTGTCTATACCCCATTACTGGGGTGGGGATCCACTCTCCCTGTTGCTGTGCAGCACCATTTTTTCCCTAAAAATCTTTCCTCTCTGCCCGGACAAGGAGCAATACTCCTCCACTTTTAGGGTACAAAGGTTCAGTCCATCACAAGGCCCCAAATCCAAGCCCCAGAAGTTCTTTTAAAATCCCTCCAGATAGCACAGAATCAGGTAGTAGACCTCTTCACCATCCCACGAGATTGTGGTGGAGAGCGGATGCATACTGTGAATAGTCCCAGTGGTCTGCCTCCCCAGCGCAAGAGGCAAGGTTTTTAGCTTCCTCTTCCCCTCTGCCTGGCTCAGCTGCCCAGAGCTTCATCAGGCCTGAGCTCAAGGAAAGAGACGCAGAAGCCTGAGCGACTGGAAAATGGAGCGGTCTGGTGATCCCCACCTCTTGTGATCCATTAAGGTCGCAATGACTCCTTTGGCAGATGAGTCACGCATTTGCCACAGTAATTACTGCAAACCTAGCAGATCCCGGAAAAATCAAGGGCTGGGGATCCCCAGCAATCTCCACTTTCATTGCCTTGATCACTGTTTGGAACCGTGCCCTGAACTGGGAGAACGGCTGCTCTGTTCCTCCGACTGAATCATGGCTGCACCTGGCTCAGATCAGATAATACCCTGGGACATGTGCTCGAGGACCGTGCCACTATTTTCTCAGCCAGCAGGACAGAAAGCTACTCCCCCAGGCAGAAGAACAATGAGGTCACTTGCCATTTCTTGCCAGCTCCTCCAGCAGTCCGCTCCACTCCTTGCGAAACAGGTTAGCACCCGTTAAGCTGCCATCTCCCCCAATCACGCAAAGGTTAGTGATGCCACACTTTACCAGGTTGCAGGCTGCCTTCAGACGACCCTCCCGTGTTCGAAAAGCTTTGCAGCGCGCACTGCCGATAACCGTCCCCCCCTGTGAGAGAACAGCAAAGAATTAGAAACTCACTCTTCCCTTCCCATGGAAAACCTGCAGTGCTCGCGTTGCCTAAAATATAAGCAGCACACGCGCGTGCGTGGATTTCCACACAGTGGCAGCACGTAGGTCCACCTGTGGGAGGGTTGGCCCTCTTCTCTAGGCTTTGGACTGCCTACCTCTGCTGTTCACTGATGATCAGATGGTCAAAGTAAGAAGCAATGCAAATAGTTTCCCTTGTCTAGCATGCATCTGAGGCTAACGATGCTTTCAGTTACCATGTCCGCTGAGCAACTCAACGGGGATAATTAATCCTTTTTTTCTAGTGACAAGGTGATTGACCCTGGGGGTCCAACAACAGCACCCTCCTCCAGGCCAAGAATCAGAGGCAAGGCCATTCTCACAGACAGCAAGGCATGCTGGTTGCTTCTGAAGCAGAGCCAAAGCGAAGGCCGGCCAAGAGGGTGAGCAAGATGGCAGCTGGGCCTGGCTCCATTCCTGCAGCCCACAAGCACATTTTCTCTCCCGCGAAGAGTCATGGTGTGCATGGCTTGGGAACTGGCCAAAATTTTTACAGCCATCTGGTTGCCAATGGTGATTAGAAATTGATGGCTGTCCATGGCTCATATACAAACTTTATTTGCACACAGCAGGTGTGAGGATAACACGATTGCCACCAAACAGGGAGCAACATTTCATGGCATCCTCCTTGAAATGTTACACGCTCCCTATCCTAGGACAAAGTAGCATTTCACCCAAGAGGGAGATTAGCAGATTGGTTCCACCCAACTTGACTGATGGACCGATTTTCTGCTGGAGGTGGTGTTCTCCTCCTTCACACCCTGAGAACAGCTACTGTTTATGCAAACATGGTGCTTTCACAGGTCAAGAGGAATCAATGAATTAGCGGGGTCTTATGAAACAGAAAATCAGCTGGGTTAGGGTTGCATCTGATCAAATCACGCCGATGCTTATGTTGAATGTTCCATCCAATGCATTGTCCTCAAATGGAATTCTGTCATCTGTCAGGAACAGCAAAAGATGTTTCTCTATGCTAGAAAAGTGTGTCAATGTAAGAGAAGGCTGTTATGTAATTTCCTGTTCTCCAAATGTGCTCACTATTGGTTACATAGTAGTAGTTCCTTTCTTTCTTTCTGTCTCTCTCTCTCTCGTTTGATGCAGAAAAAAGAAGCAAAGCTATGCCCAAGTATTGCCCTTAGAAACTGTTAATTTGCTACAGAAATGGGCTCTTCTACTTCAAAGACATTTGTTGGCACTCTAATAATCAGACGTGATGCAAATCACAGCAGGCAGGAAGGGTCAGTCAAAACAGAGAAGAGGCATGGAATTTGCCTGCAACTGGAGGGCTCAAACCAACATGAAAGCCTCTATTAGCAAGCAGCCAACATAAAAACTGTTTGCAGAATGACTCATCCTGGGCAGGGGAATAAGGAACAAAAAGAGGAGGAACCAGACTCCAGGCGTTTGCCAGCATCCTGATGCACAGATGCAACTTCCATTTCGTTTTCCAGTTTGTACACAGGAGGAAGTGAGAACACGGCAGCCCCGTCATGCACTGCATGTCAAGCAGGCACTGAAAACACTGGATGGCGATGGAATGCAAGGTCCTAACTATGCATATAGGGAACTTTTCAAAGAATTGTGTTTAGCAATATGGTTAATGACACTGTTTGGTAAAAAGTGGACTGCATTATTGTTCTGATCTTAATTATTAAACTTTAGGGACATCTTATAAACCACACACACACACACACACCTCCTTGCATTTTTAAAATGAGTTCTTAATGCAGTACCTACCACTTGGAGGATGCTTGAAACACTTTCCCATGTGACTTCAACAATATTTTCACCTCCATCAACCATGCCTTGGTAGCCCTGCAGGAAGAGAATTGTTTTTTAAAAGTCCCCCATACCAAAAGAAAGGGGTTAAAGCACTTTCAAGGTAAAACAGTAATGCAAGGCTAAGTTATATATGCAAGCAAGAAGAGCAGGTAAAGAGTTAGTGCCATCTCACAAACTCCATGCCAGAAGTTTTGAAGTGAAATGTCATTTATGGTCATGAGCTGAAAAGTCACTGCTCCTCTGGTTCTTTCAGCTAAAGTAGGAATTCCCTACTAGTGATGTGAAGAGTCTTGAGCTTGGACTGGGGAAACCAAAGTGCACGTCCTTGCTTCGTGTAGGGTTTCATTGTGCATCAACCACCAGAAGTTACTACTTGCGAGAAAGGTGTGATACTAACACAGTGACTCCAGTTGGTAGATTAACCATGATAAGTTGATCAAAGAGTGATCCTTTTGACATGTTCAGATACAGATAGATAATGGTACGGAGACTTCCCGCATTTACGCTCCTTCAGAGCATGAAACAACAGCCACAGTTGCCTGGTTACCAACAGTGATGGGAGATGGTTATCTGGCAATTACAATGTCTCCCTAGCCATGCAGGAACACTGCAATATTTTTTCTGTGACAGCTTGCCTAGGCCTCTGAATTAGGAGCTGACTGCCCCTCCAACACCTTCTTCTGCACCAAGTCTCCTCAAGAACAGCTCTGTTATCATATATTCAGTACCTATAAGTCCAGTCTGGAAGCTAACTACCCCTCCAATGGCTTCCAGTTAAGCAAGCAAGTACTGAATTTCTAGTTGCCAAAACAACTCAACACTCCGTGAAAGACTGTTTATCTAGATGCTGTTTTACAGATCCCTTGGATATTCAAGAGCCAAGAAAACACAGGAGTGATGCTTATCAGAGATAAATACAACTTGTAAGGAAAAATAGCTACCATTAAACATGCCCGTCTGTTATTCTTCCCCCACTGCTCCCACCACAGGCTTGTTTGCTTGCACAGGAAATGGAGGGCAGTTTTAAAACCATACCTTCTACCTAGCTAACCCCTCCTGAGGACCCTCTGTGCAGTCCTTCAGGTGGGAAAAAATCATCAGAAAATGTCCTTGTGGAGGAAGGGAACAAATTAAAGAAAAGGTATTTCTCCAGAAATCTATATAAAGCCTGGAGAAAGGCAGGTTGCATATTTTAGGTCCCTGCTATTTTCTGAGAGGTCTGCTTTTCTGCAGCAGTTGCCTGTATCCTAACCACACGTTCCCATCTTTTATTGTATTTTTGCTGGTTTTAGCAAGCTACCCTGATCATACCTCATTGAAGGATGGTGTAGAAAGTGTAATAAATGCTTTCATTCCACTGGTATGTGTTCCCTTCTTTTTATTGTTAGAGACTGCTGCACTGTACTTTTGAGTGGGCAGCTGTTATGAGGAGAAATCCTTCTGCAATCTCAGCTCCAACCCTACAAACCTCCTCCAGGAACAGTTCTGGAAGAGAAATGGAAACAGCCCCCCTTTCCCCTGACTAGCACGGAAAGAATGAGTCTGTCACAATGTCAAACTAAATGAAGCCTGCAAGAACCGGTGTGCCATAAGGGCTACACATTTCAAATAAGAATGTGCCCAGTTCAAGGCACCTGTGGCAAATCGCAGGAGGCCTCAACCTTAATCTGTAATATAGGATCATCATCTTGATCTACCTAAGAGGGCTGTCCTTTCCTTCACTTTGGCATATTTACAGAGTTCAGTAAAGACATGGCCTTAACAAATTAGTGTATGTGAACACTCTAAACCAAGGATCCCCAGCATGGTACTGGCCAAGCTTTTTACTCCATCTGCAAATGAGTGGAGCAGTTTCTCCAGTGGAAAGGGCTGGGGTAGCTGTACAAAGCTCTCCCTGATTAGCTTCTCTAAACAGTGTTGCTTTTGGAAGATTCATGTTGAGCAAAGTAATTCACCTTTGCTTGTTGCGAGGCCTTGGGTTTAAATTTGTGCCCTTTCCCCTCATAATTTAATTTTATTTCCTTCCAATTCAAGCCAAAACATTTTTTCTTTCATCAAAAGGAACAGATAAATAACAGAATGCCACTGTGTTCACAAAGACGGCAACCGCACTGGGATAAAAGCATGTCACACCAGAAGTTCAGAAAATGAAATGAAATTCTCTGCTCATTACGAACCAAAGCAGGCTAGGGCAACCCTCGGCATGGCTGTGCGCCATGGCAGGTGGAAGGCGCACGCCTAGAAGGCTGCTGATGTGGAACAGGGACAGGGCTGTGCTCCGGACAAGTCCTTCTGTGCTACCTAGCCTACGTGCCATGGCACAGCTCACGCCTGATTATATCCTGGTACCCACAACAAAACCCTTCTTTGTAGCAGCCCCCTGGTACAGCCGTGTTGGCTGAGAGCGATCCTTCAATTAACGAAGCATTCAAGTAATACAAAGCAATGTGACCACATCCTGAGATCATATGCTCCAATTCTCCTTGTTCACCATGATTAATCCCCTTTTTTTTTTTTTTTTTTGAACCTTGTTCCTGGCCTATTTGGTCAGTTTTGCTTTTTAAGAAAGAGGAGAGGGGACGTCTTAATTTTAATGTTTACATATCTAAAGAGTAGAGTAGAGTAGCCATTCTTTCATTGTGGTGGCTTCCTCAAAATCTATGGCTTGTAAAAATGCCATCCTCCTACTCTCTCAAATGCAAACAGCTTTAAGGATCCCATATGTTGCTGTCTGATGCAATAATCCCATAGCAAATCCTGCCAGATGCATGAACTTGCATCTGTGAACTTGCACCTCTGATACGTATTGTTATTGTTTAGGACAGGGAAACTGGTGCGTTCTCAGTGGATCCAGCATGCAACAACCTTTAGCAGCAGGTGCACTGAGGTGCTGGAGATACATCAGGGTGGCTGCTGTTGTTTTTCACCACAGTTGGTCTGGCATGTCCTACAAACCACCTCGTGGCATTTCAAGCATTTGGTTTTCAGAACAGCCTGTTCTATCATTTCTCAGAACCACAGTGGGTTTTTGTGTTCTCTGAACCCAGAAAACACAGCTCAGCGTGGTACCAAGACCAGAACCAAAGGGCCGCTTGGCAAAAGCAGCCTGTTGTCGCTCCGGTGTGCACTTGACATGCAGAGAAAGAGTCAGCCGAGCGGCTCCTCCGAGTGTGGATCAGGCACCCTCCCAATCCAGCTGTCCCCTCTGGAGCAGGAGGCAAGGATGCCTGCTCAGCTCCCTTGCCCTGTCTGCACAGCCATGGCATAACGAAAGCCAGCCAGTCACAGTCCCCTCCTCGGTGTCTCCTGGGATACCAGGTGAAGGATGGAGATGGAAGGAAATGATGGGAGGGAGGAGAGTTGCCACCATGAGCCTCATCTTCTCTCAGGCACATTGAGCTAAGAAGAAGTGCACTATGGCAACCATGGAGAGACGCTTGGCACAAATTGTGAACCCAGCCACTATCCTAGGAGAAGCATTACCCCTTTCCCCACACACAGGAGAAGATGCCTCGACTCAAATTCCATTTTTGCCCAACAGTGTTTCTTAGGGTAGTCCGAGGCTTATTACATGGGTATCTTAGAATCATCAGAGGCCTGGTGTAATTTATTTGCTGGGCACTTCCAGGAAAATATCTTGCAGCCACCAGGCCCTACACTCTAAAGATGAAGCAGTTAAATCTGTTGAGACACCCAGGGCACAGGATGGTCCGATTTTATTGGGTGAGTTCCAGGTGGTACTTCTTGAGGATGCTCAGAAGGTGTTTGCCTACCCTTGACGACTGTCCAGAAACTACAGCTTGTGCCACTTGCAGAAGACAGACTAATAACTGGGCTCAAAGTCCAAACACCTAAGTTCAGTTCTGGCCCACTTGCACTGGCCGAACTTGCCATCTTTATGGTGCCAGGGTCAGGCAGCCCTTTATGCTCAGACCTTACAGATACACTTGGTTCTTTAGGGACATGAGGGGATTATCTATCTCAAGCATTTTTCTTTTCCAGGGTCATTCTTCACTATATGCTTTTAGAGGTTTTAAAATTTCTCATTATGTTTCCTCTGATAAGATTTTATGCTATTTACTGTACGGTTTTTATGCAGTGTTATAAACTGCCCAGAGAGCTTTCGGCTATTAGGTGGTACAGAAATGAAATGAGTAATAAAATGGTGTGTGCTATCAGCAGTGTGTTTTTATGTTTTGTATTAGCCATAATTAATACATTTAACCTGCTGCTCCATTAATCAGAGACACTTTTTAATTGACCAAAATGGTGTAATTCATGATCTAATCCATTACTGAACAAATACTATACAACATTCACACACAAAATTATTGTGTCATCCCAGTGGGCTTTCAGATAAATGTCAGTTCTCTGGTAGGCCCTTCTTACATTTCAACAGAAAAGAGCTTGAACACAACTAAGTGCGTGGACACAATTTATTCACTGCCAATTTGCATTTGCAAAATGCAAAACTTAGCACTTCCTAGCAACTTCATCCTGTCAGCTCTGAAATCTCAGCTGACACAGTGCAGCTGCTTTGCTGAAAGGGGAACTACTTTTTCCCACAATCTTAAATTCTTTGGAAGAACAAATAAATCTCTAGCAAGGGGTGATGCTGGAAAAGGATGAAAAAGAACCAGAATAAAGATTATGGAGCAACTAGAGCTTATTCCAAAGAGCAGCTTAATATAAAACTTCCAGCACCTTTAATTCCCTGCTGGGCTCGCAGAGTCCACAGAAATCTACATGCAATCAGGCTGCAATGCTATGCACATTTTACAAAGGAAGTCAATCCCACTGAAATCAGTGGGAAATCAGCTTGAGGCAAACACGTGCTGCTAACGAAATAGGTATGGATAATGCTCCTAAATCAAGTGTGAAAGCTGAGAAACAGCAGATCCTCCTAATCTCATCTTCCTGTGATCTACTGAGCCTCTGGCCAATTCTTGCTCATGGTGTGCACTTTAGCTAGGGCTCCTCTACATTTGTTGCTCTATGCAACAAGGTGTCTCTGGCTTATGGCAACCCTGCCAAAGAATGCACTCCGAAATGCTCAGCTTCCTCTGTGGAGGCCACCCATCTCATATTTGGTCTTCCTCTTCTTCTTCTGTCCTCCACTTCCTTAGCATCACTGTCTTCTCCAGAGAGTCTTGCTTCCTCCTGATGTACAACAGCTTCAGTTTCACCATTTTTGCTTGCAGGAAAAGTTCTGGCTTGCCTTGATCTGGGAACTATTTATTCATGTTTCTGTTAGTCTGGGGTCTTGGCACTGCTCTCCTCCAGAGCCATGTTTTGGATGCATCCATTTTCTTCCTGTTTTCACGCCCTGCGTAGTGACAGGGAATACAATACCGTGGATGATCTTGGCCTTAGTTTCCAGTGAAACATCCTTACACTTGATGATCTTTTCCAGTTCCTCCACTGCTGTCCTTCCAAATCTGTCGTTTTAAAAATTTCTTGGCTACCGTCTCCCTTTGTTCTGATGACTGGGCCAAGTTATGCAAAGCATTTCATGATTTCAGTTTCTTCATTGTTGATATTAACATGGTGTAATTCTTCTGCAGTCGTGCTTTTATTTTCTTTTTCTTTTTTGCAGCAGTGCTGCTTTTGAAAGTGCTTCTTTCACTTTCATCAGGAGTCATTCCGATGCATTGCGGGTCATGCTGGGAACAAGCCCTTAATAGGCCTTTATCTGTGTTTCAGCTCAGGGATTCAGAGATAAGCCATCATTCCTTGCCCTTCTGCCTTTGCTTAGTTCAAAATATGGTTATAAGTATTGTTTTAAAGGGCCAACCAGAGTTATAAAAGGGCAGTCCTAGGAATGGAGGACTAATTTAAGACCTAATTTAACACAATCATTTCCTTGTTTCGCATTTCAACAGAGATAAGGGAAGGAAACATTCCATAAAAGCACTCTGTTTCTTTCAAGAGAGGTGGCACAATACTTGTGAGAGGAAGAGAAACTTTCAGGCCTGGCATAGCACACTAAATAAATGTTCATTCCGTTACTGTGGCAATCCCACAAAGACACTCTGTGCACTCTGCTCTGTTTGTTTGCATATTCATGCGTTTTACAGCTCTTTAACAGATGAGTTACAGGAGTAGGCAGACACTGGCTAGTGCTGGATGAAGAGACTGACAGGAAAACTACATATTTCCAAAGGATCAGGGAAAGGAGAGAACTCCTTGATGTGTTTTGCACATCTAGAATTACATTCGTTCAGATCCAACTTTATCAAAAGCTGGAAAGGGGCTTTCGTATGGCTCCCACAGAAGCAGCTCCTCAGTTGAATTCATATATGCATTCACTGCACCTTTTGCATGCATATATGTATGCATGTTATCCTATCATGCATAGAGACACACATCCAAATACATCATTTCCTGTACCACACATAAGGAAGATCTCTTTGGGAACTACTAATGCATAGTTTACAGGTTCAACAGTAGAGAGTGCACAGTGTAAATGTGAACACTCACCTCATAGACAAAGTAAACTTTCGCTTCAACATAGATTCCCATACGTACTACTGCACGAACAGCTGCATTCATACCTGGAAAGAGGAAACACAGCGAGATCAAGTTACCATTAGTACCAAATATCATTACAAGTTCCTTTGGCAACAAGTACACTGTGACGCTTTAGAATAAAGCATGACAGAAAACTGAGTGTGAAAAATGACTCCCTGCAAAGTGTGCACTAGAATGCTGTGCTTTGCTGCCACAATTCCACGGATACTAGTTCATTAGACCACGTGCACATGAATGTCACTGGAACTTCACTTGCCACCTTCCTCCGTAATCCACCAAGTATCAAGGCATGACTGAACATCTGGTGCGCCTTGCTGGAAAACCCCAGTCAAGAGGCTCAAGAGCATGCCCTTGCACAATTGCTACCTGCATGGCAGCAGCAAGGACAAAGGAACAGAAGAAAGCCGCCCAGATGTGACGCTTCCTGGGAGACCCTGATCTCATCATTACCTCTTACCCTCAATTACTCTGACTGCTATTTGTGATGATAAAATTGAGACATCCCCACGTATACCACCTTGAGGTCCTGGAAGGAAGACAGACTACATGATGGGAGAATCCTCCCAGACTGTCCCATTGTCTTCAATTTACAAAAAATGATCTAAAGAAGAACTTTGCTGGATCAGATCAAAGTCCTTCTAGTGCAGCATTCTGTTTGCAGTGGCAAGCCTGTTGCCCATGAGAAACCTACAAACAGGACGTGAGTGCAATATCACCTCCACACCCATGTTCCCCATGCCTGGGTGCATTGACCTGTATGAAGCATAGAGCCATCAGGTCCAGTACCCATGATAGCCATATCCACCATGAATTTGCCCAGCCCCCCCTTTTAAAGCAAGCCAAATTAGAGGCCATTGCTACACCATGTGGATGTGAATTCCTTAACTCTGCACTGTATGACGGAGCAGTTCTTTTTAGCTGCCCCACATCTTCCACCAGCTGCGTCCCGGAATGACCCCTTTGATGGAGAAAAATGTCTCCCTATCCACTTTCTCCAGATCATGCGTAATCATGTCCACCTCCATCATACCTCCTCTTTCTCACCTCCTTTCTAACCCAAATAGCCCTGATATTGCACTTGTTCCTTGCAGGGGAGTTGTTTCGGCCATACGAACATAGTTTAGTTTCCCTTTTCTGCACTTTTTGGGACCATGTGCCTGGAGAATGTCTGTGCACTTCAGAGCACAGCAGATTTTTGGCTCATGTGTTCTTGGCTGAAAATTCCATAGAAAGCCCTGCTAATTAAGGAGTGAATGTGAAAAATGGGAAGCGTTTGTAACATTTACAATGAAGAATTCCCTGTTTCTGCTCTATAAACTGATGCAGCTTTGCACTGAGGAAACACACAACACTTGCTGTGCTCCACTGATGACAGCGCAAGTGAGTAACCAGGAATTTGGAAAGGGACACACAAAGGAATTTACTCCTGGTAGAATGAGTGTTGCAGATAAAAGAGCCATCTGCAACTGGCATACTGTGAGGTCTACAACCAAATTAATCTGTTCCTTAAATAAAATCTTCAGGGAAAAACATTATTCTGGTTTTAATGGCATCCCCAAACACCATACCTGCCTCACTTTCTCGGTAAGAGCTTTCTTAATCTACAAATTGCACTGCTCCTGAATAAAACAGCTGTGCAAAAAACTACCATAAATTCTTCTTGGTATCTGACTTCACAGTCACACGTTCTTCAACGCAACAGGCAACATAGGTCAGTGGTTCCCAAACATTGCATTTCTGCACTCACAACACACCAGGTAGTTCCCACCCCGACATTCAGAAGAGAAATCTTTCGGGCCTCTGCATTGCATCCACTGAACTAAGCTGCTTGGGTCAAAGGCACTTTCTGTGCCAATGCAAATATTATCAGAGATCCTGCAGCTATGATAATCTCATGAGTCATTATTAAACCAAGTCAGCTTGTTTCCCAAAGGGAATTCAAGACCTGCCTTTCACAGCAGTGTTCTCACTGTAAGGCATTCACTCCACTATTTTTTTTAAATAAGTTTCCTCCCAAATCGCTGCGAGGCATTTGTTCCACAATCTTTTACTAAGTTTCCTCCCAAATCCCTTAAAGAAAAAGAGGAATCCATAAGTATAAGCCATGGTAAACAAGTTAATTTTTAAGGTGCCACAAGAAGCTGTATTTAGTTATCTGTAGTAATGAATTTCAGCAGCTGCTTGGGGTTATTGTTCTTGTTTGCCTACCATTCATATCAACTAAAGATGCCTGATCATATCTTAGAACTATCTACTTGTCTACTTGCATTTCTTTATTTTTTGCCTACCACCTTTCGCAGTTTTGCAATAGTCTGGTTGCCAAGCTCAGGCCCAATTTTTGAGCTCAGCAAAAGAGTGGCTGCAGAAGAAAAAAACCCAAATGCACTGTCCATGTTTAGAATATACCCTTTTCATGCTCAACAACTGCACCTGAATCCTCTGCATCCGGGACTAGAAGAGCTAAGCAGCTACACCGGCACTTGCCTGCCTAGAAACCATACACTGTTAGGCCTGGATCTCACCGTGAGAAAAGAAGAAATACTGTATACAAGGAAAGGTCCCTCTGGCCCAGCAGCCTGTTTTCAAGGGTAGTCAATCACATGTCTCCAGAAGGTCACAATCAAGGCATGGAGGTGACAGTTTCCCCCTGCTTGTTTGTCATCAGCCCCTGTTCAGCTCCTGGCCTCCCGTGGGATACTTTCTTTTTCCCTCCACACGCTTGGACACACGGATAGACTTTGTGTGGGATGAGCAAAGGGACAACAGCACAGCCTCCCTCACACACATCAGTTTCACTTTAACAACCCTTGTCCCTTGGTTGGTTGCTGATGTGGAAACTTGGGAACTCTGGGCTCTTTAAGCCATGAACTTCCCTTGGTAATGTAACCCTTCAATGACCCAGGGTTTCTGGATTTGTATGTCATGAAACAACCCAGAAACTGGCATTCCTGGGCTGTTCACTGAAAGCAGAAGCGATCGTTGTGCAGGAGGAAAATGAACGCGTTACTGACCCCCATTTCACCCAGAGATTGCAGCATGATGGGCAAACCTGCTCACACAGGGTCCAATTATCCATTTTTCTCTTTCCAGCTGACAGGAGCTATAACTGCTGGACATACGCGGTTCTCACGTGGCTGTTCACAGGTCCATGGGAGAGGGTTTGCCCCTTCATTTTTAAAAACATCTTTCTTGTGCAAACTTTAGGCTTCCCTGAACACGCCTGTACCTCTCGTCGTGCCGCAGTGCTTCTGTTTTTGCTCACCAGGTTTCCTATTACAATTGTAGGACATGCCCTCTGCATGGAAGTTCCATTTACCTGCCCTGCCATAACTAACAGCCACTCAGACATGGGCCGACATGCACACACTTCATTGTCAATAGGAGCACATGCGTACATTTCCTCCCAATGTGGAGAGCAGGGGGAAAGTGGGAAGAATTGCAGAAATTAGGCACTGCACAGAGATGCATACACCATTCAAGTCATCCCTAACGCAGAAGACGAATTTCACATTTATTATCACCTGCTTACTTGCGTCTTTCAGACTGCTACATCCTTTTCCTCTGCGCAGTACAACTTGTACCGCATTTCTTTATGTGGTCACAAAAGAATGTCTGAACTGTTGTTTCCATAGGATCCTTTGCCAGTGCAAGATCACACAACCCAAAGGGCTGGATCTAGACTGTGTTACTAGCATTTCACTCCCACTGAAATGAATGAGAATTAAATCAAGATGAACGATTCATTTCAATGGAACCTACGGTGAACTAATGTGCAGCATATTCCAATACAAGCCTTTAAAGGTACACATGAATTCAGGGGGTCTTACTGCAAGATAACAGTGTCTAAGATTACAGCTTTCAGCCTGGGGTCACTGGTCAACCCTGTCAGTATATTGTTATTCAGGCAGCCTATGACTTTCGTTACTGTTCTCATCTCCCATTTAAATCTGAATGCTCTAAGCTGGCTGTAAAGGTGCAGAGAAATTGTCTTTCTAGCACAGATCCAGCAGCAAATGAGAGGTCATGCAAAGCAGGGTTTTATTTCATTATCTATGGCTTCTTCACTGGCACAACAGAAATTCAAATTCTGTTTTTAAAATTGTAGTTATGTTATTTCTGGAAAACTGATGTTCTCATCCAGTAACAGTGTCCAGTTCAATAAGGCTACGCACAACATATTTAAGCAGAAACTTTTGAGGACAACTTGCTCTAACATTTCGTAATCCAGTGCTTCCTTGTATATTTTCTTGACTGGGTTTGGTTACAGGGCACTGCATACCAGGGCGCAAATGGCAGTGCTAGTCATTCCCAGTGAAGCCTTACAAGGGTTAGGAAGGGCCAGGACTGCATTCTCCGGCTTGCATCTGCCTAAGCTTTAAGGCTTCTGTGAATAGCCCTTTTCTCCATCCCACCATCATCAGAAGAACATTCTGTAGAGATACAGGAGAAGGTCCCCAGGCTCTGGAACTCCCTGCCAAGGGAAAAGAAATGGGCTGCCTCTCTGGCATCCTTCCACCGGCAGCCAGAACCGCTTCTATTCTTTGGTATGTAAGTTGATTTTCTGCTGAAGGTAATTTTAACTGGCCCAGTGTGGTTTATTTCCTTAGTGTTATGGCTTTGTGTCCTCAACGGAGCATCATTTCTAGTGAGAAGGTGGGATACAACTTTAATAGATCAAATAAATATTGGTTGCATACCATCTGCTAATAACATTGCCCACACATGAAAGTTCAAAGGAAGATGGAAGATATGGGCCATATAATGCCTACCCGCATATGAGTAATTTAAATGGATCATAAATGTGCATGCCGTTTAACTGAGATCATTCAGGGATGCCCAATCCAACCCAGGAGTGCCTACCAGCCCTCATACTGACTGTGGGATTTTGAGAGAGTCAACGGCCTACTTTTACTCACCTTCAAAAGGCTGCTGTTCAGGAGCAAATTAGTTTTATGTGCTGACCTGTTTGTCCTTATATTTACAGGCAAAGTTCAGCATTTAATTTTGTCAGTAAAGGAGTATT